AAAAAAGTTACTTTGCATGAGTCTGACTCGCGAAGGCGGCAGGGCCAAAGCTGATTGGTTTGCTGATCACGCATTCTGTAAGTATTAGTGTATATTACCCTTCCCGCGGGACTGCAAAGTTGTATCTGCATAGTTCTAGAGCCTCCAACCTCGCCCCCTTGTCCTAACAAACATGGAATGCTGAAGCCTGCTAATGAAACCAAGTTCTTTTGACCCTCCAGAAACTCGTGCAGCTTGACAGCGACGATAGCGACTCCGACAGCAGCGACTCTGACGTGGAAGATTCGCAGCATTCCGGCCGCTCCTTGTGGAGGCGATCCAGGAAAAAGGGAGAGCAGCTTCCGCGCAACAGTTTCAAGAAAGACCGTCAGAATGATCTGGGCCTTCAACGTACGGGGTCCTACGTCTCCCCTAGCTTCCTGGCAAAGGCGCGGCCAAAGACGAAGTTTCGCACACTTCAAAAGTACAGAGGAGGCCCGAACGTTGAAAGGACTGAGTTCATGGAACGTCATTCGGCCCTTGCCAAGAAAGGTCTTGCTGTCAGCGTTGAGCAAGTCTCCATGTTTTTGACAAACGACAACGTTTGCATATGTTTCTTCGAACACAGCGCTGAGGATGTGGAGAAACCCATCCTAACACGGCTGGTGTCTCCCGATACTATTCTAAGGCAAAGCTGCGACGCTAGCATGCTAATTCAGGCAGTCATTGATGCTATTATCGATTTAGCCATTCCTGTCGGTGCCGCTTATGAGGATGCGATTAGTGACCTTGAACTGGATGTTCTTACTGAGCCGAACATAGCTCATTCGAAGGCGTTATGTAAGATCAAACAGCACTTAAGGCTTTTCGATATTTGTTTCTGACATCAACCATAAAGACATCTTGACTACAGAGCTTTCCGTCTTGAAGAATCGGATTCATCCAATCATGGGTCTGATCAACGCTCTACGCGACCACAAAACCGAAACCATCACTGCACCCGCGCCTGGCATTGCTGAGCGCCCATCAAAGCTCAACTCTTCCAGTGTCACCATCAGCCCCCTCGCCGTAGTATATCTAGGCGACGCCGCAGATCACCTTTACCAAATTTCGCAAGCCATGGATATGATGCTCAAGTCGGCCGACGACATGATCAACCTCATTTTCAACATCATGAGCACATACCAAAATGAGAGCATGAGGCAGCTTACTATCGTAACTATCTTCTTCTTGCCTCTGACTTTCCTGACTGGATACTTTGGTCAAAATTTTGGTACGCTTACTTGAATGGGTAACCCTAGAAGTGGAGAGGCCACTTCCGGCTTGGTATTTTCCATCTGACTGATTGAAACAGGTACATTCCCTGGTGTGCAAAACCATAGCGACAAGTTTTTCTGGTATATCGCAGTCCCTGTGATGGTGGTTACGGTCATTGGATTAATGTAAGCCATTGCCCAACACTCTTTATGCGAAACCGAGCGTTAATAACATTTTGCAGGTGGGACGTTATTGTCCGCTGGTTTCAACGAAAGTCTCAGAAGTTTACGATTTCGCGCTCAAGGAAGAAGCGCGGCGCTTCAAGGTCTCGGGAGCGCGGACGTGGGAGACGAGCAAGGAGAGAGCCTACTTGGAAATGATCATGGTCCTATTATTGATAGACTGTGGGGCGTTGGTACTTCATACATTCAGACAGCACTTAGTTTGTTAGCGTTCAAGCATGCTCTTAAACTCAGCACACGATCCGTCGTTGCGCGCATCCTCGTGCCAACACGCTTTGCTGAAACGAGATACTGCAAAACCTCCACCAGTGGGTAGCATAGTAAAATATTCACAGATGTTTGCTGATGTTGAAAATTTCCAGGTTCTGCCTAATGACTTTTACTAACCCCGATGCCTCCGGCGCAGAAAGATCTTGGTCGTCCGTGCAATACTTAGCTATAGGATGTCCGTATTAGGATCAAGGACGGGCGCGACGGGTTCGATTCGTGCCCATGTGCTGATCATCCTGCAGGATGGCCGCTATAGGGCTTATCGATAAGCATTAGCACAAATTAAAGCACCTTGTAGGTACTTAGGTGGCTACGGGCCGCGCCGGCGGAGCTATGCGGCACTGAGATCTTAGAATAGAGCATCTTCACAGCGGCTGTTGCTCGAGATGCCCACCTATAGTTCAGCAAACAGGAAGACCAAAGCATGGAAGCTCCACAGATGCCCGTAATTGAGACGCTTCTCATCATGACGTCAATCCGTAGCTTCCCGCAGTACTTCCCCTCCTCACCACCACCACCACCATCGAAGCTGGCAAGAACTTCACGCCAGCCCCATTTCATTGAACACGTTCTTATTTAGACACCCAGAAACACGGAGCTATTGCCTATGAGCTGCTGTGGTGATATGGATTCTATGCTGGTTACCAACAAGGCAGCAGGAGAGCCCCTCACCACCAAAAGCAAGGTCCTTGAAACCGGAGCTTCCTTGACACAGGTATCCTTACACTAGACTTACAAACAAGAACTCGCAAAGAAGAAGCATGGATGCTTACCAAGTAATTTTCAGGACTTCCGTCCAGTCAAAAATATCTGCGCCCATCTGAATGCATTTCATGTATACGCCAACGACACCGGCCGCTTTGTCGAGGCCAACCACTACTGCAGCCACCTGAATGAAGGTAACTGCTTGTAAACTAGTCGCACCTGCCATGCTGGCCGCTTACTTTATGTGTCCAATTTTTAGACGTCCGCCAATGCATCCTCTACGACAGTCCGGGCCCCAATGCGCGTCTCATCGGTATTGAATACATGATCACCCCTAAGCTATACAATACACTACCACAAGAGGAGCGCCGCTACTGGCACAGTCACGTCTTCGAGGTCAAGTCTGGCATGCTGATAATGCCTCAACCGTCTGTAGCGGTACCAAATGCTGCATGGGAGGAGGCCGAGAACAAGGAGATGGAAGATGTCATCGAACTGTACGGCAAGGTGTTTCATTTGTGGCAGGTGGATAGGGGAGATAAGATTCCGATGGGCGAACCGCAACTGATGACGAGCTTCACCGAAGAGAGCCAATTTGACATGGAAAAGCATGTGGGGGAGCGGGATCGTAGGTTCGGCTCCGATTACAAGAGGAAAAGAGAGATACGAAGCTATATCGAGGAGCCTGAGCTGCACCCAGGTATGTTTATGGGACTCTCGCGGTCAAGCAGTAAAATACTAACACATGGCCAGATGCCGACTGGGCATGGAAGGATCAGAAACAGGGGCAAGGGAATACGGCCGGGCAGACGTCTCAGCAACTTGAAGGTGAGACATGATGCGTCGGAGACACTCACGTGCCATGTTTGACACTGGTGCAGAGAAACGTTGGTCTGCCTACGAATAGACGATGATTTTCAGGGCGCCGGAGCTACCGAAGTGGCTGTGCAGCGAGTTGATGACTCGAAGGTACGGAGTAGGTAGTATCTGCTATTGTTGATGAAAGAGGGTTCACTGTGAGGGCTTTTTTTTTATTATTTCGCGCGGCGGCAGCTTGGAAAACAGCACGGGCGATTGTTAGTATCTTATCGTTGCTGCTAGCGAGTATGATTGCGTATCCGTGGGGAGCCCCCGCGAAAGCGGATCCCGGCTGCAAGGCCCAAAAGGTGGAGAAAGGATTTAGGATGAACTTGAAGGCCTGCGTGGCCATGGGGTCTAGACCGTGGGTGATGAGGAAATGGATGACAACCAACAGCGGCTTTGCCGAAGGCCGCCGCCGGCCGGGTTCCTAGTCTTGGCCTCATGGCCCGACAAGGAAAAGGAAAAAAAAAAAAAAAAGTTCCGAAGAGTCAGCCCTTCGGGCCTCAAGAAGTTAACCGCGGGCAGCCAGCGTATCGCCGGTCGCAGGGACGGTCAGAGCCAGCACGTGCCCGAGAAGGGTCTGGGAGCACGCCAAAAGGCCAAAAATAGCAGTGCCAACAGGGTTCGACAGATTGGCTTTGCGGATGACGCGCTGTCTCGAAGACGAAGATCCCATCCCATTCCCTAGGGCCTCCCGACGAAGCACCGGCGGCCTGAATCCCGTATTCGCCAGTCGCTACGTAACACCACTCGTTCCCCGACGCGACGCCCTTGCAGCACTCGTTAACTCTTGAGCTTTCGCCTCGAGCTTTGCGCTTTCTCTTGTTCCCTCTGCTCTCTGCTGCTTTCCCCCCGCGACTCGACACCAAGAAGCGGCAGGGGCTCTCCTTCCCCAATGGCCTAAGAAAGCTCTGAGCATCTCTCCTGCCACTCGTTTCCTATCCAAGTCACACACACGTGCAACCGCTCCTCCTTCGTTTCTCGGTGGCCTCTCCATGCAGCTGGCCGCCATGTCACCGAATCACACGTCGGCGCTCGCCCCACGCGACGACGGCATCGACCCTGGCCAACGCTTCGTCGACCTTATATCGCAACCCTTCAACAACAATGTACCAAGCCCCGCCCTCGCTTCAGACCCGCTTCCCGCTGACCCTGCGTAGCTCAATGAGAAAGCTTTTGAATCGTCGCTGGCCTACTCCTCTGCCGCCGCCGTCATCTTTGCCCTCCTCTTCTGTCTCCTCCGGCCCTACAACACAACCGTCTATGCGCCACGGCTTAAACATGCCGACGAGAAGCATGCTCCGCCTCCGGTTCAGAAAGGTATCTTCGCCTGGGTCAAACCAGTTGTTAAGACAAGGGAGGAACACATGGTGCAAAAGGTCGGCATCGACGCCACCGTCTTCATTCGGTTTACCAAGATGTGCCGCAACATCTTTATCATCCTGGCGCTGATTGGAAATGCCGTCTTCCTCCCCGTCAACCTGATCCAGAATGCGCAAAACCACGCCACCATTGACACCAAGCAACTCACAATTTTCATGAAGCTGACGCCAATGGGGGTGGGCGGAGGCATCGTATGGACTCACGTTTGTGTGTCGTACATCTTCAACGCCGTAATATACTATTTTCTATGGACAAATTACAAGGCCGTGTTGCGTTTACGAAGGAACTACTTCGACAGTCCCGGATACCAGGCTAGTTTGCATGCTCGTACTCTGCTGGTAAATTTGCCTTTCTGAGTACAACTGGACCTCCGCTTACACTCATAGATCACGGATATCCCAAAGAACTTTCGGACCGATGAAGGCGTGGTAAAAATCACTGACGGGGTCAAGGCAACCTCTGAGGTCCCCAGAGGCGCCATCGCTCGCAACATGAAAGAACTCCCCGATCTGATTGAAGAACATGAGGATAATGTTCGTGAGCTGGAAGAGGTGTTGGCCACGTATTTGAAGAATCCTGATCGACTGCCGGCAAGGCGCCCAACGTGTAAAACGAACAAGGCCGACCGGAATTATTCGAAGGTCCAGGAAGTCGACGCGATAGACTACCTCACCTCCCGGATTAAGAGCCTCGAGATCGAAATCACAGAAGTCAGAGAATCAGTAGACAACCGGAATGCCCTCCAGTATGGATTCGCGAGTTACGAAAGCATCGAGGAAGCCCATGGAGTTGCATACGCCTCAAGACACAAGCATCCTGAAGGCTCCATTATTAGAGTCGCCCCGAAACCAGGCGATTTGATATGGAAAAACCTTCCCCTGGACAAGGCGGCTCGCAGATGGAGGGGTCTTCTCAACAACATCTGGGTAACCCTGCTTACCATCGCATGGACGGTGCCCAACGCCTTGATCGCCGTGTTTTTGTCAAATCTGGGAAATCTCGCGTCTGTGTGGCCAGCATTCGCTGAAGAGATGGGCAGGAACCCACATACCTGGGCAGCCATTCAGGGTATTTTGGCGCCTCTGCTCACCACCTCGTTCTACTTTTTCCTGCCAATCATCTTTCGACGCTTATCTATGAGCTCCGGCGACTATTCGAAAACCTCACGCGAAAGGCATGTCACACACAAGCTATATGCTTTCTTCATCTTCAACAACCTATTCGTTTTCTCATTGTTCTCCGCCGTATGGCAGTACGTCAGTCTGCTCATCACCACCACTCATGCCAACGGTGAGCAGGAGGCGTTAAAGCTGGCGCTTTCCAACAGAGGCGCCGAATACATGATCACAGCTCTCTGCTATGTCTCACCTTTTTGGCTGAACTATCTCCTGCAGCGCAATTTTGGTGCTGCCTGGGATATATCTCAGCTTGCAAACCTAGCATGGGGATCGATAGTCCGCAAATTCTCGAGCCCGACTCCCAGGAGGCTCATTGAACTGACGGCTCCTCCCGCTTTCGATTACGCTTGCTATTACAATTATTTCCTCTACTACTCGACCATCGCCCTGGTGTTCACACCTTTTCTGCCATTGGTCTTGCTGGTTGTAGCCTTCTACTTCACACTAGACAGCTACCTGAAGAAATACTTGCTGCTGTAAGTGTTACTCGATAACGCTGTGACTGCTTCAAGCTAACGTGACATAGGTATGTATTCATTACGAAGCACGAATCTGGCGGTTCATTCTGGCGTGTTCTATATAATAGGATGCTTTTCGCCACGTTCTTGGGTAATCTGATTATGGCGTGTCTTGTTGGAGCCAAGGGAAGCACGTGGTCACAGCTCATCTGTATGGGAGGCCTTCCTCTCACACTGATTGCCTTCAAGTGGTACTGCAGGCGTACATTCGATGATGCCATGCACTATTACAGCAAGGGTAATATGAAGGGTCGAGAGGAGAACCTTCCCAGCAGACCGAAGACTCGCGGCGACCGTCTTGGTGTCCGTTTCGGGCACCCCGCGCTCTACAAGCCATTGATGACTCCAATGGTCCACGCCAAGTCGGAACACCTCCTCAGCCAGGTATATCGCGGTCGCTTGGAGGCTGATACGGATGGCTCAAGCGTCACTGGCTACAGCGACACCTACAGTTTGCACAACATGTCGCGCAAACAACCTGGCAAGAAGAAGGGCCCGGCTGCTCCTTTCGAGCTTGTTACGGAATCGGAAATGGACTTCGAACACTACAAGAACCGGCCCGAGTTCCGCGAGGAGTTCGGCGGCGATGGTGAGATGTACTCACGACCCGGCACGCCAGGCACTTACGACTCACGACCTGGTACACCCGCGGGCCATCTGCAGCGCATTGAAAGCGCCGACTCTCAGCGCACATTACATGAACAAGAAAACGGCGGCTCGACATACCCAGAGGGCTACCACACTCCAATGCCGTATGCACCGCGGGCGGAGAGCCCGCTGCAGCGCGGCATCTTCTCAGCCAACGATTATTCGGACGTCAATCTCGTCGAGGGCGCTGCGCCCATGGGTGCGACGGGCAGAGGCGGCTACGGCCGTTTGGAAACACCCGGCAGCGAGATGGGCGAGAACACGAGTTACGACTATTTCCGTCGCGGTAAACGGTAGCGCTGCGCTCCGGATCAGAGAGCGCACGTCATGCAATTGCCCAATAGGGTGGGCGCGCAGGGAGCGGCCCGTCCCGAACGCTCGAACGAACCACGGTTCGCGTCGGCAAGACTTGTTAGACGGCTGTTTCTGCATTGAGCAAGGCGTTTTTATGTTCGAATTTATTGCTTCTTTTTTTGTTTTTCTCTCATTCTTCTTCTTTACTCTGCTGGAACTATCTTGCTTGCTTTGCCGAGACTGGATAGCATGAAAAGAGTGCTCACGAAGATGGAGTAATGTCTTTCTCTTTTTCTTTTTGGATACCTGGAGAGCGAGCGACATCATGGGGAAATGCGAGCGCAAATCTTGCTTTAGCTTGACGACCGAGCGCCGCCACGAGGTTCATGAAGATACGTTTTAATCGACTAATAGAGTTCGATTCTGCCTTTACTACTGCTACTATCAACCGAACATCTTCCCCCCGTATCATCCACTACATACATAATCTCTCGGTACTCTGCCCTGCTCTGCCCAGCCCTACCCTACCCTCGGCAAGCCCACAACACAAACCCATCTCACGCCGGCGACGCCGCCCCGGCCATGTCCTCACCCCACGCAGCCAACCATAAGCGCCCACGCACCACCCCCACCACCACCACCATCACCATCAGTCGTCAGCCGCCGCAAGGGAGGAGGACCGGGCAGGCGCAGCGGCCACCCGGCCCGGCCCAGCCCAGCCCAGCCTAACCCAGCCCCAGGGGCCCATGGATCGCCTCCCGCGCGTGCGGCACCGGCTCCCCGGTCTCCGGTCCGGGGGTGCGACGACCACCTCTTCACATGCATGCCGCCCACCGCCGTGGAACGGCGGGTAGCGGGTAGCACGACGAGGACTTGGCCTTGGCGTTGGCCGTGCATTGTGCACCGTGCTACGGTGGTGGTCGTGGTGGTAGTAGTGGTGGTGGTGGGGTGAAGAGGCTGGAGAAGGCAACACGCCTAGGTAGATACGCGGAGAAAGCCGACTTGTTGCCTGCGTTTGTGGAGGCGCTACCTATCCCGTTTGCGAAGGGTTGGGCTTTGGTCTTTGGTCTTTGATCCAGTTGTGGAACGAACACGGCTGTGAATAGATGGGAGTGCGTTATTGACGCGCAATGGGGGAGACTTGACAAAGAACCGAGATATGCCGCCTCACCACCAACAAGAGCAAATGTAAAACGGCGAAAAAACGCAGTGCAAGTGGCAATGAAAAAAGGCAAAATAAAAAAATAAAAAATAATGTTTTCCTAATTTAGGCCTTGTCGTCGGACTTGGTGCCAACGCCGTCGGTGCGCTCGCCGTTACTCCGCTCGTCGATCTTGTCGGTGGTGCCGATTGTCTTCTTGTAGAGATCGGCGATATCGCCGGCGCCCTTGCCGTCATTCTTCTCCGTGATGAGGCCCTTGAGCCACTTATTCTCCAACTCGAGCTGGGCGATGCGCGACTCGAGCGTCGAGACCTTGTCCGTCATCTCCTTGGCCGTCTTCTCGAGCTGCTGCTCGCGCTGCTTCTTCTTGACGCGGAAGCGGGCCGAGGCGGCCGTGTTGCGGCGGCGCTTGTCTTCCTCGGCCGCAAACCGCGACATGTCCTCGACGGACTGAGCGGCTGCGGAGGCGCCTGGAGGCGTGGCAAGAGCGTCCAGTTTGCGCTTGTTGCCCGTCGTGGCTGACACTGGCGACGCCGCCGCGAGCGGGGATGCGCTGCTGGTGCTGGGCCGGTGCTGCGGGACCGGGTACGGGTTCTGCTGATGCGCGAAGTTGGGTTCCGTGATGCCAACCGGGAATGAAAAGTCGAGGCCTTGGAAGTCGCCTTGAAACCCCATTAGCATAGTGATTTTTTTTTATTTAAGACAGTAAGTGTATATATAGGACGCAAGTCTCAAGACATTGTCGATGGCGTTGGCAGCTCGGATACCTAGTATGATCACGGGCAATGGCGTGCTTCGGTATTCCTACCCCCACGCATACATGCTGTCTAGGATCTTGCATTTGCCCCGCAACGCAACTCTGCCTGGATGGTCCGTGGCGTGGCTAGATCACTCACCGTTAAGAGGGAAATCGACAGGGTTGGCTGCTGGGTTGTACGATGCGGAAGTGTTACGGCGTTTGGCCTGCTGCTGCTCGGTCGTCGCGTCGTAGTCAAAAGTTGCCGCGGGCATCTCGGTTCCAAGGTCAAAGTCGAAGAACTCGGTGTTGGTGAAGAGAGAGAGGTCTTCGTCAAAGCCAAGGTTGTCTTGCTGAGTGGCCATATCCTGACGGGTGGGAATGGTGTTGAGGCCCTGGAGGTACTGCGACACGTTTTGGCCTTTGCGGCCCGCGAAGCCTGACATTACGATGTCGCTGATAAAGGCGTTGTTGCTGGCGCGGGCGCTTCGGATGCTGGTGCGGGCGAACGGTGTTGTTGTCGTATGTGACGAGTGTAGGTGGAATGACAAGCCTCCACGGGAGGAGTCGGCTGAGTAATCTTCAACGCCCTGCCGATCGGCTGCAGGGCACAGCGTTGTTTTCAGAGCGCGGCCAACAGGTTGTAATCCGTAGGGGATTTGTCGTTGAGATGAAGGTGCCGTAAAGGTGTCGCAATGGAGATGGAACGGAGAAGTGTGGGTGCCTTGGTTGGGGGATGTGGAGTGTGCGAGGTGCTAACGTTAGAAGCGCCGATGATCGCCCCGCCTTGCCGCAGCTTGTCACGGCCTTTTGCCAGGAACTGGACTCCTTTACTTTTAACGGGTGCCCAGGTGCTTTGTCGCTGACCTGGGAAAAGTCGCCGTTTGCAAACAATCGACTGTTTTGAGGGAGGCGTCGGCAGTCAAAGAAAGCCATAGCTGCCACGCCGCTTATCAGAACCGCCACTGCGGCATTGACCGTAGTTGTCGTCGGTAGAGCCAGAGAGACTCCCCTGCGACTGCACTCGCGAGTGTGTTGGCGGTCTTGGATGCCGTGGCCGATAGGCTCGAGCCCGTGGACATGACAGTGTTTCGCAGCTGGATACGAGGAATTGCAAACGACAGAGCAGAGCTTCAGACACGCCTTCCGAAAAGGAGTCGGGCGGAGGGCCGCAGCTTGGATGAGATGGTAGAGTGATGCCGTTAAGTGCTATATGGTTGCAGAGTGCGCTGGCACTTTTGATCACCGAGAGCGTGGAGGGGCACATCGTCTGCCTAGCTGGCTGGTTGGCTGGCCGACTGCCCCCCGATCCCTACTGGCCCTCGTCCCTGGCCTCTCTTCGGGTGAGTGTGACCGGGTCCTTGGTGCGGATGTGGTGTCCTGCGGGAGGGACGGCGCGCGCGGCGTGGCTTTGTCCGACGTTGCACTACTGCTGCGCGTCGACGGCGGCGATGGCGGCGATGGCGGCGTTGGCGGCGTCACGCGAATACGATGGGGATGTGACAGTGTACATCGAAGGAAGGGGGCGGTTGGGTGCAGTGCAGTGCAGGCGGGGATAATGGTAATGTGATGCGTCCGTGCTACGTTTTCTGGGCTGAGGAGCTTGCTTGCTTGTTTGGGCGGGATGAGTGTTTCATGGGTGGTGGCGAGGCGTGTGTGTTTGTGCAAAAAGAAACAGGAGAGTGCGGTGCTGATGACGGGGAGCGGTTCGGACGAGTGGACAGGACGCCGCCTCTCTGCGTGTATGGGCGTGCAGAGTGGCAGGCGTCTCGCTCTGCTAGAGCCTTTTACTCTTTTTTTGCTTTTGCTGTCTTACTCCCATGCCGCAAGGTTCCCGCTTACATACGAGGACGACCGGCGAGACTGCAAAAAGGAATAGAAGCACGCTGCTAGGTAGTAGTGCAGATGTTGAGACACGCCAACACGAAAACATGGGGCTACTGTACTTCAAAGTTTTGCGTTGCGCATTAGGTACAGACGTGTAAGTCTGTACAGTGAGTTCTCGTCTCTTACATCACTCGTGAGATTAACCACCCAACGAGAAACCGCATACCATCCAGTCCGGGATATCATGCAAAGCGAGTGCGCCAACTAGCGCCAATTCAAGCAAGCCAACCGACAAACGAGAGACAGGAGGCCCTCCATGGGCTCTTCATTGCCTTAATCCACGTTCATCTTTTCCAAAAGCCGTCTGATGCCGTCTGCTCCGGCTTTTCCTTCCTCGCCTTCAATTTGTGCCTCGGCTGCATGCACCAGGGTGAATGCCTTTTGCTGCAGTTCCTGGATGCAGACTTTGCTGTACTCGAAGCTTCCCTTGCGCTCCATGTAGCTGACGGCATACTTCTTGACCTCTACGTCGTTGGTCTTTTGCTTCAGAATGTTTATCAGGACGAGATTGGATGGATCGGCGCGGATGGCGTGGATGACGGGGAAAGAAAATTTGCCTTCCGTCAGGTCCTCTGCAAAGCCTTTCTGCTGTGAGAGCATAGCAGATTTAAGATTTCTGTGGTCGTCGAGAATCTGAAATAGAAGACCAATGGTGTTGACCAGAGGAACGCAGTCACTGTAAGATGGTTAGGCGTTTGCGATTTTCCGGGTAGGTTGGGGGTGACTCGTAAAGCGTAAAACATACATTTCTCTAGGCGACTCGGCCTGCATCAACTTTATGGCTAGCCTGAACAGGCCGCCCGTCTTGTTTCCGACCATTTCTAAATAATCGGCCTCGCTAGGGCACGTCAAAGTGTCGCGCCAAAACAGGTCCATTCCCTGCCCCCGGTGCAGGTTCAGCAGCTCCTCGGTGAATATAGCCATGGCGGAAGGATTGTGTAGTGAAGATAGCGATTGCAATGCCAGAAAGTAAACATAGTTGGCGCTGTTGATAGTCTGCGCGGTACCAAATATGCTATTAGCGACAGGTACCCCCCGACGCAGCATGGAGTTGTCCTCGACATCGTCGACCAGCAATGACGCCGTGTGCAGCATGCCCACGACCCTGGTTATTATTTCCAGCGAGCTCTCGGGTACCGCCAGCCACTCATTGAAGGCGGCGATGAGCTGACTGCGAATGTCCTTGCCCGGATGGCCGTACAGGTAGTCGTATGGCCCCATGAGTATTTTCTCCTTTTCCGCGCTCCACCCCGAGCCCTTTCCGTATATCAGTTCGTCGTCAACGCCTTTGAGCGGGTCAGGCGGCGGGGGAGTCATCGGCAGAGGATAGGTGTGTTTCTGAGAAGGCGACGGGGGGGTCGATGATTGCGGCGAGTGGAGCTGGCTTCTGGAGGGCTTCTTGGACGAAGCTATCCAGTCGATTTCGGAAAGCGGGCGTAAGACGGCGCGTTGCGGGGGTGATTGCTGACCGTTGGTCAAGCCGCTAAGGCCGTAGGAAGATGTGCGCGGGGGTATGGCGTTTGGCGATTGCAGACTGTGGGTTGCCATTGTGCGGGAGAAGGCAGCCGGCCGTGGCAAGCTGTCTCTGAGTTGGCCGGGAAGGTGCGAGCAGAGCAATGCGTGTCTCGGGCTGCAATGTGTGTTTACCGCGGCAAGGCTAAGACGGGGCGCGGAGCGGGGTTTCGCGGGACAGGGCGCGCGCTTCGGGGCAGGTAGAGACAGAGGCGGGGAGTCGCTATATAGACATGGGCGGAGGCATCTCGTGGGACGGGGAAGCACCGCGCGTGATGACGCCTGGAGGGGGATCGCTCTATCACATGCATGCGTCGGAGATCTGCGTCAGTCCCCCTGACCTGATTGATGCCCACACAAACCTCAAGCCATCAACGACCCATCGTCGTGCGTTCCAAAGAGGCCCCGGCATACCAGCATCAAAGTGTTGGGACATGCTTTTTACGTCTGTCGGCTCCGTCTGCTGCAGCCGATGGAGCAGCGTAAGCATCGAGAAGAAGAAAGATCGGCGCTTATCGCACGCAGCTCTCGGGGAGCCGGCGCGAGCAATTCGCAAACAGCAGCCGAAACCCCTCTCGAGGCAAAACGAGTCCCGAAGCATTCCAGTTCCATTGTCCGTAACTTATCCCACCTGGATCGTAGCTAGGAGTGCGCAATTGACCTCGCTAAACAAGCATCTATTGATTTCGTTGAGTTCACGTTGTTGTTGGCTCTTTCCGATTATGCGGCATGGCCTCATCTCCAAAAACAGCAAGTGCAATGGAAGAGACTGCCCTTCTCCAAACGCCCTGCGCCACTCGCAACCTGACCCTAGACACTCGAAGGCGCCATGTTAAATCCGCCACCCTCTGGGCTGCCTCGCCCATCATGCATCAATCCGTCGTCCATGATGGCGCAGACCGATCAGTGCAAAGATGAACGACGCTTCTACTTCCTCCACCTCCCAGCTGAGATCAGAACCATGCTCTACCGTCTGCTGGTGACGTTCTCGCATCCTCTCGACTCTTGTCGCCATCGATCGAGACCTGCCCGCGTGGTCCAGGGCCTAGAAATACTGAGGACTTGCAAAATCATCAACATTGAGGCTTCGTACGTCTTCTTCACCGAAAACACCATCTCCTTCACTGTCCGCAACTATCTATGCCGGTCTTTCGAAAACAGCGGCTGGCTGGCTCGAGTTCGCCATCTCAGAATCCACGTGGTGGTCAGAAACGCCAGTTGCTCGAACACTGTGCGAAATATCAAGAACTTCTTTCATCACATCAAGCAGAGTGTCACTGATCTAAGATCTTTTGATCTTTTCATCCGCGACGCAGCATACAGTCATCCGGACCGTGCCGATACAATCATCTCTGCACTCAAAGGTTTGAGAGTGCATGGTCCTGTCCGCGCAGCTCACTTTCGATGGACTGGCAGCGAAGAAGAAGGAAACGTAGACGACAGCATGGCTTTGCGTACAATGCTTATCGTGGGTTTTGCAGGTAATTCCCCTCTTCAGTGACAAAGCTTGCATTAATACTTACTTTACCTATAGCGAATGTCACTGAGACCATCATCGTCAGAGTTGCCTTTCCCAAAAATGGAGAACGCAACTTCCGCGATATTCCCAAGTATACGGCTAGCAGCGATCAGCCGTTTGAGAAGATTGTGGCTGGCACAGGCTGCCAGATCTTGCAGACCATTGTCTTCACCGGCCGTGGATTTTGAACGATGATAAAGTCAGAATGCGTGACAGTATCTGATACTTGACTACGGAGCATCCTCCCTTCAGGCAAAGACCTTATATTTACAGGGTTTTCCGTTCTGTTCTGGGACATACCAATGAGGACTTGCCTAGGCAGCAGAATTCACCATGCGCCCTTTGCTTTCAACGCTATAATTGCCTGTATCATTCTTTGCTTGTAGTCTGACGTGACAGCTTAATATAGTCCAAAGGTGCTAGAACGGTGTCACTGAACTTCGTGCAGTACTGCTTAATTACATAGAGGTTCTAAATTCGAAATCGAGCGGTTATTTTATGTGACGTGTGCAAACAAATCTGCAGCATCCTGACACTGACTGGGTCTCTATGCGGTAGGTCCTTTGTCGCGTGTTGAGACGGGGAAGCGAAGTCGTGCCTTCCTCAAGACACAGAGGCAACCCGATCCTTCCTCCTCCTCCTCCTCCTCCTCCTCCTCCTCCTCCTCTCTCTACCTCCTTACCAACCCATTTCACCCTCCGAACACCTCACACATTCTGTCTCCAAAAACTGGTGCCGTTCCCGTCGACATGCTTTAGTAAGTTCTTCACTCCAAGCTTACTGTCCTTCCAAGTTAATTGACATCACGTTCTGACAAATTCTAGAGAGCACATCTGTGCTTCGCGCTCTCACGATGCCTGTGACGATGCGCAGTCAACCTCATCGGCCTCCTCGCCATGAAGAGCCCGCTCAACCCGTCTTTCGTTTCTTGGGCCTACCGGCCGAGCCCAGAGTCATGATTTACGAGTACGCTCTACAGCCTGGGAAAGTGTTACGACGAGCACTTCTCTGTGACCGAGTCCCAGGAATGTTACTCCGTGACCGACTCCCAGGGATATTAAAAGTCTGCCGGCTCATCTACAAAGAGGCTTTAGATGTTTTCTACAAGGTCAACGTTATTAGCGTTTATCTCACAGAAACCCAGCAGTTCCGTTCGAACCCAACATGGCTTAAGAATGTTCGCCATATGAAGTTATTCGTCTACGCACCCAAAAAACAATTCAGTTTTGCTGGACACAAAGTTGTCGAGTCCTTTGTTGCTCGGGTGTTCATTTCTGGCGCACAGATTCACACCCTGGACCTCTTTTTCATCGACCACACAATCTCCAACTACTCCGTTCTGGCCGGCTTATATAGCCGCGCTCTTAAACCTCTTGACGTCCTTGGCAACATTAGGGTGGTATATCATGTAGCGACAAATCAGATAACAACGAGAGCCGTAAGCTTCGGGATGAATGCGTTGAAGAATATTGCGGGTACGTCCCCCTATACGACTCACACCGGAAAATCATATGTTAATAAGTGATACAGCTAATCCGGCGAATGTCTCAATTGCTCTAGTTAGCTATGACAACCTTCCCAGATGGCATTGGCATAAAGTCCCTAGCGTCATGAATTCTACGAGCAAGCCTTGGTCAGAGGTCTTGATTGAAGCGGGCTTTGTGGTTTTGCCACATAGGTTCCCGAAATAGTTCCAGGACTCTCACCAGGCACTCTCGACACCTGAAACAATGGTACCTGAAGGTTGCTAGCGATGGTTTGCTTCAGGTGCTTTTCATATAGGAACAACTTTTCTATGGAAACTGCAGCTGGGTATATTAACGAGCGGACATTGTAATTAACTCTTACCAGAACTATGGCTACAGAAGCAAAACTCGGACAAATTAAAACAAGTTTTCTCCTTACATCTTCCTTCTGAAGTATTGAGGAAAAGTGAATACTGGCGGGATAGAATATGGGCAAATCGGCTGCATACTGAAAGGCAAGGGTCGATAGCAGTAATGCCTACACTGCCTCGTCCGCACCGATACTCTCCTAGGCTGTTCCATTGTCTTTCCGTACATCAAAGTATACCGAAAGATCCAAACGCAGCAACCATCTCCAAACTTGATAAGAGCCGACGCGGAACTTCAATGGTCCCAAAGTTGCTGTCATGTAAACCACTAGCCCCAACAATTCAAGACCCCACAACAGGTTCCTATGCATGTTTCCTTTCCCAAAAGCCAGGCATAACGCTTAGAATGCAGGGAACAAGCAAGCCAAGAGCAGCGGCTCGGATCACTGGATTGGGAACAGTGTGGTTGCGTGCGCGGATGCTGCGTTGAAGTTGCGGATAAGTTGATTTTCGGTGACGTTGTTTATTGCTTCTTTTAGTTAGCATTTTGACGCTGGGGTTAGACTATGGGTTGGGGAAGCTGTGTCTGCTTTTCAAGCTCTCGAGTGTTGGCTACAAGTTGTAAGTGTACTTAGTGGAGTTGGAAATGTGTTGCGGTAGACGGTTAGTGAGGGCTTTCATTATACAACTCACTGGGTTTGCTTTGAACAGCTTGTCTGATGATTGTCGTATCTTTGCTTGTCGTAGTATAAGCTGACACTGCCTTGTCAGTAAGTAGAGATGTGCTAGGCTGGAGCAAACATCCGGTACACATCACTGTTACTATCTCATGGACTGGTCCGCAGGCCTCGGGTGTATGAGAAGATAAGATGAAGTGGCAGTTAATTGATTTGCTTAAGCCAGTTTACTTGAAGAAGTAGTACCACTGATAGTGCTCAGAGCAAAGGTAGCATTCGATGCTTTTCGGGAAGTGACAACAACAGACTGCGTTAGCTGCCAAGTGTAGTGAGAGTACTGACCCAGACTGTCCATCGGGTTGCTTGGTGTTTCGGCTCAACGCTTGCCGTTTAGCGACCTAAGCTCACGCTTTCCCTGGGCCGCTTCCTCCTCTGTTTTCTGCTTCCTCACTTCCATCTGCCACAGCACGAAGTCCGCCGCCGTCCACATGATTGTCTCAGAGGGCTGAAGTTTGAGGAACATCGGGTCGCAAGCCCAGAGGTACATTTCAGCTTCGACCGTAACCATTCCACCATCAGCAGCAAGTTGGAGCTTTGGATGGACCAGGATTTTGCGGTAGATGGCCTCGTCAGGTTCGTCTTTCGTGATACCCTCGTACTCGTCGATTTTAGCCTTTGCTTTGTCCGTCAGATTGAAGATTAGCATGCCATCAACTGCTAGTGGGCGACTGTTGCGAGAAGGGTCGTGAGGTAGGACTGCCGCATTGTGTGAGTTCTTGATGCAGAAACGGTCATATCCGTCTAAGTAGGCCGGTGTCATGTTGCTGATACAGAGCTGCTCTGACTCGAGGCTAAGGATTGCGCAGAGAACGGGAGCGAACATCTTGCTTCCGTAGACGAAGAGTGGCTTGGCGCCTGACTTCATGAGTTTACCCAGGTGGACTTGCGTGACAAGATTGTTTTTCGCGGCAAAGTAAGGGGCCAGACCATCTCTGAACTTGGCTTCGTCATCGGCATACTGAGAGATGCGGGCAGCGGTCTCATCGTCATGGCTGTCGTTGTCGTCTGCATACTCGGATGACTGGAGAGACTCCGGAGAACCTGAAGGGCTCGATGAAGGGCCCGGATCATCGTAGCCATCGGCAAGAGCCATAAGCTGCTCGTCTAAGTCGGCTTCAGTAACAGTGCCTTCGCGTTTGCCCTTAGGCAATGACGGGTTCCTCTTGTCCATGATCGTTGACTTTCATGACATGTACTTGGTGTTGGAAGAGAGGGATGTTTGGGAGTTAGTGTGGAAGGGTCGTGGGAGCAAAGAAGAAGTAGAAGTCAAGTGAGGGAGACCTTGTCAAAGTAACAAGGTGAACGATTGCCTTGGTTGTGGCTGATCCTCGGCTATAACTACATAGGTAGGTAGGTACCTATGCAGGACTGGGAGCATCACGACTCTGCGTCGAGCTTGCGGTGCACGCGAAGGAGCCAGGGCAAGCACGCACGTGGTGCGGTGAGAAAGACAGCAAGGTCATTTCCACGTAGATGAGAGGCCATTGGAAGCTGCATCTGGGTTTATGAGGTGTTCCTTGGCCGCCAGGGGGTTGAATGTTGCCTGGCGGACAGGGTTTCAAATCAAAAGATTCGGTGCAGGTCGATGAGCTTCGCATCTTCTTGGGCGGCGGAGGCAAAGCTGGCGTGTCCCATTCGGGCTTAGCCCCAGAGCTTGGGCGACCGCTCTGCGCTCTCCGACCTTAAGTAACATCATCGCGAGCTCTGCCTCTCCACTACATAAGCTCCCACGCCCTCTCCCCATCCACCAACTTCATCACAACCGCCCTGTCCATACCCGGACACACTTCCCAATACCCCCTACGCCCTTAATCTCGCTGTTCCTGCAGCCTTTCTCCTCTCCGTCCCTCGGTATCTTCACATAACGCCGCCAACATGTCCGGCGAGCCAGACCACGCAGCGGCTAAGAACAAGGTCAAGCTGGAGAAGTAAGTTCACTCGCCACCCTCCCGTCCATCCCAAAGCAGTTCCTGACAACCTTGCAGCGACCCTTCCGGCGCCGAGAAGCACGAAGTGAGTCCGCCTTGGCGGGAAACGCCACGCATCAACACCACTGACTCTTCCCAGGACGAGGTCGCCACCGCCATCCTCAAGAAGAAGAAGAAGCCCAACTCGCTGATGTAGGTAGCCTGCGACATCCGGAGTCGATAATTTGGAGATTGAAGGCCTGGGCTAACTGGTGCCACAGTGTCACCGACGCGACCAACGATGACAACTCGATTATCAGCTTATCGAACAACACCATGGAGACGCTCCAGCTCTTCCGTGGTGACACCGTGTTGGTCAAGGGCAAGAAGAGGAAGGATACTGTCCTGATCGTCCTGAACGACGATGACCTGGACGATGGTAGCGCCCGCATCAACAGGGTGGTGCGCCACAACCTCCGCGTTAAGCATGGCGACATCATCACGGTCCACCCGTGCCCGGACATCAAATACGTAAGTGTCTTAATATGTACTCGCGAAGGATCTTCACTAACACACCCCACAGGCCAAGCGCATCGCCGTCCTTCCTATTGCCGACACCGTCGAGGGTCTCACCGGCTCCCTGTTCGATGTATTCCTGGCTCCTTACTTCCGTGAAGCCTACAGGCCTGTGCGCCAAGGTGACCTCTTCACCGCTCGCGGAGGTATGAGGCAAGTGGAGTTTAAGGTCGTCGAGGTGGATCCCCCGGAGTTCGGTATCGTTGCGCAAGACACGGTCATCCACTGCGAGGGCGAGCCTATTCAGCGCGAGGATGAGGAGGGTAACCTGAACGAGGTCGGCTACGACGACATCGGTGGTTGCCGTAAGCAGATGGCTCAGATCCGTGAACTGGTCGAGCTGCCCCTCAGGCATCCCCAGCTCTTCAAGTCGATCGGTATCAAGCCCCCTCGCGGTATTCTTATGTACGGCCCTCCTGGTACTGGTAAGACCCTCATGGCTCGTGCTGTCGCCAACGAGACTGGTGCCTTCTTCTTCCTGATCAACGGTCCGGAAATTATGTCGAAGATGGCTGGTGAGTCGGAATCGAACCTCCGCAAGGCGTTCGAGGAGGCGGAGAAGAACTCTCCTGCGATCATCTTCATTGATGAAATCGATTCTATCGCGCCAAAGCGTGAGAAGACCAACGGCGAGGTTGAGAGGCGTGTCGTTTCCCAGCTTCTTACCCTCATGGACGGCATGAAGGCCCGTTCCAACATTGTCGTTATGGCTGCGACTAACCGTCCCAACTCTATCGACCCCGCTCTTCGTCGTTTCGGCCGTTTCGACCGAGAGGTCGACATCGGTATCCCCGATCCCACTGGCCGTCTGGAGATCATGTCCATCCACACCAAGAACATGAAGCTCGGTGATGATGTCGACCTTCAGACCATCGCCGCTGAGACTCACGGTTACGTCGGTTCTGATTTGGCTTCTCTCTGCTCTGAAGCGGCCATGCAACAGATCCGTGAGAAGATGGATCTGATCGACCTGGACGAAGACACAATCGACGCTGAGGTCTTGGACTCTCTGGGTGTTACCATGGAGAACTTCCGCTTTGCCCTTGGTGTCTCTAACCCCTCGGCCCTGCGCGAGGTTGCCGTCGTCGAGGTGCCCAACGTTCGCTGGGAGGACATTGGTGGTCTCGAGGACGTCAAGCGCGAGCTTATCGAGTCCGTCCAATACCCTGTCGACCACCCCGAGAAGTTCCTCAAGTTTGGTCTTTCGCCTTCTCGTGGTGTCTTGTTCTACGGACCTCCTGGTACTGGTAAGACGCTCTTGGCCAAGGCTGTTGCCAACGAGTGCGCTGCCAACTTCATTTCCATCAAGGGCCCCGAGCTTCTGTCCATGTGGTTCGGTGAGTCTGAGAGCAACATTCGCGACATCTTCGACAAGGCCCGTGCGGCAGCTCCTTGCGTTGTGTTCCTTGATGAGCTGGACTCTATTGCCAAGTCTCGTGGTGGCTCTGTCGGCGATGCCGGCGGTGCTTCTGACCGTGTGGTTAACCAGCTTCTGACTGAGATGGACGGCATGACCTCCAAGAAGAACGTCTTCGTCATTGGTGCAACCAACCGTCCTGAGCAGCTCGACAACGCTCTCTGCCGTCCCGGTCGTTTGGATACCCTCGTCTATGTTCCTCTTCCGGACAAGGACTCTCGTGCCGGTATTCTCAAGGCTCAGCTTCGCAAGACTCCTGTCGCTGCGGATGTTGATCTTGACTACATTGCGGCCAACACGCACGGCTTCTCTGGTGCCGATCTTGGCTTCGTCACCCAGCGTGCTGTCAAGCTTGCTATCAAGGAAGCGATCTCCACCGACATTGCGCGCACCAAGGCTCGCGAGGCTGCTGGCGAGGACACGACCATGGAGGACGAGGTCGAGGGCGAGGACCCTGTGCCTGAGCTCACCAAGGCCCACTTCGAGGAGGCCATGCGCTCCGCTCGTCGCTCCGTCACTGACGTTGAAATCCGCCGTTACGAGGCTTTCGCTCAAAGCATGAAGAACTCTGGCGGTAGCAGTTTCTTCCGCTTCCCTGAGGCTGGTGAGGACCAGACTGGCAACAACAACTTCGGCGCCGGTGGTGATGATGAAGGCCTTTACGACTAAGCGCACCCAAGTATCTTGGGATGATGATTTTCGATAATGGTTTTGCATGATAGGGCTTTTCCTTCGGTATCCTCACGGTAGTTGCAGGTGTCGGCCCCCGTCATAGAGAAGATGGTTTCTCTTTTCATTTTCTTTTCTTTTTTTGTTAACTGCTTGCTCAAAGTCGGAAGCGCCGCAGGCGAAGGAGTTATGACCTCCGTCGGGCCTCTTCAGTAGCGTTTTAGAGACTGGATGCGCACGCGCAGAGAAGCAGAAGGATGTGTGCATAATGAGTCTCACGAGGCTCCTGATAGCTTAGGCAATGGTTTCGATGACTTAGCTTGGCGCCTTCGCCGCCGTGACAGTGTTCTTGTTACTTCGTACAGTACCTATGATACCACGATACTTCATCCCATAAAACGCCCCGTGATAGGTATCTAAAAAATGGTCGCCCCAAGCTCATTCCTAAAAAGCGCCGTGTAAATGTCTGCGTCACAGCGTTCGTCCGATCGGAAGGGTCGTCAGCGAGATGACTGAGGACCTTCGCGTCGGGCTTCTAATTTGCTGTCGGTCGCCTCCTCTTATTATTTTATCGCGCTCAATCAAATGTGACGTCGCAAACCGTCTCCACCTCTCGCCTCACAGCTCTGATGCCCTCTCGAACCGCCTTCTCGGGCACCTTAATGTCCGGCTTGTCGAGCTTGGAGTCGCCGTTCTTGGAGTCGCCGTTGGCGGCACCGTCAGCGTCGGCGGCGGACTTGTCGGGGTGCCTGGTCTCGTCGAGGACGCGGCGCATGACGTCGTCGTAGGTGGTGCATTCGCCGGAGCGCAGCAGCTGCAGAATGTATGCGCGCAGGTTGTTGGACCAGCCGGACTCCTGCAGGGCCTGCTGCAGGGCCTGTTGGATGCGGGGGATGCTGTTGGTGGAGAGGAGGGCGGAGGTGAGGGCGGCGGACTGGGAGGGGCTGAGGTCGGTGGTGGTCGAGGGGAGGGGGAGGGTGTCGTTGGCCATGGTGTCGTCTCTCACACGGAAATAAAAGAGATAGTAACTAGCTGAAGAGGGTAGGAATTCGGATCTGCAATCGCGGTTAGCGAGCGATTCACTACGCAATCCGCTGTATAGGTGGAGTGTACGTGCATTATTTCAATAGTCGGCTAAGGGCGGAGATGGCCCTTCATGCGGGTGGAGGAGAGAGGGCCGAAAAGGAGGGAGGCTTCGTATGGAGCGGAGATTATGGCGATGGAAGGCGACGAAAGGGACATGCGGCTCAACGGCAACGACGCTCTTTCATTGTTCGGGGCGAGCAGTGCGATGGATTGGGTCAGTGCCTCGCTTCCCCGGCGCCCTTCAGGTTTCGGTGTCGGTCGCATTGGGCACTGTATATCGTGGCGATATATATAGCAATTTAGCTTGTCATTTGGCCCTTGCCCTTGTCTCCCGCCGACACAGCAGGACAACCTCGCCCTAAAAGCACCCACGGCCATCCCACCACAATCCTCGACCTCTCCCCAACCACGCTCTCGCCTCGCTGCCTCCCCGCCGCCCGACGGCCCCCTCGCCACATCCCAGAGCCTGCCGCCCTCAAAGCCTAACATCCCGACCCGGTCCCCTGAAGCCAAGGCCTGTTTTGCCGCCCCGCTGCACGGTTCCTTGACCTTGACCTTGACACACGACTTGCAAGCGCCGCCAAAGTCACGGCCAAAACCCCACACCCTCTGCAACCCGATCGCCTACTCTACCTGACACCCTCGCCGTCAATCTCGCTTCGTCTCACCAGGGTTGTTGGCAACCTACGCCCAGCCAAGGCTCAGGCAAGCCAAGCCAAGGTGGCACCGGCCAGCTGGGCCATCACATCACGATAACACCCTACTCTACTGCCTGGCTGTCCATGCCCCTCGCGCACCCATGGCAGCCATGACCGCAACCTTGAGCTCCTACAGAACCACCTACCATGAGGACTCGGACGCCGACGACGAGTACGAGCGCAGCGTCATAACCTCGCCCATGCTTCGTCCGGACTCGTACGAAACCAGCCCGACAGACTCGGAGCCGCCCACGGCCCAACACACGCCGACCACCTACACCCACTCGGCCGACAGCTACGCTAGTCCGACGGGCTTGGTGACCAAATGGACCCCCGAAGAGTGCGCGGATTGGGTGTCGAGCTTGGGGCTGGGACAGTATGCGGACAACTTCATCGGTGGGTGACATGGGAGGCGGAACGGCCACTGACGGTGGGCGGATGCTGACTATCTGCAGAGGAGGGCATAAACGGCGAAGCTCTGGTGGAACTGCAACATGCGGAACTCAAAGAAATGGGCATGGGCAGTGTAGGCCACCGTCTCACAATACTGAAGAGCGTGTACGACTTGAAGCTCAAGCAGAGCATCCCGATAAAAGAGGACGATTATGTGCCCTTGTGTAGGTGTTGAACAAATCTCGTTCGCCGGATATCCCCGCTCACGCTGTATAGCCGCCGAGAAAGCGACGCAAGATACCGCGCCCACTCAAGACGATTTCGCCCGCATCATCCAGATCATCAAAGACCGGGACGATCGCCTGCATGCCTATGAAGCTGACATGCGGCGTATGCGCGAGGATTTTGTTCGGATGACGGAGGAGAACAAGAAGCTGCGAGAGGACGTTCTACCAGTGGTACGTCTGGCCAAGGATCGATCGCAACCGCTACCCACTCCCGACGCCCACGATATCACTTCGCCGCCATCGCAAGACCGCCCCGGCAGCAGCCTTTCCCGTAAGTACTCCACGAAGAAGCTTTTTCTGGGTTCTGCTCCCAAGAACCCCTCGCCAACCATCCACGAAGGCCGCACCCTCACCGACACCGCCTCTCTCGACCCGTCCGCGGCAGCCATGGCCGCATCGTCTCATCTCACAGCTTCGATAAGCGGCGGCTCACACTCAACCTCTCAACCAGCAAGTTCGCCACATCACATTCCGCAACCGTCTCCAACGTCCCCCGCATACAGCACGCAAACCATGTCCCGTGCCCGCTCGCATGCCAACGACCACAGAGGCTCGACAATCGACGGGAACTGGTCGTCCTCGGCGAGTACTCTCCAAGGCGACCGGGACACATTACGTAGCGGAGCTTCTCGCCGCGATCGCGATCGTGACCGCGATTTTGACCCGCCTCTCTCTGCCGGCCGCCATGCCGCCGATAATGCCTCGCTCGCAAGCAACTCGACCTCCGCAAATAATTCCGGCTCATCGAATCCACAAGTGGAAATCTTCAAAAGTTTCCGCGTTAGCATCGACGACCCGTGCCATAAAGTCCTTCCAGTTGCGCTCAAAAAATACAACATCACGGCAGACTGGCGGCAATATGCGCTGTATATCGTTCATGGTGACCAAGAGCGCTGCCTGGGTTTGAACGAAAAACCATTGATACTGTTCAAACAACTAGACCGCGAGGGTAGGAAGCCAATGTTCATGCTGAGGAAACACGCTGCGCCAGCAGAAGGTCACATCAGTACGATCGGCGGTGGTGGGGGTACATATACGGGGCAGGGCGGAACGACACTGCCTGTCCCCGGAGGCGTGCTGTGAGAGAATTAGAAAAAAAAAAAAAAAAAAAAAAAAAAAAGAAAAAAAAAAGCGAAAGTATTTTTTGGACCAAAAAAGTTGTTGATTATACCTCTACATCTTCTTCTCGAGGACGCAGGCATATGGCACATGCTCATTTTGGGGCCATTTGGTCACAAAGCATTCGTTGGATATCGAATCACCAAGTCCAGCCTTCCCCTTGATTTTTTTTTTTTTTTTACATCTGGCTGGCGAACTTTGACAGGCGTCAATCATTCCCTACATTAAACTATTTCCTTTAACCATTTTTTCTCGTCGTTGCTCCTTTGTAATCGGGTCACGTGGAACGGCAGGCACTTTCGGGCACCGAAGGGGAAAACGCATAGTGGCGTCTTCTGAATCTTGCTCTCTAGTCTTTTTTTCTCTCTCACATTTCCTTGAGTTAGTTTTGATTTTCCCAAGCCATACTATTCCCTTGCTTATTATCTCTTAGTTTATTTTCGTTGTTGTTTTTGCTAGGTCTTTCTTCTTCTACTTTCTACTTCTACATTTTCGCTGGTCGCCGCAAATGATTCCCTCGGCCTCTCTCTCTATGTCAGAGCCGCAAAGAAGATGGATCCCTGACGCGCAAGAGGAGGCGGGCAACGGGTTCGCGATATGTCACATATCGGTGCTGGTGCCGCATTAGATGGGCGGGATTGACGGACGGACGGACGGACGGACGGACAAACCGGCGGGGTTGGGGTTGGGGGCGTGAAAGCGCGGCGCATGCGCGCGGAAATCTTCCAAGGTCAGGCGGGTGGGAAGGTGGGAACAAGGATTCAAGGCGGGACAACAAGGACAAGGTGGGACACAAGGCAGGACACAAAGGCGTTCTTGGTTGGTGGGTGGGGTTGTGTGTGCGGTTTGACGATTGCATGGACAGACGGAAGACCGGGGAGGTTGGGGGCGCAGGCGGGCTGGGTTCTGAGTGAAGCTGCTGCTGAAGAAGAAGAAGGTAGGTGCGGGCGCGAACGGCCGGCGTCAGACCGTGGATATAGCTGCTAGCGGCTTCCGTCGTCGTCGTGTTTGAAGCGGCGGCAGGGCCATGTAGGAAAAAATGTGAACGGGTTTCGCTTTTTCTGAGAGAGAAAGAGAGGGCAGGTACCTACCTGTCGTCGTCTTCTGCAACAATGCAACAATAACAATGGGTGGCAGTGGAGTGCGGAGCGGCGGGGGCGCCGCGTAGGCCGGCCGCGTAGGCGGCCGCGCGCACGCACAGCCCAAAACCTTACCCTTCCGGCCGGGAGGCCGTTGTCGTATTGCGTCGTATCGTCCCTACCGGCCGGCCGGATGGGCTGTAGGCAGGTAATATAAACGCGCCGTTGGGACCCTGGTCGTTGTGGTTTCCCTAATGAGGAGGCGTTGGCGGAAAGGCTTGGCGCTGGGAGCGGGGGGGGTCGCTTGGCGCCCGCTTTTTCTTTTTCTTCTTCTTGCGCAAGCGGGGCCGTGCGCGGCGAGCTTTGTCGCACGCATTTCGGCGGGAGGGGTTGGAGGGTTTGATTTGGTGATGGTGGGGTGGTGCTTGATTGAAGCGAAGGTGTGCGGGTTGCTTGGGATTTAATGGTTGGGGATGTTGCCATGTTGTACTTGTTACCTACAGTGGTGAATGCTGCTTTGGAGAAGCGAACGTGTGTTGTAATCCTTATAATAGATTGTCTGATTTAAGGTATTGAAAGCACTCTACCTTAAAGCACCTACAAGTCCTTATACGTGGACAAACTGCTCCCTATAAATTACTTCTTGGATGGATCTGGAGTCTACGCTTATAGCTAGCTAGGTAGCAACTTACAAGGACATGTAAACGAGGGCACTATACTTTCCTGGCCGTGGTGTATGCACAGTGGTTCATTGCGGACTGCGTTGCAAAGCGCCCGGCATCCTCTAGCATATATACTTTGTTACCGAAATAAGAGTAGCGGCCGTTATATCTGTCGTGCAAGGGTATGTAGAAAGCCCAAGTTCTGGGGGTATGATCGAGTGGTTTTGACGCACCACATGCTCAGCAATCAGTCCTCATAGTAGCGTCCAGCCACACAACGCCCGCCTGCACCCCATCCACAACCCTAATTCTCTTTCCCGACTCCTCGCCGAGCTCTTCAATGCAAGCTTCCCTCACCATTTCCTCCATGCCTGCCATGCCGGCACAGCCCAGACACACGGCGCCGACATCGCCCCCACCTACCAGTCTCTTGGTCGCATCCATCATCTTACGGCGCACCTCATCGGGCGGCGCATCATGCAGCTCGGTGGCATTCAAGCCCGTCGTCTCGACACCCGCGAAGCGCTTCCCCGCCGTCTCGCCAGTGCCCAAGAAGGCGGTAACAGCGCCCGTCAAGATCTCTTCCCATACCTTGCCGGTGCTCACGATGCCGAACTTCTGGTCGGGCGCGACGAGCTGCAAGCTCGCGGTGACGCTTGCCTCGAAGATGCCTGTGACGGGCTTGTGGTTTCTCTTGACGTCGTCCTGGCACTTCAGCAGCGGCACCAGCGGGTGCGGCGAGTAGCAGGCCACGAGGAAGGCGTCATGCTGGGGCAGCAGCGGGAGGAGGCGCGGGAGGCAGTGCTCGACGCTGGCAGCGGCGTCGGCCTCGTTGTTGATACTCTTGATGCCTGAAGGCGCGGTGAAGTAGGCGCACGTGGTGGTCGCCTGGCAGGCCAAGCAGTTAACATTAGTGGAGACGGCAGAGGGACGGTTAGCTAGGGAGAACAACGGAATCGAGGCCAAGGGCATTGACGAGAGGCTCCAGGCCTCGGGTCATGGCCTCGGTGCAGTTCGGGTTGATGACCAGGATGGAGCGCGACTTGCGGGTGGCCATGACGTGTGTCACGATGGGTTGGAGGAGTGAGCTGGCGTTGGTGTTGTTGGGAGCCTTCGGAAAATCAGCGGTTGGCGGCGATCGGCGGGGTGCGGCTTGCGGCTGAGTTTCTTGACGTCACTCGTCGCGGCTTGTGTTTCACCTGGAGAGTTCACGGGAGGTCTAGCCATTTGTCACCGTGTCATGCTTCGTTCAACTTCGTATTATCACTATCAGCTTCTGTTCCTCAACGCTATTGATCCTTGCCGGTTGTGTGTCAGGGTATCTTAGCAAAAACCACCTCATCGTCGGGCCCGGTCCACCATGCATGCGCCCAGGTGCATGCTCAAATTGAATGCTCATTTAATCGTCAAAGTCAAAGTCATTTATGTGATTTTCCAACAAAGTCTAGGTACACAGCGTCAGTGGAGTGCACGGGCGGTTACGACCATCCTACATACCAGGTTTGGGGGTGTCGTCGTATCCAGGGGGAACATTGGAAGCTCAGCTCAGCGGAAGCAGCTAAACCTGCCGAGACTGAAGCGGAAAGGAGCCCTGCGGACGCCGTTCTTGTCGACGATGATGCCACCACCTGCGCCAAGAGTCAGCATAAGGATAGAGCGGCATGAGATTGTGATGTCCTACCGCCGTGGCGGCCGCCCCACTGCTTAGTCCACATCAGGCCCATCTTGTTGTTGATCCAAAGAAGAGAGTTGTTGCGAGGTTGGTTGGTTGGTTGTAGGTGAAACAGGTATTCACGAGGAGAGTTGATCGAGGGGGTTGAGAGTGGAAAGGTCGGTCTTTTTATGCGTTGGTGACGACACAGCCAAGAGATCGCGGAAACAGGACTGTTGCTACTCCTAGGGTGGACGTGGCAGTGTGGCAGGTGGCGCGGGTGCGTGGCTGTGCGCGCGGCCCTTGTGAAAGCTTCCCCAGACACTTGGGCACGGGAACCAGCGCGGATCAGCAATGCAATATCATTTCGACTACTCTAGACCTTTCTTGTGCCGTTGACGTGCTTAGGCTTGCGATTCATGCCTGCCTTGCAATTGGTGCAACGACTTTCGGAGATTGCACGCGTGCCGCAGACAAAGTGACTACCACATCTGTTCCCGCCTACAAGCCACCAATATGCCGTCGACGCGAAAAGAAACGTCTGGCGCCATGCACTCTGGACAAACGAGCCTGCGCCGTTTGCCCAAGCGGCCGCGCATCCACCGCGTAATTGAACCCCGTCGTGAACGCGTTACCACGCTGCCGACGCGGACTTTGTAGCCAGTTATGAACGTACCGGCCGTCTGGTAGGAACCAATTGTATGTCATTCGTTTATTGGGCCTGAAGATATGTGACTGGCAAGAGCATCCAGAACATGGAAAGCCGCGAAATATCCAGCTTTTCTAAACTACCTAACTGAACCGAGCGTGACCGTAACGCCCCCCAAGACGCTTCCATTCGACATGTCCTAGACCCAATGATATACTACAGCTTTTGCATACCAGAGCGTGCAATCCCCATGCTCTTTTCCCCCCATGGCGCCTTTACCTGTTGGGAAGGGTGCCGCCCTGGGCCATGGCAGCGTTCTGCTCTTGGAAGCGGTTGCCGAGTCTCTCGGAGCCCTTGAGAATCTTGTCGACGCAGCGCATGACGCAGCCCTCCTCGCGGGAGCCGAGGGACTTGGTGGAGAAGTCGTTGATGCAGTCGTCGAAGCACCTCTGGACGAGGTTCGAGTACATCTGGCGCCAAGTGGGTCAGCGTCCGGAGGGGAATCAGGATAGGTTGCGGCACTGTGGCGCGAGCTTACCGTCATGAACTCCTTCATCTGCTTCCTCTCCATGCGACCCTGCAGCTCGCGCTGCTCAGCACCGGAAAGACTGGACGGCAGAGGTTAGCGGGGTTCGGTTCGGTGTCGGAGGGGTGGCGGGCAGGGTTAACGCACGCGTCCATGGCAGCAGATGGTGGGTATTAAAGGTAGGATGGATAGAGATTGCGGATTGCGGTTGGGGTTGCTGTTGCTGTTGCTGTTGGTGATGCTGTTGCGGTGCGGTGTGTGTGTGTGCAGCAGCTTGCTTTGCGGAGGAGCTTTGAACACAATTTTTGGGCGTAGGCGAATTGACGTAGGCTTGGCCCCGGGGAGAGGAGCCCAATGGAGCAGCGAGGCGCGCCGAATTATCCTGCTTCTCCGCCGGTTTCTTGATCAGACCCTGATTAGCGCTGGCTTTGCTGGGGCCGGCGCGAGGATTGGTTCGCGTCCTGACTCTTCTGATACAAACCCAATGCCTACAAAGAGGGATCCCTATTTTAGCCTAAGCCCGCCGCTGCTGCCAGCGCTCGCTCGACACGCTTCGACTCGCCCTCCCTCTCCTCTCCCTTTGCTTGCTTGCCTCTCACCCCGTCGCTCGTTCTGACTGCCCTGCTGCCGTGCCCGTCCTCGTCGCGTCCTCGTATCCCGCGCAGCAGTCTTTGATTCCCCCTCCGATCATTACCGGGACGAGGCGCACGCCTGACCAGGGACCAACGACGAGCCACCACGGCCGCACAAATATCATCGCATTACATCACCCTAAGAGTCGAGCTGATCGTCTTTTCCGCGATCTTCAACGTTGCACTACCTGGAACGACAACGGCCTTTCTGCATCCGCCGCACCCTTCACCCTCCCCGTCCTCACTTCGCCGCGCAGCCTTGGCCTGACGCGCGCAGCCGTCGCCCCCAGCGCCACGCCCTCCGTCCCCTCCGACCCGGCCCAGCGTGCAGCGTAAGCCGCATTCGAGCGACGTCGTCGCTTCGGCTTTGGCTATTTTAGGAACAGCCGCGACCTGGCTCGCGCACCGCACCCGACAGCCACCATCGCGCATCCCCACAACACACCACGCCGGAGAGGCTGCCCGACTGCCACTGACCCGACACAATGCCCCACGGCGCGTCTGCCAGCACCTCGCGCAATTGGGAGCCCACGCCGGCTGCCGCCCAAGCTGAAGGCCCTCCGTCAAAGCGCGATCTGACCTCCTGGTGGAGGCAGTTCAAACGGGGGAACGCAAAGAGGGAAGAAGATAAGGGTACGTTTCTCAACACGCTCCGGAGGAAGTTGTTCAAGGCTTCAGGCAAGTACGCATCGAACCTCCGGTCTTCCCTCCAGGGGACCCGGCTGTCCAAGTTGCTGGCTGGAAGCACTCGTCCATCTTCTTCCTGCGCGCACACAATGCGCGCGGTCACATACGAAAAGCTGATTACACCTTGTGATACACAGAGGCCGAAAAGCCCCGCGGCATCTTCGGCGTCCCTCTCCAGGAGAGTATCAAGTACGCGAACGTGGCCATCTCCCTTCTCAACGAGGAAGGCCAGAGCTATATCTACGGCTATGTGCCCATCGTCGTGGCCAAGTGCGGTGTTTTCCTGAAAGAGAAAGGTCAGTTTGATCCTCTGCGCACGCCTTGGTCCGCGCTTGGAAACAACAGATATGTGCTGACGGCTTGTGTCGGTAGCGGTGGACATCGAAGGTATCTTTCGCCTAAGCGGGTCCGAAAAGCGCATCAAAGAGCTCAGAGAGGCTTTCAACTCACCCGACAGATATGGAAAAGGCCTAGACTGGACGGGCTATACGGTTCACGATGCTGCTAACATCCTGCGCCGATACTTCAACACGCTTCCTGAACCGATCATCCCTCTGGAGTTCTACGAGTCTTTTAGGCGGCCGCTACGCAACCACCAAGCCCAAGCTGTCGGCCAGATCGAAGGCCAGGGCCCGTCGGAAGGAGAGTTCGATATTGATGCGGCGATCAAACGGTACCAAAAGCTCATCACCGAGCTGCCGCCGCTCAACCGTCAACTGTTGTTGTACATCCTCGACCTGCTGGCCGTCTTCGCGTCAAAGTCCGACTTCAACAAGATGACGACGCCCAATCTTGCGGCCATCTTCCAGCCGGGCATCCTCTCTCACCCAAGCCACGACATGGCACCGCCGGAATACCGTTTGAGCCAGGATGTCTTGATCTTCCTAATTGAAAACCAGGACAACTTCCTTATTGGCATGCAGGGTACGGCGGCCGATGCGAAAACAGTTGAAGAGGTGGAGAGCGGACCCTCGACTCCTGTCGGAAGGGCTCCTACAACGCCCAGCCGAGCCAAGACAACTATTGGAAGGTCGTCATCGAACGCAAGCGCTGGAGCCGAGAGTGTCCGTAGGCAAGGTCTCATCAGAAGGAACGTATCAGTCTCATCGAAAAGATCCAGGGCCTCAGGGAACGTGGCGCCAAGCCCAGTCACTCCGTCTTTCACCCCCAGTTCTGGATCCGGCGTCCACAGAAGTAACACGGTCCCGTCGAAGAAATCACCAGCCGTTGCTGCAAGGCGCTTCGACCGTGAGAACCATAGCCCGAACGCAGGCCATCGTAGCCCTCCTCCGGTTGCATCAGTCTCCGTCGCTGAACCTAAGCCAATTCTTAACATTCCTCCGGTGCTACTGCCTGGAGGTTTGAGACCCCCTCCAGCTGCGGCCCAAATTATTTCTCCTCCTTCTAGCGAAGATACCACCCCTCTGGCAGCGCCGCCCAGTGTAACTTCAGCTACTGGTCTGCTACCAAACAGGGCCCCTTCGGAGCTTGCGTCGCAGAAGAGATCTGAAAGGGCAGAGCATGACACTCCCACTGGTTTTCGCTCCTTGTCCAACATGTTTTCACCATCTCCTTCCTCTGATGGCGAAACCAAGGAAAAGCGCCGCCCCAACAAGCTTCAAAAAAAAAGGGCTCCAAGCACCAACCCTAGCGCTGCCAGTTCGAGCACTTCGCTCCACAACTCTGGCGCCGGTTCCCATGCAGGACCGCCATCTCCGCTGCCTCCTGGCATCGCGGCGAGCCCACCAGCCAAAGACCAGAAAGGTATCTCTCCGATCGAGGAGACATTGGGGGAAAAGCACGAACATCATCATCCACTGCAGCCAAGCATGTCGCCGACCGCATCCATGCGCTCTCACTCAACCGTGGCCGATTACTCGGAAATGGAGCACGATTTTGAGCCCGGTTCAGAGCACCACGAGAGGGATAGAAGACGTCGGTGGCGCATATCTCATAAAAAAGAGGCTAGCGAGCCCCCTTCCGTGGGTACTAATGCCGTTGCCGAGCAAAGTATGAGCTCCTTTGGGTCCAAGGCTGGCCGTAAGAGCTTGACCCTCGATCCTGCGGAAGCTTCAAGCGCGGCAGCTGCCTGGGCTGAAGCAAGCAAGGAGGCTGACAAAAGGAGCGCTGGCGGCCCCATCGAATGGTTTCGTGGAAAACTGGCAGAGAGGAAGGAGCGGGAAGAAGCGAAAGCGCGCACCAAAAGCCCGCCCAACAGCCGCATCGAAACTGCAACAGCTTCGGAAAGGCAGCGATCGGCGAGTAATCTCTCGCCCATTAGTCAGACCATGCACGGGAGAGGTCGATCGGTGGATCTTGCTAGGGCAGAGCCGCAGCCCGTGCTCGACGCGAGAGAACAGACTGAGCTTAAGTCGGGGAGGGAAAAGGAGCAGGGCGCTGAGCAGATAGCGCCTAGTCAGTCCTCTGAACAAGCGTCACCGCCAGCGAGGGCGACTGTGGTTGAACCCATGGCTGGTTCGATCGCTCCGACTGCACCGACTGTGTCGGCTGCTCCGGCTATGCCGGCTGCTCAGGCCCTCTCTCCTCGGGCAGCGCCGACCGAGTGGGCTGCGCGGCCTATACGAACCGATCTGCCCATTCCTTCGGAGCCTGTGTCGCGGGCTCAAGGGTCCATGTCACCTGCGCGGGGACCGGTATCCCCATCAGTGTCCGCTATAGCTAGTCCGACGTACCCAGGCGGCCCAGGAAGCGAGACGCCTAAGGAAGGAAAGTCTCCGGATACACAGCCACCAACGTCGCCGCAGCAGAGTGGACAGCCTGTCCGTTCCATGCTAGACATCTAGCCCCGTATGACAACGGTCTCTTCGTATTGTCTGGACGATGGAACGTCCATGCACGGTCGGTGTGCACTGAATCATTGCGCTGTCCTCCAGTCGATTGTACATTCGGTACCGTCGGTCTGGTCTCATGATTTTTCCTCGATTGGGGAGAGGAGCATCTAAACGGAAGTTCATCGTCGACATACTACCGATGGTCGGTGGGTTTCAGGAAGTCGGTTCTGATGTTTGAGCATGCCTTGCCATCTGCTTGTCGATGTCAGCCAACGGGTCGCAATCGGGGATCTTCTTCTGGTCTCGGGTGGGATGCATCGGGGTGCGGCTGAGAGGCCACCCGCCGTCGACCTTTGCTTTATTTTTGCTTCATTGCTTTCTTTTTTTTCTTCAAACTTTGCAGATTTCTTCATACTTGGGGGGGCGGAGGGAAGGATTTTGCTCGTCTGAAAGCGCCGCAGCGAAGGCGCGCGCGTAATGTGGCTCATAGTCTATTCGTCATTGCGGGCTTTTTCCCCCATCCGTTTGCTTCAAGACTAACTCTTTGCTTTCCGATTTGTCCTCGAGTGTTCTTTTTTTGATTTTTAACTCGGGCGCGAAGGCGAGAGGTTACGAGGACGGCGGGACTTCCGCCACTGAGAGAGTCGGCGGAGGCCTGGGGCGCCACTAGGCGGCGGTGGCAGCCAGATACGAGAGCGGTGCACGGGGACTCTTTTGCTTATGTAGTCTAGGGCCTGTGATTGGCCAATGAACAGCGGCATGTCAAGGTGTAACCAGGCCCGTCACGACGTTTTTGACTAAGAGGTACGAAGAGGTACGAGAGGTCCGAAAACGGCACTGCCCTCTGTCGTTCTCGGCCGGCTGCGACGATCACGGCCGATAGACGGTAGAACCCAGGCCTCGGATCATGGCCTTCAGGCGCTATAATTAGCATGCTGCTCGGGCTGAAACAGTGGCCGCGGGCGCCACTAACGCGACGTCATGGAGAGACAGCAGCAGGCGCAAAAAGCAGGGAAAAGACGAGTCGGGCTGCTACCCGGGCGCATGAAGCGAATGAGACAGCCACGACAGCGTAGTGTGGGCGTGGCATCATGGGCCGGATCAAGGGCGCGGGCAGCGCGCGCGATGGAGGAGCAGGGACCGCGCGTGGGCCGCCGCCTGTTTCTAGCGGGCGCCACCACTCGTCGACCTCTCTTGTCCTTGACTTTCCCGCACGCCTCGTATCCACAACTAGGAGCTGAGGCCCGCAACGGCCGGCCGCTATAGTTATCCTTTTGCCTCGCTCTCCCCCATCTGTCCGACTCCTGTGAAACTCCTACTCCTCACTCGCTCCCGCACTCGCTCCCCCGCCTTCGTTGCTGCCACGTTCTTCCTCTCTCGGACCACACGCCACATTGTAAGCACCCACGTCCTCATTTACCCGCTGCTTTACCCACTAACATGGCTCCCTGAAAGTTCCATATCCGCCTCAATCCCAATCGCTTTCCTCTCTCTCTCTCTCTCTCTCTCTCTCCCTCCCTCTCTCGCTTTCTCTCGTTCGTCCGCTCGCCAAGATGCCCGGACACCGCAGAAACGCCTCTCTCCGGAACATCGTCCTCCTGGGCCTGCCGCTCGCCGGTGCCTTTGTCGTCCCCGATCAGCACGACGTCTCCAACGCTCTCCAGAACCGTGCTCACCCCGTCGTTCGCGATGGCGTAGAGGCCGTGTCGGGAGCCTACGAGGCCGCCTCCCACTGGGTCGCCGGCAAGGTCGATGTCGTCAAGAGGCAGGCAAGTGATGCCAGCAGCGCTGCCGAGGCTCCCGCGACCTCTGCTGCTGCCCCTGCTGCAGACAGCTCGTCCGCCGTTGCCGAGACGTCGGCCGCGGTTGCGCCCACCTCGCAGGCGGCCTCGCAGGCGGCCTCATCCGCGGCGGCCCCCAGCCCCAGCACGACGGCCGAAGAGGCTAGCACCACCGTCGCACCCAGCAGCACCGCAGCACCTACCAGCCAGGCGGCGCCTACCAGCGCAGAGGCGACGACGGAAACGACATCTGCTTCCGAGCAAAGCTCGGCTATCCCAAGTACGTCTGTTTCCGCTCCCTCTTCCACTGCTGCCCCGTCCACCACGGCCGAACCCTCGACCACTGCCCCGAGCACCACTGCCCCGAGCACCACTGCCCGCACAAGTGCTCCTTCATCCGAGGCATCTTCCCAAGGTGCGTCAGAGACGAGTACATCTCCTACTTCTGCCCCCACTTCTGCCCCCTCGAGTGCGGCTGCATCTTCGACCGAGGCCTCTTCCGCTCGAGCATCATCAGCTGATGCCACTTCAACGGAAGCTTCCCGGTCGACTACTGCTGCCGCATCATCCACAGGTGCGTCCGAATCGAGCCAATCCACCTCCGAGGCCTCCCCTTCTTCCACCCAGGCATCTTCGACTGATGCGTCCTCTACGGATGCATCCTCCACGGATGCCTCCTCCGCCCGGACCTCAGCTTCGGCCTCGGAATCCACCCGCACCTCTGGCTCTAACCCCTCTACCACCGCTCGCGCTTCAGAATCGTCATCTGGTTCGAGTACTGACTCGGTCGCGTCTTCCACAGCCCAGGAAACCACAGCGACGGTCATTAGCACCGCCGATTCCACCACTACCGAGTCTTCCAAGACTACGGCCAAGACTACCGCTAAAGCCACGACCACGGTGGCTTCCACCAAGGTCCGCACTTCGACGCAGGCCATCGTGATCCCCGTTACGATCTCTACGACTGACCGTGAGGGCCGCACCGTCACTGTCACTTCTTCCGCCCTTGACCGCGCCACCGCCAGTGTCACCACGGATGTCACGACGACCAACACCAAGGGCAAGACTGTGACTGTTCGCACGACTGCCCCAGCCGTTGTTCACACGACTACCGACGCCCAGGGTGCCACGGTCACCACGACCTCGCGTGCCCAGGTGTACAAGGCCCCGACCTTCACTTCGGGCCAAGTCGTCAGCACGACCAACGACCAGGGCTCCACCATGGTTACCACGTACACGCCCGATGGCGGTAGCGTCAGCAGCCTTGTCCTGCAGACGACGACGCTTGACGACGGTAGCCTGCAGACGCTGACCAGCTACGCTACGGTTGCCGCCGCCAGCGCGACCGATGCTGACGCGACCACCGAGGCCCCCAGTCTTCAGACTGGCAACTCGGCGGCCCACCAACTGGGTAGCAAGATGGCCGCTGCTGCGGCCGCCGGTCTTGCCGGTGCCGCGTTCATGCTTTAAAAGGGTGAAAAAACAGTGGTTTTTATGTGATTTATTTGTACAGTTTCTCATATACACATTCCTTTTATGCACAGCGAACGGATGGACGGATCTCAAGGATTATGGGCTGTTTTTTTCTTCTTCGAAATCTTTTCTCTCTCTACTTAATACGGGAGGAATCACGGGGGGAAACAGGGCATAGTCTCCTTTTGACTCTTGTGTTCCTTTTTCTCTTAATTTTTTCCTCTCTCTCTATCTCTCTCGGTCTTTGGGGCAACGTTGCGCTCCTGTCGTCTCGATCTCGAGTCTCGCCGACCCGACCACCCACACCTAGCCACCTGCGTACCTACTACGCACACACGCCTAGCCTGTCTGTCTAGACACTGTCTATCAGTCAGTCAGTCTCTTCACGACCTTGATGAAAAAAAGAATATATAGACTGCGCGCCGGTCATGACTGTCCTTCTTGGTATCGCCACTGAAAACGAATGCTGCTGCTGCTGTTGTTGAAGAAGAAGAAGTTTGTTGTTTGCGATGGAGGACGAGGATGGGGATGGTGGTGTTTGCACACTTGTGGTGTGGAAAAATGTTGGGAGGATGCTGTTTGGGTTGATTTGGGTTGGTTTGGTGAAAGTGAAAAATTGTGGATGGTATATATACTTATATGTGTACGTACGTATATATGGAAATGCGATATGTGTTATGGTATTTATGGATCTGGTGTAGAGGTGATGTGCGAGATGTGGAGAGGAAGTGGCAGTGATACTGTGTCTTTGCTTCGGACACTGTCCACTGCGGTTAGATGGGCAATTATCAGTATGCTCTGTAACTTATAAGGACCATACTAATCTGCTCACGAGGTTATATAGGCAAACTTCCCAATTGCACAAAATCTAACAATCCAACATGGGCACATATACGAATAACAATCAACTCCTACAATGGCAGTAGTACACGACATGCAACAACAAAACGCATCCACCATCTACCAGTCTACCTACCTACCCACCTACCTCCACGGTGCTGTGTCACTGACGGACGGAGGCCATGCATGCAAGCACGACCCTCGCAGCTATATGTTTCTCTCTCCAAGCTACCATTTACCCATTTGTCATTTGCTAGGTATTTCCCTGGCACGTGTGTATAGACGCCCGTGATACATACATACTACGTACATGGCGTCAACAGCGAGTAGGACTGCAAGAAGTCAAAAACCCCCCCCCTTCAACGTCTCAGCCGCAGCGCCCTTCCTCACCGTCCCGCGCCGCTGGCGCCAGGGGGCTGCTGTGGCGTGCGCTGGGTTGGGTTGATTCAGTTCAGCTCAGCTTACGAGGAGCTTGGCTTGGCCCAGCCCGGCGTGTTTGAGGTCCAGCCGTGGCGCGCGCTGGGCTGTTTCGGCGAGGAGTGCGCGGCGGGCTGTGGCGGGCTGTGGCGGGCTGTGGCTTGTTGGTGTTGTTGTGGTTGGGTTTGAGTTTGGGTTTGGGGTAACTGGGTTAGGCTTGGTGGTGCTTGGCTTGGCTTTGGTCGCGGCTTGGCTTTGTTTGGCTTTGTTTGGTTGGGTGGGTGTGGGAAAGAGGGTTGGAGGGAGGTGTGGAGGGGGAGGGTGGGAGAGATGAGACGTAAATAGGTAGGTTGGGGATAAGGGGGTTGTGAGGAGAATCTACCCGTACTCCTAGGTAGGTACTGTGTGCATGTGAGCTCCCAGACCGGCGACAGCATGAGCACGCGTCCCGTCCTCTCCCTCCTTCGTCACACGATTCCTCGACCCGCACGCGTATTTGGTCAGTACCCATGCACCACCACACACACACCAAGACAACCAAACTAACAACCAAACTCAGATTCCCTCATTCCGCGTAATTGTCTTGATACGTACAATGCAAGCAAGCACAGCTCTGCCACCGACCTTTTGGTTTGTGAAAGAAAGAAGAAAGTAAAAAGAAAAAGAGAGACCAAGCAAGCAAGCAAGCGTAGGGGCAGAAATAAAGAGAGGAAGAGGGAGGGAGAGGAGAGAGAGAGAAGAAAAAAAAAAGTTCCACCAAAGCATCTTTCCTCCCTTCCCTTGATTGAGAACGCACACAGTGCAACGCCAAGCAGAGAAAGTAAAAAAGAACAGTTAAACGTCAATGGCTACGTCGCAACGCGCAAGCACAAGAGTATGAAGGCAAGCATGTGGAGTGAGTAGTAGCCACGCGACCAACACCACTGCATGGGAAAGCTGCTTTTTGCCGGCGAACACGTCGAGTGGTCCGCCCCGAGGCGCGTGCACGCACTCCGCGTTTCCCAGCGCCAAAATCTTGCTTGCTTAGATTGCCCTCCCTCCGTGTGCTTCGTTCCATTTTGTCTTTCAATCCAAACCGTTCGGTTCAACTCCTTACACGCACGCCAGCTAGCCAGCCAGCCAGTCCGTCCAGCATCACATCACTCGCCCATCCGCCCACACACTTAGTCATTTGCCGACGTCATCGTTCAATCTCAACCCTGAATCTTGACAAAGTTCGCCAGATGAGGGAACGCTACACGGAACGCGGGGCCGAGGCTCCAGTTCTCGAGGTTGCGCAGGTGCGCCTCGAACGCCGGGTTGATGACCCACTCCTCCGCATCGTCAGTGGGAACAGGAGTGCCAAGGCTGCTGCTGTTTGCCCCGCTTCCCGGCTGCTGCTGCGCTGGCGGCGGCGCCTGCTGCGACGTCGCACTCTGGCTCTGTGTCCCCGCGCTCAAGGCCGTCAGCGCCGGGTCTGTGGTCGAGGCTAGGGCGGCGCTGACAGGCGTCGACTCGGTGGCGGGGTCGATGGGGATGTTGTTGTGCATGTTGGGCGCGGGAGGAGCACCGCCCCCGCTGCTGGGGACGGCCGATGCCGGCAACAGCACGTCACGTTGCTCGTAAGGCCAGTTTAGGCACAGGCTGGTAGTGAATGGAATAAAGAAGTTGTCAAAGGCCTGCTGGGGCTGCAGGGCGATGATGCGGTCGCGGAGGCGGGGCCTGTAGGCAGTGTGAGGGACATGGCCATACTGATGACACGCGGGGACTTACCAGGGCAGATAATCGTGCCACACAGGATGCGGCGTGAACAGCTGACTTGGCCGTGGTGTGATCCAGTCGGGTAGTCGCTCGTAGTTCTCCTGCGTGGGCTCGATCTGCCACCGCATAAAGAGGAACATGATGTACAGCACAGCCACCTTCTCCGCCAGCCCAGAGATGTCCGGGAAGGTGCGGAGGATGTCCGTGAATACCTTGGACAGCGGATGGCTCTGAACCTCCCGGTCGGGATTCAGCAGATATGAAAAGTTGGGATACGCAGGTCCCACGAGCGTTTTTAATGGCACGCCCTGGGCCGCCCGCGCATGTTGTTCTCCCAGAAAGTCTATCAGCAAGCTATCGAGTACGCACGTTGGATCGAGGTTGCGCGGCAGTGTGTTCGATGCCTCGAGCGGACGTCCGTTAAAGTCCAAACCAGACGATTGCATGCCCGGACCGCCATGACCCACGCCATTGTTCAGCTTGGCCATACGCTGATTGTTATCCAGGAGGAAGTTGACTCCCAAGCGCTCATCCGATTGCGCGTATTCAAGGTCTGGATGGATATTGCTCGGGCGCGGCTGGTCGTAGGGTGTTTGCTGGGGGTGCCATCCGCGGACGTGGCTGGTGGGTGGCACGCCCGGGAAAGCCCAATGGCGACCGTTGGATGCCTGGCTGCCGGGCGATGAGGCATTGGTCTGGTCGTGAGGCACACCCGGCTCTTGGACGGCGGGCACGGACGGATGAAAGGCGCGTTGATCGGGCATGTGCATGTGTTGCTGGGCTCGAGGATCGGCCTCGTGGGGCGGAAGCTGGAGAGGGCTCCTCTCGGCGGCGGCTGCCAGCTCTGCGGGGTGGTCAGCGGGAGAGAACAGCCAAAGACGCGTGTTACGTGCCATTGAGACCGTGATTGCCCAGGATGGGCTGAAGGAGGGTCATGACGGTCGAGAGGCGGCGGCGGATGTCATCGTTCTGGGCCTGGATGGCCTCCTTGTCGCGCAGGACCGACTGGAGCTCATGGTAGGGCTGCTGCGACTCGAGCTCGCGGATCCGCTGATTCAAGCGCTCAATCTGATTCTTGGTGCGCTCGCGGATGGCGCGCTGGGCCTCGCGGTCGTTGGCGCGTTTGCGGGCGAGCTGCTCAGGAGTGAGGTTGGCGACGCCGCGCGACGACGGATTGGTCGAGGTGCGACGACGCTTGGGCTGGGAGCGGCCCTGCTCGGCGGGCGAGTCGTGCTGAGCGTTGTCGTCGTTCTCGTCCTGCATGACTAGACGTGGTGTTGTGGAGGTACAGCTTTTTGGATAGTCATGTCTGCCGCGGGTGAGCGTATCAGAAGACGAGTCATGAATCGACTTTGCCGGCCCGCCACATCCCGGCGAAAATCCGGCCGTGGGGTATGGAAAAACTAGAAAAACTATTCCCCGGAGCAACCGAGCAAAAAATAATGCTGTCAAATGCAAAGCAAAACAAAATATCGGATGCGCGACTTGAACGCGCGACCTTCAGTGCTCACAAGATGCGATCTTGTTAGACTGACGTGATAACCAACTACACCAACCCGACTTTGACAAAGAATATTGTTGTAGTTAAATATATGTACTACTCAAAAATTTGGCGATGATGACCGTCATCATCATCCACATCTACCATTCAACACCAAATATGAAATGGCCCAGCATGTGCTGCCAGCCTTAGCAAAACGGAAGAAGATAGATGGAGTTCATCCTGAGTTCGGTCGCCACCATTGGGACGCATGTTGTGATGATGATGATGATGATGATGATGATGATGTCCCTTGTTCTGCCGTTCCTTGTCCTGTGTAAGAAGAAGATTCAAACACTACGGCCTTCTATTTGTAGTCTTTCATTTCTCGGGCACAGTATGATCGCTTAGTTACTCATTCTTTTATCCTCGGTATTGACAAAGCTGCTGAGTGGCACGGGATAGGGTGTGGTTCGTTGTAAACGCTGCTTGATTGTGGATTGCGACTATATTTGCTCCAGCTCATACTTACACGCTCGTTCACATCCTGGTTGGATTCTAGTACAATAAGTTAGAATGACTAAGAAGTGAGGCATCATATATACAAGCGTTTGTTACTTAGACTTCAAGTTTACTTCTTTCGTGTATATTTTTTTTCATATATATTTATTTGAATCGTAAAGGTTATATCTTACGTATTTCTCCAGAAAACACCACTGCCTTTCTTAACAATAAACCGCCGAAAAAAACCTCACTCATCTCTTCGCAAGACTGACTATCCCTGCGATCCAAGGGAGGTATCCACCAGAGCCCCTACCACAACCCATGACAGACTAGAACCACAGTACTAGCCACTCACATCTACCCGACTCCAACGACGACTATCCACTCTCACAACACACGCACACCATCATACAGCAACGACCGCGCTCATCTTCCCCATTCACCAACTAACACTTCGCTATAACATTTGCTTCTGCCAGCACCTTAACCAGCACGAACGTTCAAGAGAGCATGGAGGGAAAATGAACAGGATACTGCGCCAGGAGGCAGCAGTAGGTGCTCAAGAATTTCTTCAGGGATCTCTTCAGAACAGCCTTAGGAGGTAAGATATTAAAGATCTAGATATGCAAGGATGGTCTGGAGGTTATAAATAAACGAAAGACTGGCACGGCGAACTGCCTGCATGCTTCTGCTTGCCTACACGAACTGATTGCTTGTTTCTTGTAGGGATTGCTTGCGTCTTTGTCACAATGACAACAAGCTTTCATTCCCACCAATCCTGCTCAGTCTTCTTGCTCGGCTTTCTTCCATGTAGTAAAAGTAAAAGCAAAAACGAAAGTTATTCCGATTCCAAATCCTTCTCGCCCACAACAAGCACCCCCGCCCCCAAACCAGCTTAACAGCACAGCAACAACAACACCAAGACGGCATTGTTGACGTGCCGCGAATGGCGTAGTTGGCGCAATGTGCCAGCCAGAAGAAGAAGAACACGGTTTAGAGTTCTCGTCTCAGAGGCCACTGCGGAGGAGGAGGAGGAGGATGAGGATGAGGGGGCAGGCGTGAGCGAGCCATGAGAGAATGACTGGCTAGTCGGTCGTGCTGCTGACGATGCGTGGTAGAGAGCGGCATCATCAACAGCACCATCAACACCCACCCAATCCCCTCACAGCAGCCAATCTAACAACCTAAGCGCATACCCAGCAGCTACCTATCCTCTTTGCCTCTTGATCGGGTTTGGTGGTGTAGCGGTTGGGATGAGCGAGGGACCTCTTCGACTGCAGTCGGACATGTTTCTGGAGGGGTTCGTCGTAGGTGGGACGGGGAGGGTGGTCGTGGTTCGTGAGGAAGTAGGCCTGCTTCTGAGGCGGTTGTGGTGCGGACTGCAGGCTGTGCGTGCGTGCGTGAGCGCGGAGAGGTTGTGGCGTGTGAGACGGTGGCCAAAGACGTGGATGTAAAAGGGTATGGAAGTGTAGTGACAGGAAGAGGTGGGATGAAAGTAGGTACTTGTAGAGCAATAGCCATCGCATCACCTACCTACCTGAACGCTACCACTGGGTTCCGTAGAATTGCCAAAAGAGTCCTCTCTATACACGTGAGCAAGCACAGCATCAGTGCACCTCTCTCTCTCTCTCTCCTACGCCTTCGCCTTCGCTGCCTCCGCCTCCGCCTCCGCCTCCAGCCGCCTCTTCTCCGCCTGTCTCGCCTTCAGCCGCGCCAGCGTCGACTCCTCGAAACTGCCACCACCACCACTCTTCGGCGGCTCGCCCTGCGGCGTCTTGGGCGAGAACGAAAACGCCGGCGGCTTGAACCTGCCCGCAGGCGTCGACGGCGCGCTCTGCAAGCCCGAAAAGCGCCCCGCAGGCTTCGTCGGCGTCGCCGCTGCTGCTCCGGGCGCCGTGCCATCCGCCTCGCCATCGGGCACGCGGGTCGTCGAAGCGCGGAAGCCCGCCTGCGCATTCGTGTGTGCTTGTGCTTGTGCGTGTGCGCGCGCGTGCGCCCGCTCCCGCGCCGCGCGCTCCTCCTCCTCGCGCTCCCTGGCCTTCTGCTCCTCGCGCTCCTTGCGCCTCCTCGCCCCGTCCTCGGCCAAGCGCCTGATCTTGACGGCCTCGTTGTGCTCATCCTCGCGCTTGCGCTTGGCGCCCCTCTCCGCCTTCTCAAGCTCCTGCATCATCTGCCTGCGGCGGCTGTCGAGCTTCGCGGCGTGCGCGGCCTTCTGCTTGCGCGCCTCGCGCGTCGCGTCGTACTGGGCGCGGTAGGTGGCATGGGCAAGCAGCTCGACGGCGCGTGTGCCGATGTGGAACGTCTCGACCGCGGCGGGGTTGTCCGGGTTCTTGTCCGGGTGGTGTTTTAGTGAGAATTTGCGGAAGGCGCGCTTGATGTCTTGGGCGGTGGCGGTGGGCTCGACGCCCAGGAGCTCGTAGAGGTCCTTGTCCGTTTGGACGAGCTCTTTGGCTTCGTCGCTGATGTCGTCGGCTTTGTTGGCCATGTTGTGCGTGCGTGTGGGGGTGAGGTGAGAGAGGTGTCGAGGGAAAAGATGTCGGTTGATCATGGGCTGGGGAAACGCGCGGGATCTAGAGGCTAGCGCCCCGCCTTGTCGGGTCCATACATGTATTTTAAACCCTAAACCCAAACCTAACCCTAACACCATAAGAATGCATGCTTTTTCCTCACATCCCACCGCCGCCTATTTACTCTTCAGCGTCTTCTGCTTCTCACCGTGCTCCACCAGCTTCCTCGCCACAAACAAGCCCTTCCGCTTCCTCACCCCATCCATATACCGCTTAGCCACATTCTCCTTGTCCGCCAACTCACCCAAGTCCTCCAAGTCCTCCTCCGTAAACGGCACCCAGAAGGGGTCCTCATCCAGCATCTCAAAGCCGACAAAGACGAGCTGCGGCTGCGCAGCTCCAGACGTGCGCTTGCGCATATCGTCGCTGAAGCCAAAACTCTCGGCCACGGGCAACAGCGCGGTGATGCTAAAGAACGGCGTGCCCTCCTTCATCGTCTCGGCGACGATCCTGCCGCGCCGCCGCGTGATGACGCCGTACACGCGGCCCAGCACCTCCGTCGACGCTTGGATCTCGCAGCTGTACATGGCCAGCAGCATGCGCGGGCTCCAGTCCAGGAAGCCCGTCTTGATGCCCTCGCGCACCGCCCGGATCGCCTCGCCCGTCAGCCGGCCCAGGTTCTCGCGCGCCCGCGCTGCCGGCTCCGCGGCGATCGTCACGTCTTCGATCGTTACGGCGATGCCTTGCACCGGCTCGTTGCACAGCGGGCCCTGGTGCGTCGCGAGCTGGAAGGCGTACGCGATCTTGTCGGCAAGGTCGCGCGGCGTGAGCTCGTCGGCCGATCCGTGGCCCTCTTGCGATTCCGTGGGGTCGGTGAGCCTAGATGGTAGCTTAGTATTAGCACCTCTCAAATTAACAGAAGTGACGCGGGCACTTACGCCTTCGAGAAAATGCCCTCTTCAGTGGCATCGAGCAGCAAGTTCGGGCCCACGCGCTTCGGACCAAACGCCGCGATCTTCTCCGCCACGCCGGCCCAGACGTCCTTCTCGCCCTTGGCCTCGGCAAACGCCTCCACCAAGCCCTGCTTGAACTCGACGAGCGTCATGATCTTGCCCGTGTCCGTGATGCCCACCTCCTCCAAGCCGTCCTTCTCCTCCTGCGTCTGCTGCTCGTGGGGCAGCTCGCTGGGCACATCGATGCCGCGCTGGCTCTCCTCAACCGCCCGGCGCTCAGCATAGAGACGCTTGATCGCGGCGCCGTTCTTGCTGAGGAAGTCGGTGACCGGCGCAGGCAGAGGCCGCACACTAAGCTTGACCGTGACGTGCTTGCTCGTCGTGACCGCATTGACCGTACCGCGCGGCAGCTCCGGGTCGCGCGGGGGGTTCATCTCCTGCGCCGCAACAATGCTCTCGCGGTACGGCACGATGGGCGCACCGGCCTGGATTTCGCAGCGGGCAAAGCGCTCGCGCAAGTCCTTCAGGCAGCGCTCGAGATGCAGCTCGCCGGCGGTGAGGATGACATGCTCGCCGCTCTCGAGCACCTCGTACTCGACGCACGGGTCCGACTGCTCGAGCAGCTTCAGCCCCGCCACCATCTTGCCCAGGTCCGTCGGGTTCTCCGGCTCCAGCGCCACGCGCACAATCGGCTGCGAGCCTAGGTTCACGCCCGCTAGGTTCACGCTGCCCTCGAGCTGCGAGCAGATCGTCCCCGACTTGAGGATGTGCCCCGCCAGCCCGCCGACGCCGAAGACCACGCCTGCGGGCACCGACGTCAGCGGCTCCAGCCCCCGCCCCATCAGCAGGTACAGCGCCGTGATGGTCACTTTCTGCGGCTCGGGCTGCGCGTGCGGCGCCGCGGGCGTGAACTTCGGCGGCAGCACGTACACCTCGTCGCCGACGGAGAGGGTGCCGGAGTACAGGCGCGCGAAGCCAATGAGGTGCTCGGGGTCGGCCTTCTGCTCGGGCTGCTGCTGCTGCTGCTGCTCCTCGCCCGTCTGCGGCCCGTCCTCACTGATGACAGCCGTGGCGCCAAACGCCTCGGTCATGCTGGCAACGTCGTCCGCACCGCCGCTGGCCATGGCCTGGGCGCGCGCAAACTCGGCCCGCTTCTTGCGCGCGAGCTCCCGCGCCTCTTCGGCGCTGAGCGTGCCTCCGCCGCGGCGCTTGTTCTCGGGCAGCTCGCTCTCAGGCACCGCGACCATCTTGCTGACGTACGCGACGACGGGCTCGTCCTTGGCCGTCTTGAAGCTGGTCATGGCGTCCTGGACGCGGGCGTCGACGTGCTCGGCGCCTGGCGACGCCTTGATTAGGTCTTTCATGCGGGCGGCCTGGGCGACGGGCGGAGAGGGCAGGTGTTCGATGACGGAGACGAGGACGGCGGTCGAGAGGGGCAGCCACGCGGCGAAGAGTGTGGTTAGCAGCGTGCGGGGATCGCGCGAGCGCAGGACGTGTGGCTGGAGGCTGATGTTGAGGGATTTGGTGATCTTTTCGACCATGGCGGGGTCTCTGCATCAAGCAACTGTATGAGCTTCTGATTGTCTAGTGCGGTACTTGTATGTACAACATGCAATGAGGATAAGGAAATTAGGAAATCCACGCACCCCTTCCCTTTGCTGCCGCCAGTAGTGGCTTCGTAGATGGCCCAGATGTTGTCGAGGACCAGCTGCACAAACATGGGCTTTAGCGCCCTGCCCTTGAGGTGCTTCGAGCCCAGCACCCGCTTCGACTTTGGGTCCAGGTAGAAGTCACCCCAGAGCACTTTCTCTAATATGGAGCGCTTGATGCCAAGCTTCCTCTCATAAATCGCAGCAAACTGCTTGACTGTAAATGCCCAGCCATCAATGGCGCTGGCAAAGATGACGTTGTTCTTCTCGGGCGCAAAGTAGATGTCCTCGTCATCCTTCTCTTCGTACTCGCCCGTGGCGTCGCTCTCCTCGACGCCGCTGGTCACGCTAGTCACATCTTCGTGGTCCTTCTTCCGCGCGTTGACGCGCTCCTCGACCTTCTCGCGCCACTTGAGGTCGTCCTCCATGCGCTCACCTTGGAAAAAGCTGCCCATGACAGCATTCACCTGTTCTAGCAACTTACTCAGATGGGTGTTCGCCTCGCCGGGGCTCATTTTCAGCTCGGTGATCAGACGGTCCATCTTGTTGATGACGAGCAGCGGCTTGAGCTTCTCGACCCACGTTTGCCGCAACACCGTCACGGTCTGGCTGCAGACTCCCTCGACAGCATCTACCAGCACAACGGCACCGTCGCAGAGTCGCGATGCGGTGGACACCTCGCTACTGAAGTCGATATGTCCCGGCGAATCTATAAGGTTGATTAAGCTTTCTTGCTTCTCCGGCTCGGCGTCGGGCGACGATCGCCTTAGCAGCGAAAAGTATAGCGATATGGCTGACGACTCCATGGTGATGCCGCGCAACTGCTCGTCTGGGCGCGAGTCGAGGTAGCGGATCTTGCCCGCCAGCTTTGGTGAGATGATGCCATTTGTGGCGATGAGAGCGTCGGTGAGTGAGGTTTTCCCATGGTCCTTTTGCGCCGGATCAGTTAGAGGAAGAGGGCGGGGGAGCGGGGTGTGAGACATACGACGTGAGCGAGAATGCAAATCTGCAAGGCGTCAGTATGGGACGTGTGGGATTTGGATGGGGGCGCACGTTTCGGACGCCGTCTTTGGCGCGCTGCAGGCCCACGAGCTGGTCGGGATTGACGACGGGCATGGTTTGCAGGGTGTGTAGAGGTAAAAGGTATGGATTGTAGAGGTAACTTATGATTGTCGAGAAACTATGGGCGCGCGCATTGAGTCATGCGGCCCTAAAATTACCTTCGCGCTATGCCGTCACTGTCGCAGGACGCTGCTACGGACTGTTACGAACAAGCGCCCCCTAAACCTCTCCCAAAACACCGCAACCACACAGCGAGCACAAAGATCCCGCTGATCCGTCCATGCTGCCCGTCCTAAACCGCCGCGTCCGCCTGCCATGCTCTACTAGCCTGCCGAACTGACCTCCGCCCGACCTCTCTCTCCCACAATGGCCGACATTGCTGCGCCCCCACAGGCACCTCCCGCAGCCGCCATGAGACTATCCACCGCCCAGCCCGCCGCAAACGCGGCCGAGGAAGCCATCCGCAATCACCACCTCGGCATGGACGTCTTCTCGCCCGTCAACCAGAACGGCAGCTTCGAGTTTGATCGTGTGCTCAAGTCGGGCGAAGCGCAGAAGCGCACGCGAAAGACCAAGGTGCGCCCGTGGCTTTTCACCTTAATTTTACCACCCAACTGACTCTCTGGCCCAGACCTGGAAGACCATCTACCTCGTCCTGCGCCCCCACACCCTCTCCATTTACAAGGACCGCGAAGAGACCAAGCTCCGCCACCAGATCATCCTCACCGACCTCACTGCCGTCGCCCGCCAGCGCGACCCCAAGAAGAAGGCCAAGAATGTCTTCGGCCTCTTTTCTCCCTCGCGCAACTACCATATCGCCGCTCTCTCGGACAAGGATGCGCAGGACTGGATCGAGCTCATCCGGCGCGAGGCTCGCATCGACGAGGAGGAAGAGGAAATGATTCTGGCGAGCCCCAACGGCGGCAAGAACGTCACCTTCCACGGATTCGAGCGGCGTAACCTGGGAGGAGCAGCCGCTGCCAGACCAATGCGGAGCGAGATCCTGTCCAGCGACACCTCCGACGGTGAGGCACTGGCTCGTCCGCCAAGCTCCATGAAACGAGATGAAATACGCAGTGCACGCCGGCCGTCGCACACGCTCGCATATTCTGGTAACGAACAGGCGTCTTTCTCCGACTTTTCGGACAACCCGGCCTCGAGCAACTTCCAGGACTCGGCTTTGTCCTTTTCCCAGCCGAACGAGGGTTATGTTTCGTCGGACAGGCCGGCGGGCTTGGGTAGGAACACGAGCCAGGCCAGTAATGTTGGAGGTAACGCTGGCACCGTTGGCACCGTTGGCACTACTGGCACTACTGGAACTGCTGGAACTACTGGCACTACTGGCACCGCTGGAACAATTGGAACAACTGGTACTGCCTCGAGCAAGCCGCGGGATGAGGAGCGCGTCGTCTGCCAAGGCTGGCTGTACATTCTGAAGAGCAAGGGCGGCGTCAGACAGTGGAAGAAGTTATGGGGAGTGCTCCGACCGAAATCCATGGGTTTGTACAAGAACGAGGACGTGAGGCTCTCTAGCAAACTGGCACCTGAAGTGATCGTGGCTAACTCGAACAGGAATACTCCGCCACGCTCATCATCCCCTTCCCCAACATCCTCGACGCCGTCGACATCGACCCAATCAGTAAATCCAAGCGTTACTGCATTCAAGTCATCTCCGAGGAGCGCAACTACCGCTTCTGCGCCCCCGATGAGGACCAGTCGACGCAGTGGCTAGGCGCGCTCAAGATGCTGCTCGCCAAGCGCAAAGAAGCCGAAGTGCAGCAGCGCGCAGCGGCCGAGAAGGCCGAGCGCGAGCGCGCTGCCGCCGGCCTCGGTGTCATGAACACGGTCGGGACCGTCACCACCGGAAGCGGGAGACCCGAAGCGGCGAGCCCCATGTCGGGCGGCTCTGGCGGCAGCGGCTCCGGCGGCAGCCACCGCGGATCGCTGCCCGTGAGGTGAGCGCGGGCCGGACCGGTCTGCCTGTGTGAAAAACAACAACAACAACAACACCAACCTTGGATTCTCGCTGTCGTCGTGAAGTTCTTGTCGTTGTTTGTACACTCTGCTACTAATACTGCCTTCTTCTTCCCTTCCAAGCAAACAGGCATGCAAGCAAGCAAGCGATCAAGCGATACATACATCTCGGCTTGCATGTACCTGCACCTTTCCACGGAAGAAGGTCTCCGCTCCCTCAAGAAGCATCGTATTCCCTTGTTTTTTTCTTTTCCGTGTTCAGATTTCCGTATCGTCGTCTCTGTTTTAGTTTCCTTTGTCGCGATTCCACACACCAACGGCGCACAAAACCCCTGCGGGCGGTTCTAGATATCCTGGGCGGGATGAGTTTATTGAGTCAACGATGGATATAATATCGCAGGAGTGAGCCGGCACTATCTCCTCTTTTCTTTTCTTTTCTCTTCTCTCTTCGTCCCACCCCCACTTTGCTTTTTTCTGGTTTTCTCGCGCGTCTGTTTTTGTCCTGCTGGTTCGTGTCACATGTCCTCTGTTCTGCATGCTTCTGTCTACCTAACCGCTAGCTACATAGAAACCCTTCGTCTGCCTGCCGCGTCGTGGGGTAGAGCGGGTAGAGCGGGCTGGAGGTGGCGGCCAACTAGCCAGCCAGACAGCCAGACAGACAGACGGACAGACAAAAAGAGGAAAGGCGTGTCCGTACGCGCCCGCCGTGGCTGCCGTGGCGTCTGTCTGGCCTGCACTGCTGCTTCCGCCTTGGTCGCTCGACGCTCGACCCGAAAAGGAGGACATGAGCGCCACAGGCAGCACGCAACAGGCAGCACGCAACACGCAAAAGCAGGCAGATTGTAACTGTAACTCCCGTACACACGTACCTACGTAAACTCGTTTGTAAGCTTAGTTAGTAGTTGAAAGCAAGGCGCCGCGTTGTTGTAGCCACTACCACTGCTGCTATGCATGGGTGCCTTCAGGATGTGCTTGGGAGCAATGCTTTGCGCTGGCTTGGTCGTCGTGCGAGCGCTGTGTGTGCGCTGTGCTGCGGCGCTGCGCTGGTGCGAGGGTGCGTGCGCTGGTGGTTTGGCTTTGCTTTGCTTGGGTAGTGGGTATTGTTGAGTTTGATTTGATTGGTATTAAGTTTGCCTACTGTACCTACTGCGGACTGCTCGTGCTATCCAAGTGTTTGTGTTTGTGTTTGTGTGCATGTGCATGTGCATGTGCTGCCCAATGCATGCGTGAGCGCGCTGGGTAGCTGCCCAGCTCACCATTACCTGACCGCATTATCAGTTATCGCCTACTGCACCGCCCTTCCTCCGCTATATACGCTCCGCTCCAATCCTCGAGCTCCCGCGCTCCCGCAATCCCGCGCTCCCGCGTATCCAATTGAGGGCCGGAAACGCCTCTGACTACGCCTTCTGCTTCTGTTGCTGCTGCCGCCGCCGTTGCTGTCGCTAGTGCTTCCTCCCTCCCTGCGTCTACTAAGGCGGTAGGTAGGTATGCTGGCGGAGACGGATAAGGCTGGTGTTGCTGGTGCTGGTGCTGGTACTCTATTCGTCGGTCAACACACGACGCGTGCGTTATTCGTTCTCTGTGTGCACGGTGAACGTGCTTGGGAAAGAGATGGATGGGAAAGAGGGTGTGGGCCGTGGATCGTGTGGGCCTTTGTGCTTGGTGACTGAGTGAGTGAGTGAATGAGTGAGTGCTTGGGCTTGGGCCTGGCTTGGCCTGCTGTCTGGTGTTTGGTGCCTGGTGCCTGGTTTCTGGTGTCTGGTTTCTTGGTATCTGGTGTCTGGGGAAGGGATGGGCTTGTGTGTGCAGGGGTTGGGTAGATGATGTTGTGTGTTGCCAGGAGGGTTGTGGTGCTTTTGAAGCTGTGGATAGAAAGATTTTTGGACTTTGGTGGTTGATGCAGCCGAAGGAGTTGGCGCTATCATGTTCGATGGCAGTGCTAGCGTGCTGACGGAGCCTTGGATTGAGAGTGAGAAAGGAGACCGGGCTTCAGCTGTCCAAGCTTTTTTTTTTTTTTTTTTTGTTTCCTCTTCTTTCGGCTCGGGTGGCGGCTCGTCTTACTACCAGAGCGGAATTAAGTCCTGAGACTTGTCGTCCTTCGACGTCTCGTCCTGGTTCCAAGAATCGTCCGCTTTCTTGTCATCGTATTTCTTGTCGTCGTCCTGTTTCCACCCGTCATTCTTATCTTCGTCCTTCTTCGCTTCGTCGTTCTTGTCATCATCCTTCTTCTCTTCATCTTTCTTCTCTTCGTTCTTCATCTCATCCTGCCCACCCAGCGGCCAAGCCGTCTGCGCAGACTGCTCCGGCTCCTTCTGCACAGATCCCGCTTTCTCATCCTTCGTCTCATCCTTCTTCTCCGCCACCGGCTCCTGCTGCTGCTGCTGCTTCCCCCGCCGCCCTCCTCTGTCCAACCAAGTCCGGCCCCGTGTCACCAGAGGACGATCGGCGCCCATTCCCTCCCCTTCCACAATTTCTTCATCAATCTTGCTGCCAGCCGCACTACCCTCTCGCTTCTGTTTCTGAAGCTTACCCTTGCGTGGCTCCGTCTTTGTACCGTGAGAGTTCGCCGCCCCATCGTAAGTCGTGCTGCTCGCCCTTCCTGAACGATGGCTCTTCTCTACGTGGTAAGGGCCTATGTCGTACGAGTCCTTGACGGAAGAGTCTCTGCCGCGTGAAACCCTGCTGTGTGAGTCTCTACGGTGCGAGTCCCTACCACTCTCCCTCCCAGCATAACCGTAACCGTCCCCACCACTCACCTCTGCGTCGTACGAATCCGTCATTCTCACGCGGCGCAGCAAGTCAGCCGGCTGGCCCGACCCGATCATGTAAGAAGGGACGGAGTCCGGGTGCGCGATGAAGTTGTATTTGCCTCGGATATGGTAGATGGGGCTATGAGGGTAATGCGAGTAGGGCTGGGGGTCAGCATAGTCGTCGCTGTGGTGGTCGTGGTGGCATGGTTCAGCGCGCTGTGCCGGGCGCAATGGAATGCCAGCGGAGACGCGACTAGAGCCGGAGTAGCGGGAGGACGAATGGCGGGATGATCCTGTAGTGCATTAATAGTTGCTCGGCTTGTAGGTATGGGATGAGACGGGACATGTTACGCACCACTGCCCTGCGTGCCGCCTCTGGTCTCGCTTGCAGCTTCTTTTATGGTCTCTCGTGCGTTTCTCATGTAGCTCTCGCCAATCGAGTCGAAGAGACTGATGCGCGACGAGTTGGAGCTCGGCTTCGGAGTGCGCGACGAGTTGGAGTTCGGCTTCGGGGCCCGCTCCCGATCCCAGAAGCTGTTGCGCTCGTGTTTGCGCACAGAGTACAGCTGAACCTCGGGGTCGCGGGGCGAGCGGCGCTTGCGCGCGCGGGGCTCCAGTTTGGGCGGTGCCATTTGTCGGGGTTGTGGGTCGTGGGTCGTGGGTCGTGGGTCGTGGGTGGTAGAGTTGATGGAGTTGAGAAGATGGATGGTGTGGCGAGATACGGCGAAGCTTATTTCTCTTGTCCTATTCAGTAGGCTTTGCTATTGTTAACATGTTAAGGGTCGGGCGCCTGCAATGGGCATAGTGAAAGGTGGTCATACTGAACTGAAATCCAGCCGGAAAGTCATGGCGCTAGTATGAGTTTTAGCGCAGTCGCTGCTTGTGAAGATGCAAATAAGCGGCATAGATACAAGCAGAGGGACGTGAAAGGAGCCGGAGCGGAGGAAACCAGATATTATTACACCAAAACGTACCAGCATACGTACGCCACTCCCACCATTACCAGACCGTAGCAGTCGTCCATCGTGAAAAACCCCCCAAATATTTACAAGCCACCTACCCAACAAACAAACCCCTCTTTTGTTTTTTTATTCCCTAAAAAACGCCCGCGCAAGTCCAACATCAAAAAGCGCGCACGACATGCGTCCTGCGCTCGGTATGTAGTCAGGGTATATACAGTTCGGATTTCCTAGGTACAAGGCGGCATCGGCGCGGCGCAATGCGACTGATAGCGCACCTTAGTCCTCTTTGGACGTGTTCGAAGACTCTGAGGCATCGTCGGACGCCGCTGTTTCGCCGCCCGTCGTCTCGCCGCCGGTGGTGGGCCTCGACAGGTTCACTCTCGATGGTACGCGCGACGGCGCTCTGGACGTGCCGGGCGTGTTCAGTGAGCTGATAGTGTGGAACGAGAAGTCGAGTTCGCCGACAAGATCCTTGACGTTTCTGTGGCTGCGTGTTAGCATATCCCATCTACGTAGCGAACATGCGCGAGTGAGGTTAAGAACTTACATCAGCAGCTTCTCCAAATCCTTGATTACACAGCGCGTCGCGATCTGGATCACGGCGAACGCAGCGTAGCCTGGCTCGTTGATGTGTCGCAAGCTAAGAATGTCCTTGTCCATTTGCTCGAGCCGTTGACTGAGCAGGTACGGCTGCGGCGCCTTGAGGTACGGCGGCAGTGGGGTACCGCTCGTGATCGAAGCTGAGAGTAACGACAGCAGACTCGTGATCTCGTGTGATGTCAGGTTGACACTCGAGATAAGCCGACGGAAGTCGTTCGACCACGCCGTTTCGGATTCGTCGGCCGGGTCGGCGAATGTCTGACTAGCGTAGGCACTGAGCGACATGTAGCGAATAATGCTGGAAAAGACACGATGTTAGTACGGCATTTTGGCTGTTTCACTTTGAAGAGTGAAGGCAACATACTTTTCCACGCAACCTATGAGGTTGTTGTACTTCTCTCGCGGGAACTTGCCACCGATGGGCACTTCCCACTTCTGGAAGTCGGAGATGGTGCGCAGGTTGGTCAGAAGCATGATCTGCTTCGTGTAAATCTTGAAGCGCGCTTTTTGCATCCGGCGACCAGGGCTCTTCTTGAGCGCCATGTCACCCTCGGCACCACGGATGCGAACGCGGAAGGTCTCGTGAACAACGGAGTAGTATCTCGCGAGAAGATAGAGAGAGGCACCGAGTTTGTTCCGGAGCTGCGAGTGTTCAGAAAGAGGAAAAGGGAAGAATGTCCAGATGAAGGCTACTGCAAGACCACCAGAAACGGCGGCCAAACGGTAGGGCGCGAGCAGATAGATTGGGTAGAAAGGCTGGCCGTTGGTAGATGCGACCGCCTTGCCAATCTTCCTCACCTCCAGTTCGTAACCGATGATCATGGTCAACGTGACCGTACTGATCATGCCGACAATGACAAACCTAGGCTTCTTCAGGATGATGTACATGCCGCAACAGGCAAAAAGCCAGAAGAACACAATGACACCAGGGGTGTGTTCGTCAACAATGTACCAGACAATGAAGCTGGTGCACATTGCCAATGTTGTACCGATGATTCGCAAAGTGAAACTGAATATACTTTGGCCAGCCGTAGGAGACATGCTCATGGCGATCTGAAAAAGTCAATACTTGTCTCCTATGAGACAAAAGGACACATACCATGATCATTGCCCAAAGTAAACGTTGACGCACGAAAAAGGTCTGAGTATGTTCCAGGAAGTCGATAATACCTATTGTCAAACTGTTAGTGGTATACAAAACTCCCATATTCAGGCAGACTTACCAATACACATCGTAGCACAAGCCACTCGGAAACCGAAAGCAGACTCCGAAGACCGCAAAAATGCCGGAATAGCACGAACCTTGTTTCCGAATCTCTCGATTGAACTCTGCGGAGGAAGATGCTCCGGATCCTTCACGCCCTTGTAAGCTTGTCCAATGTAGACATCCTCAGCCTTTGGACCGCTGAGATCGCCGCCCATCATATTGTCCGTCTCATCGTTACTCTGTTCCTTGAGAAAGTTGCAACACCACTTCTTAATCCGCTTAAATCCGGGCAGAATAAGGCGCTTTTTTGACAGCTTCCCGCTGGACACTCGCTCGTCGGCAAAGCAAACGAATTCCAGGATTGCTCTGCTAGTCGAGTAGAGCAAGTACTCCATCTGGCGGATGTGTTAGTGTGGGGTCCTTGTTCTTGATGGATATACTCACGTAAAGCAAGGCATAAAGCGAACGCTGACTGCGTTGATAGTAGTTCTCGCCAACCTCGCGTCTCATGTCCCGGAAGTCGTAGTTAGAAGGAGAACGGAAGAAATCCTCCGGTATATCAACGCCCTTGCGCTTGCACCACTCTTTCAACGCCAGCTCTTTGTTTTGATAGAACTCCTCCGACATCCGGAAGAGATACTCCGCAAATCCATCCTCTCCTGGCTGCGAGCGATCTCCTTTTGCCTCGACATCCCCATCATCGACGCCTTTCCCTTTTGACTTTTTTGGTGGCTTTATGAACTTCAGTTTGAGCATGACATGCTCAATACCCTCATCCATAGCCTGGATGATAGATTGGAATGGCTCGTGAACGGTTTGCATGATGTCGTTCCAATCTTCAACAATGCGTTTCCTGTCAAACTCCAGCTCTTCCTCGTCCTCCTCGTCGTCTGGATCTTGAACCCAGCCGTTCATTTCCGCCAGTCTTTCGAAAATGTCCACAACAGAGCTCAGTCCAACCATGGGAAGCATGATCTCGCGAAGGAGCCTTGACATTTCTTGAATATCGTCTGGGCCGAGGTATCCCAATGCAATTTCTCTTTTCGCGAACGGAAGGTCACCCTGGAGCCTGCCTTGCAAAGCCTGGATAGCGGCAACGGCTTTCTTTACGTTCTGAGCTTCGGGTTGCCGGTCCTTGTCGCCCGAAATACCGGTCGACACACGGTAGAACATATCCTTCATTTCCAGACTCTCATAGTAAGCGGAGTGTGCTTTGAGAGCACCACGCAGGGCGCCCATATAGCCAGTCATCTGCATGAAGACAACCTTGCGAGATGTCATCGGATATACGAAAAGAGATACGCCGGTAGCGACGGCAAATCCTGTCAGGAACGTCTCAAGCAATCTCTTTGCAAAACTGATACCGGCGGCCATGGTAGCGAATCGAGGCGAGTAGATCGAAGCAACGACAACGAAGATCGTGTAGATGATGCAAGGGAACTGTAGTGTCGGTTGGTACTTCGCACGGATGGTATTGACAAAGTAAACCTGGAAAAACAAGAAGATGCCAGATACGGCCGAGGCTGAAGAGTTGTAGGTGTACGTTTGGGCACCGGGAGATGGCGAACCCACGGCACTGCTTGGGGTCTTCTCTGTGTGCTCACGGGCCTTGACAGCGCAGTAGAACATAAGCAGGTTCAGAGAAGTTGCAAAGCACGTAGAGATGACGTTCAAGATCATCGTCTGGAGAAACTTGCCCCTAGGCATGATGGCGAAGCCGAGGATCGAAACAATGCCCATAAGGTATCCCAAGGTGGTGTAAACGTCGGCGACGGCGGTGTTCTGGTATATCGAGAGGCAAATGGTCGGTGGCAGGGCACCTTTGCCCATGAGGATGAGAGTCGAGCGATCCAGGTCCGGTCCATATTTTGCCCAGAATTTCTTGACTTTTGCCTTGAAGCCCTTCTTTTCGCTCTTCATGCTCCTCGAGCTGCGCTGGGTGCGGAAGGACTTGACGGTGGCCACTTCCCTCACGGTAGCCGCCTCTTCAGGGTCATAGGGTTCCGCCTCTTCGACCGCATGATCTGCTTCCTCGTACTCCTCGCGCTGTTCAGGTTCCTCCTTTGTGGGATTCACCGCCTCCCCACCGCCTGATCGCACCGAACTCCTGTCGGCCATGGTCGCTTGCGGGCAAGTCGAGAAGCAGGGAAATCGGGGACCGTTATACCAGAGACATAGCCGGGGGCAATGGCGGCTCTTGAGATTGGATATAGGAGTGTAGTTGGGCGACCAACGTGTTGGGTTGCGAAAACGCGGAGACCTGACGGGACCCGCGGCTGGCGGGAGACTAGCACGGCGCTATGTACCCCTGCCGAAGCAAGTGACGTACACCAGCCCTATCGGCACCCCGGATCGGGAACCCGGACGACCACACCGCAACCTCACACCTCACTGTTGCTCTTGCTTTCTGACACGTCCTCCCCACTTGCCACCACTCTCCACCGATAAACAGGTTCCAGAGATCCTGATCGACCCTGCAGCACTTCGTGGCAGTTGTGACTCCTCTCGTTCCTCTCACCGGTCCCGATGCGTCTGTGCTTCGGCTTCTCGAAACTAGGATCAGCGCAAGGATACGAATATTTTTTTCTTTCGGCCGCTGGCCCCTTCTTTGTTTGTCGCCGGGAAATACGAAGGCCTGGCCGCTCACCAGACTTATGTTTGAAATAGGCAAACGTTGGGCTCTGCCAATTTCCACCTTCGCAAGCTGGTTTCTTGGAAATGCTCAAGGAAGCCCAATGCTTTTGAAAGTTTGATTGCACCGTGCCCGCTTGTTTATCAGGATCTGTGGTTAGTCAGAGATTTACTTTGGGTGATAACTCTTTGTTATTGCTACCTACAGAGTAAAATCTCGAAGCTCATTCCTTCTACAAACGCGGTACAAGCTAGCCAATCTGGTGCTGCCAGCTCTTAGTTTGGATTATTGTCAGTGAAACGAGCCAATGAGAGAATGATCCGGAGCTCACGACCTATCGTTGCAATGCCGAAAGTTTAGACGGAACCTAGTTTTGACTCAAGTAAACCATTAACCAATCAAAGAGCCTCATGATATCCAACCTTGAATTTTAGTTGGTGAGCGAGAAAACATCGTCCACGCCTAAAAGCTAAGTAGCTCCTGATTTGGCTCAACGGTGATTGTACAAGATGCTAACCTACTCCAATTCTTCCACCACCCTCGAATCATCTGGCTTATCCTCCTCAGACGACAAGCTAAACGTGAATGTCGTCAACGTCGGAGGCTTCGAGGCCTTGTCAGCCTTAGTGGTGTTCTGGCGCCTGTTGCGCGTCTTCCTGGTCCCTCCAACTCTCAATACCTGACTCTTGTCGAAATTGCCAGGCTTGGGAATCGCCGGCTTCGCAGTCCGGGGAACCTCCTTCTGCTGTTGCCAACGAGGAGCAGCATGGTTGTGCTGCAATTCCTCGGTTTTCTGCACGTTGTCTTCCAGAGCTTTCGATATCCGATTGAACTGCATCTGGAGGTGGATCGCGCTGAGCACTCTCGCGAGTCCGTCCCTCTCCTTATCACCTCTCTTTGGCGAATGAGCATGAGCTGGCTCGAGTTCGAGCTCTTCCGCCTTCTCTTCAACCTTTTTATCAGCAGCGATACCGCTGGGTATCGCGTAAGATGGGTCAGACAGTGACGTCCGCGTCATCGAGTACGCCGACGTTATCGTAGGACCTTCGGCACCGAGCTCTGGGGTTGATGACTCTACACTGCTGTCATCAGAAGGGAGCTCAATAATGTTAGATGGGGAGGGCTCGACAGAAGGAATGAGAGGCTCCTCGTCGTCCTCCTTCTCGTCAGCCGCCTCGATTCCGAAAGATTTGTCTTCCGGAGAAGCATCCGCAACATCTTCGCCATGCTCACTGCTCCCCAAGGCGAAGTAGTAGCCGTAATAGCCGTTCTCCTCCTCAGGCGATGCAGGCATGTTCTCGTCCACGTTATCCGGTCGGTGTAATTCGGGCTGATCGTCCGACTTCGGTGTGTACTGTTGCGGAAGAGCGTGAGAGGAGGTCGAAGAGGCGATCGAGGAGCGTCGTTGCTGGCGGGTGACACTCTCTTGAATAACAGAGAAGAGCGCAGCTGAATCCTCGTCTGGTGGGCTCGAAAATGCATCGAGCCCAGTTACTGAGCTGATCGATGACTTCTTAGAAGCAACGACTGGAGCTGTGTCATTTTCAAGAGTCTCGTTGGATGGAACGTTATTTACGACTGAAGTTGACTTAGTATCGGTTGAAGGTGCTCCGGCTTCTGAAGTTGGCGAAGCGATTATCTCAATCGGGGCGTCGAAGTTCTGCTCCTTTTGGGGGAGAGGAGTGCAGTTCCGCGGAGTGACAGGAGCGCTGTTCCGTGTAGAGGCAAAGGTTCTGTTCTGTGGAGTAACAGGAGCGCTGTTGTTCCGTGGAGCGCGAGGAATAGTGTTCCGCGGAGTGCGGGGAGTGGTGTTCTGGGGAGAGACGGAAGTGCTATTCCGCGGAGTGTGAGGAGCGCTGCTCATCGGTGATGCCCTAGAGCTAGTTGGTTGAAAGGCCGGCGCGGAAGGGTCCAGAGTCATACTATGAGACGCAGGTTGCTTGTATGAGTGGAAGGTGGGGACAGTGCGACGCGGGCCCGACGCACCAGGTGACAAGTTGACGTCAAAGGTAACGTTCTGTCGAGACTGATACTGCCAAACTGGTTAAAGATTGTAAGAACTCTTTTCGGCGGGATGGAAGAGGGAGACTTACTGTTCGTCACTTCGTTAGGGCCGACGGGTAACAGTACTGCGACATTGGTGGTGGGCTCAAAGACGACATTGTAACCGGCGGTGATCCATTGTTGAGCTATCGGATCGACGACCACGCCCACGATGCGAGCGCGCAAAGGTTGAGAGGTATACGAAGTGGGGAACATTGTGAGGTATTGAAGAGCGTTCAAGTATGAGGTGAGGGTTTGAAGACGAAGTTGTCGTTGGTTGCGAGAAGCGGAGAATGTGGAGAGGGTTTGGGTTGGGAGTGGTTGAGAAGAGAGGGGGAAGGCTTTAAAAGTTCAAACAACAAACGGCATCCCGTTTGAAACCACCGACGTCACCCGTTCATAAGGGTTTCCCACTGGATCGTACTAGTCCTTCATACATTCACACGCCTTAACATCCTGGTTAGCGAAACGAAGGGTGCTGGTTCAAACATAGAATGCACGGGACCTTGCATGCAGCATGGATGCAGGATTAAGACAAACTGCAGAGGTAGTAAGCTTGAAGACAGCTTATCTCTTTCACTTGTTGACACCGAGACGCTGACGAAAACCTGGATGTCATTATAGAGCTGACGCAGCGAATATACTCGAAGACCCTGTGGACGGACATAGAGACAGCTTCATATCTCTTAGGTTCTGTTTGTACAATGGAACTGATGTGGCAATGCATGGGCCCGTGTAAGTGACACAACCACGGCTGCAAACGTGTTTCCGCTCTCTTCGTTTGCGCCAACGCACGACTTAACTTGACCGCGCAGGAACATCCAGGAGTATTCAATCCGGACAAGTACAAATCGAGCTTGGTGTTTGTTCTTACAAGAGCCTCGTTCCGCTGAGCATTTTCCCAAACTTTCATTGATGATACCCAAATGCACTCACTCTATCGACCAGCCTGCACCACCAACCAATAGAAATCAGTCCCTCACTGGACCTAGTCCCAAAATGACAATTTCCCCTGCCTGCTCATCACTCTTGAAACCCTCGTCCGTGCGTTCCACCAACCCCCCTCCCAGGCCTCACTCACCAGGGCCCGGCTTCCGCATCTTGACCACGCATTTATCCGGCCGCGCAAAGATCCCACCCGTACCGAAGCGCTCACCATCGCGCAGGGCGCGTGCGCCCCCAGCAGTAACAGTAACCGAAGAGCTAGCCACAGAGCCCGACGGCGACGGCGGCGACGACAACGACGTCGGCGGCAACGACTGAGCAGGACGCTCTTCAGTCTTTGCGGGCACCTTCTGCGCCTCCCCCTCCTCCTTCTTTTCCGTAGCGGCCCTCTTCAACTCCTCCTGCACCTTCCATGCCTGCGCGTGCAATCCGAACGTCTGATATGCCCTGTAGTAGGGCCCTTGAGGAGCGACGGCCCAGCCCTGGAGCGCCGCTGGCGGGTGGCGCGCTGTCGGATCGGAAGGTAGGCCCATGGGGACGGCAGCGCTCCAGCCGCCACCCTCCTCGGGTGGGAGTTGGTAGCTTCCGAAGCCGTCCTGGATGAGCCAGCGACGCTGGTATGGGGCGGTGGGCGCGTGTTGCTGTTGTCCCTGCTGTTGCTGTTGAGCATTTTGCGTGTACTGCAGTTGTTGGTGGACCTGTTGGTTTTGCTGGACTTGGTGCTGGGCCTGGTGCTGGGCCTGGTGCTGGGCCTGGTGCTGGCGCTGGTGGTGATACTGCTGACCCTGTTGGTACCCTTGCCCCAGTTGGCTTTGTTGCTGGCGACGTTCAAGTTTCTGCGACGTTCCCGCAGTCATCGACAAACCTAGCTCTTGCGGCTTCTGCAGCTCCTGCGAGTTTTGCGAGTTTTTCCAATTCTGCAGATTGCGAAACTTCTGCGATTTCTGCTGCATCGACGGCTTTTCAGGCCCTTGAGGAGTGGACGAAGAGGCTTTAGGACGTGTCATGGCGGAGGGCCCGGTGGGGACTCTCGGTCGATTAGTGTGGTACGTGTTTCTGGGAGTGGTTGAAATTGCGGGAGACCACTCTGGTGCTGATGGGTTCAGAGACAGCGCAGAACTGGGAAACGAGCTATCGTTTTTCTCTTGGTCTTCGCCCTGCGGGCTTCGCTTCTCTGTGATGCGTATTAGGTACAGTGTGAAAGTTTTCGGATCCGTTAATGTGCTCAACTAGCCTTTTTGCTGGCGCTCCATTGGAATTGTCTTGCTTCTCATCTCCTCTGTAGCGGCTCTGTTAAAGTACGTCGGGCGAATATATATACAAATGTTCCAAGACAATTCATTTGCGATGCGGCGTGACCCAGCCGCTTTCGTGGATGGCTTGTCTTGTTAGCAAACACTCGCAATGGCATGCAGTCACCTGCATCAACAAAGCATGCTGACATGAAGCAAAGTTTTGTCTTTTTTTAACTACCAAACTATCTCAGGCTCCAATGGGTTTGAAGCACTGAATCCTTGTTCAGTGTTTTCTTTGTCTAGTCACCACGTGAACATACCAAAAAACCAATTGACTCGCTATCCAACCAAAAAATATCCAGAAGTTAGACAGCTGTGCCATATCTAGGCCAATGGTATGAGAGCCGCAATTCGTTTGGCTACTGCCTGTACAGTGGCACTTTAAGGGCCTGCAAGAAGAGTGGGTTCACGCCACGACGAAGACTGGAGCCGCGTGCGTGACTAAGGGTGTTAGGGACAGCCTGAGTTACCTCAACTTCTCTGTTCAAAACGTTAGTGGAGTAGGAAGCAGCTTTAGTCTCCTTGGCGTACTTCTCTGTACCCGCATCTGTTTCCTTAGCACGATCACTGAAGCCTAGTTCGGCAGAAAGCCCACTCGGCAGGTGTTCGAGGCCGCCAGAGGCAGCAGAAATGGTTGAGGGCCTTCCGCCATTCGTCACTTCCTTGACTTCACCGCGCAATGTGGTCGCTAAGTCGGCAGCTTTGTCATGAGGAGTAGACGCTCCTGGGCCACTAGTGTGAGAACTGTCGAGGAAAGATGTGAATAGAGGTACAGAATGGCCAGTATTAAAGCCAGGAGGAGCTCTAGAGGGGGAAATAGGGCAGTGGGAGCCATCAGCAACCACAGAAGAAGAAGTATTGGAGTTGAACCCAGGTGGCGCTGAAATCTGCCGCTGTGCCTTTTCCGCGTGGTTATTGTTATCAAAAGTGTACTTCGTATCTGCCTCTTCGCCATCAGATTGCATAAGTGGTTCCGCGAGGTTACCACTACGGCGTCTAACAGGTACCATGGTGGGCAGGTCAGGGCTTGCAGCAACTAGACCGGACACGTGCTTTGGCTTTTCGGCGATGTCGAAACCCAAGGCTCCCATGCGTTGCTTGAAAACCTGCATAGCATTCGATTTCTCGTCCCTCGTTGGCGGTACGGAGCTGGAGGCCAACAAATTACCCTTAGCAGTTATCGGATTCTTGATGGTGTTGACTTGAATCCGGCCCATGCGCTTTTCATGTAATCCAGTAGCATCAATAAGCTTGGGACGTGTAGTGGTGGGGACAAAGATGTGGTCCTGGACAGAAGTAGTGTCCGCCTCGACATTCTTGTTCTCAAGGTTGACCTGCTTGTCAAACCGGTAGCCGCCAGAGGATTTGGCAGCTGTGTGTTGAGCAGTACTATGGACATTGGCGTTGCCGCTAGCTAAGGCTGAACCGTGGGTCTTAGGGTGTGAAGTCGGCTGTTGAAACTGAACTGGCTTCCACTCTGCAGCTACGGGGTTGAGTCGCACCGAACTCTGGGCAGGACTGGACTGTGGTGCAGGACTGGACTGTGCGAAACCCACAAGGTTGAAGTGGGGCGTGTCGTCTGGCTCACCAGAAGAAGATGATGAAAACGATTTATAGTCATGCCTTGTAGGCGCTTTGCCTGGGTCAGTCCAGCTGGGACATTGTGATTTATGACATATCTGAAACTTACAGTCGAGGTTCTCAGCAATCTTCGAGCGAGCGCTCACTGCGGAATTAACTTCTATGGTGCTGGATACGTCATTGTCGTCAAGCAGGCAGACCATGCGAGGCAGGAACTTTTCTGGAACTACTCTGTCCGTCAGACTTGCCAGGTGATTAAAGCAGGCAATACTTACGAGTCTCATAGACACCGTCACCACGATCCATCAAGACTTTTGTGTCCGAAGTCAGTTCGAATTCGACGTCGAAGTCCGCATCATCCCACTTCGCTGTGGTAGCTGGAACGACGAGGGCCCGGACAGGGAGATACATCTTCATCTTGAAACTGGCAGCGGGCGATTCTGTCTCGGGTTTTGGGTCATCGCAATTGCTGAGCCAGTCCTTGACGGTTTGACCAGCGCCGCGATCGAATGGCATAGATGCTAGGATGCTCACAGCAGATGAACGTGTACAGATGGACGATTGCGAGTGGACGAGGAAGGGTGTATGCGTTTTGGTGAGATTTGTTGTTCGGAGAAAGTTCAGAGATAAACAATCCAAAATAAAGAGGCAAGTGCGCCCGGGCGAGAAATATGTCGAATGTCGACGCGAGCCAGTGTGAACGGGAGAATCTTCGCTTGGCCTTCACACATTATATGTGAAAGCTACAGTGAAAGAGGTTTCAGATGGAGTGACCATCTAAAATGCGACCCCAGCGTCTCTCCATGTCAAGTTCAACAGGGACTGCGTATTACTGTCAAATATTTTGAAACGACGATTCACTGCTGTTTTCGACACCCAGTTATTACAGTTCTAGTAAGAGACACAATCACTTCATCTTGCTTAGCTGTTCTAGGTAGTACTTTTCAAGGCGCGTGCTACCAGGTGGCCACTTTGTCCTGGGTGAATGCTTAGAAGAACATGTAAAAAATAGTGCAGAACTCACGCACCAAATTTAAACAAATCTTATACCTAATCGAGACTGGGTTGCTATTCTTTTGACTTGCACAGGCGAGAGACGTTGCTCAATGAAGACTTGTACACTAGCATTGTAAGCATTGTATCTAGCGGCAAGGTGAGCAGCCCAAAAACTACGGACATAGGACGTAGTTTGGTACAGTGGCCAGCTGTAGTACATTAGTGAGTAGCATCGCATTGCTAGCTCTCTACAAAATATTGAGACCGCCGTATAAGCGTAATCACTTTGCACATATTTATCGACAGTGCCCATGAGACTGGCACAAAACCCAGTGACAAAATGACAAATAGCCGGTTTACGCAAGTTATGGACAAGGTACTTGTGGTGGCTGGCCTCGGGTGTTTCGTGTCCGAATAATCCTCTGCTTGCGGTACTTCTCATCATTTATTCGATATGCTATATTGCAGTACGCATTGCGGAACACGAACGGTAGAATGTCAGTTTTCGGTGCTTGAATTCTTTTGGGCTTGCTGCTGTCTGAGTGATTCAAGCGAGTCGTCGACCAAAGCAATCTCCGTTTCAACGCGGAGTAACTTCTCTTTTAGCATGTCCTCGTACTCCTCATTAGAAAGGGACTTAACAGGGCTAAATCGAGAGTTGGCGAGCTTCTGGAACAGGCTAAGCTGCGGCTCTTTACCCTCTTGTGCGGCTACTTCTTCGCGCTCTAAGTGTTGAGCATCTAGAAAATTGTAGATGCTTTGCCCAGCAAAGCCAAATAGAGCGAACATGATCGTCCCCGGAACTATGTTTGAACGCCCACCTGTAGCTTATTAGTGTGCCATTCAAGTCATGTAGAGATAGAAGGCGATCCTCACGTGTTGCAGCTGCAACAATGCCTCCCGAAACGCCACCAGCAATTGTACTAGCATTGACGCGTTGGCTGGGCGAAAAGGCACGGACATCACCGTCTGGTCGGTATAACAAGACGCTTCGCGTGCCTACGGCGAGTTCAGTCGCGAAGCTTTCTGAAGGCATTGATTGGGATCTGCTTACCCCAGTATATGGAGCCGGCGGTGAACCATTGGACACCGGAAAAGGCAGCGAAGAGTGCGGGGGAATTCGAAAACAGAATGCCCTGCGCGCCCCCTAGAAGCAGACCGCCACAGCCTATACTACCGGGTTAGCTGTCAACGGACGTGAGGCTCAAGGGCGCTGACATGTGAAAAGCAAAGCTTACCGGTAAAAGCACCAACTTCGAGGGCAGAGCCAATCAAACCCCATGCATCTTGGCCCTTGGGCGCAGGGGCGGGGCTATCGGGCTCCATGGTGATTTCTGAAGCCTGGCGCTGGGAGAGGTCGCGGCTGGCACACGATGAGGCAATCTTCCAAAAGCTTGGGCAGCCTGGCAGCACACCGGTTGCCGCTAAACCCTATTAGGACGGCACTGAGGGAAATTCAACACCACTTCAGCCTATGTAATCCGCACAACCGCCTGCGCGACTACACACTTACCGATCAGCACGCTTCGCACACCTGCACTCTCGACACTTGAAGCCCCCGCATTATTTCAGAACATTCCCAGCCAACGCGCCCACACTTCTACGCGCGTTGACTGATTTTCGCAATCATGGGTATGCCCTTCGTGCCGACTTCGCCCGCCGGGTGAGGGCAGTGGCCTTGGACGTCTGCCATCTGCCCCGCGCCTCGCGACAGCCATGGTCACGGCGGCTAACATCATTTCGCATAGCTCCTAAGAAGGATAAGACCCAGAAGATGTCCCTCGGGGACTTCCTGGGCGATCAGTGTATGCGCCACCACCAAACTGCGACATCATGCCACAGACGATGCTGACATTGCGACAGCGCTGGGATCCTGGGCCGATGAGATGGAGGATCTCCCCGTTTCTTGTAAGCTTCTCTGCCTCTGCTACCTTGTCTGTCCTCCTTGCTAACTCTTCCAGCCGGTACACTCGCGCCACCCACCTTGTTCGCGTCGAAAAACCCCGCATTTCAATTTCTGACTTTGTTCATACAGGACCCTCGGCCGGCTACGGCGGTGCTAGGTCCGCCTTCGGCTCCGGTGGAGGCTTCGGCGGCTTTGGTACGATCAACTTTTACTTCCGTATCCGTTTTACTCTGATTGACGTTTCCTACAGAGCGTGGTGCCGACCGCGGCGGCTATGCTGTGCGCGAGGAGCTTCCGCTCCCCACCAAGCCCCCTTACACCGCCCACCTTGGCAACTTGTCCTTCGATGCCACCGAGGGTGACATCATGGACTTCTTTGCCGAGTGCGCCGTCACCAGCGTTCGGATAGTCGAGGATAAATTGGAGCGCAAGCCCAAGGGTTTCGGTTACGTCGAATTCGGTACTCTGGACGGCCTGAAGAAGGCACTGACTCTCAGCGGTACCCAGTTCCAGGGCAGGAACATTCGCGTCAGTGTTGCTGACCCGCGTAAGTAATCACAATCTTCTTCAAGTTACCGGCATCTAACGGCACGCAGCCAAGGATCGCGAGCCTACCCGCGAGCTGAACGATTGGACTCGCAAGGGTCCTCTTCCGTCTCTCTCCAATGAGCCTCGTCGTTCGTCATACAGAGGAGGTTTCGACGCCGCCGGATCTGATGCCGGAAGCGAGCGCGGTGGAAGCCGTCGTGGTGGCTTTGAGAGCGAAGGACGTTCCCGTGACTTTGGAAACTGGGAGCGCAAGGGACCTTTGTCCCCTTCTATTGCCCCGCCTCCTCGTGAGCGCAAGATGTCGCCCTCCTTCGGCGAAAACCGCTCGCAGGACGGCTCCAGGCCGCCGCGTCGTGAATTTGCCGAGAGGCCCGGATACGAGAGGCAACCTACTGCACCGGAGCTTGACAACGCCTGGCGCTCCAACATGAAGCCCGACAACGCGGCCAAGTCTCCTACTCCGGAGGCCAGCGCCCCGTCCTCTCCGGCCGCAAAGCCTGCCGCCCCCGCTGGTCGCCCCCGTCTCAACCTCCAGAAGCGTACGGTTCCGGATGCTCCTGGCACTCCCACTTCCACCGGAGATTCCAAGTCTAGCCCGTTCGGCGCTGCCCGTCCCATCGACACTGCAGCAAAGGAGAGGGAGATTGAAGAGAAGAGGCAGCTTGCACTTCGTCAAAAGAAGGAGCAGGATGACAAGGCTCGCGAGGAGAAGCGCGCAAAGGAGGCGGCCGCCAAGCCTGAGAAGCCGGCGCAGACGGAAAAGAGCGATGACAAGGAGGAGAACGGTGCTGGCTCCGCCCCCAAGCCGAACTTTGAAATCTTGCAACGCGCTGATGAGGAGAGCGCCGAAAACATCGAGGGCGAGGATGCCAATGGAACGATTGTCGACGACAAGGCTGTCAAGCCTAAGGAAGTTGTCCGCGACCCCAAGCCTCAGGAGCAGAATTGGAGACGCAAGTCGTCCACCCCCGCTGCTGAGCCCGGCACCACGACGCAAACTCTCGAGGATGACGGCTGGAGCACTGTCCCTTCGAAGGCTAAGGGTAACCGCAGAGGCGGCTCCCGCGCCCTGGCTTCCTAAACTGCTGTTCTACATTCCGGTATTTTCCTCAGGACCCAGACATACCCGCTGCCTATCTCGCAATGCTTAATCGGAAGGTGGTCGTTTTTCCTTAGTGACGGCTTCAACCGAGGATTTTCACTTTTTCGGAGTGAGCATAAGCAGCATGTCTATTGTTTGCTCAGTATGACTTTCTGAACTGGTAGCCTATGGCATGTCGGTGGTCCTTACATGTCTTTGGGTGAGGTTTGCGGAAACAATCTGGACCTCACTTCTCCCGCGATCACCCCCCCAACCCCGCCATAGACTGTGGCACTGGTCTGCTTTTCCTTTTTAACCCCCACTCTTTCTTTTTACGTTGTCGTTACGGAAGTCATGCATGCGAGCCCCTCCCCTTTGCCACACATACCACGTTGTTTTGTCACAAAAGTTTTTGCACTTGATGGTGGTTCTCGGGTATTTGGACGTCTTCGGCGTTTAAGTGCCCTGGGATGCAGCAGCCGGCGGGAGGTTGATTCGGGAAGGCGTGGCGAGAATGATAGATGATCCTGCCCAAAGCGTGTAATAACTGGTATAATGCAAGTCCTCGTTCAATGATGGAGTGCCTCCTTGTGATGAAAGGTAGCCAAGCCGAAGGTTCGGGGCGGGCTCCGCACCGGTCGAAGCATGGTGCTAATCCGGCAAGCACCGCAACGGGCGACCAACCTACGTAGCAAGGCGGGTGCACGCCATCTCCAGCGCCCTGACCGCTCTGCAGGTCCCAGGGACCAGAGACGGGCGTGTCCGGCGCCTTGTCCGCCTCCCGTAGGGCTGCAGATGCCAGTCTGTCTCGGGGAAAGGGCGGGCCCTTGGCCCCTTGTGGCGATCAAAGCGCAAATCGTCAGAAGACCGACCGGAAGCCTGGCGCGGTCAACTTTCACAACTCTTCCCAGCTCTCGCAACGTCGCTGCCCGCTCCCGGGACACATGATACTCACTCGTTAGGGCCCCTCATCCCTCCCTCCCTCACCCCTCCTTCGCTCCTTGAGCACCAAAAAAATTCGAAAACATGAATATCGATTTCAGCAAAAAGCCGGCTACGCGCATCGTCAAGACTCTGCAACCCGTCAAGAGACAGACCCCCGCTGCCACCTATCCAGTCTCGCGACCGTCGTTGCCCAAACCCGCTAGCAAGCTCGCAAACGGCCGCCAAAATGCTTCAGCAGCCGGAAGACGCTCCGCTTACTCGCCCATGCTCACGCCGGCCTCCTCAACCTCTCCGACCAGAAAACGCACCTTGACGACGAAACGCAAAGCACCCACCCCTTCCACACCCATGTCGTCTGATTCCGAGGGCAGCGACAACGAGGGCAGCATCGACGGGCCTTTGACACCGCGCAAGCGAGTACGGACAAGCAGGTCGCTGGAGCCGGATCTACGACGGCGGATACGCTTTACGGCAGACGAGACGGCAGAGGAACGGAACCCTAGCTTTCGCAAGTTCCTGCACGGCGCGGACCTCATACAAAGTGATCACTGGAAGGATGATGCGGTCATGGGCTTTGACTTAGCTAGGGACTTCAAGACGGCTTTCGAGAAGAACGAGGGTATTCCTCTGGTTGAGTTGCAGTACCCTAGCAAGTCGCCACCGGAACGGTACGTCTACATGACAGTCCCTGAACCTGCCAAACTTTTTATTAACGCGATACAGCTTCGCCCTTGTGCATCCTAGAGAAAGCGAGGGCTACAAGCCCCTCGAGGACATTATCAACACCGTTGAGGCCATATGCCAGTATTACTTCCCGGACGACGCAGAAGCGCTGATGGACGAAAGCAACGGCTATCCTAGACGTCTGAAGAGGGCAGTCCAACAACAATCGCTGGACGATTTCAAAAAGGTTCTCGATGACTTCAACAAGATGGTCCGCGCTGGTGTTCATTCAGGCAAGACTGACAAAGCCTTGGACGGAATGGGCCCTATGCCACTCTCACTCACAACCCGCATCATAGACCAAACCTACAACCGCACCGTCTCCCCTCGCGTGGCTTCGCTCCGCCGGTACGAAGCCGGATCCAACAATGTCTACGGTGAACTGCTGATCCCATTCGTTCACCGCCTCTTCCGCGAAACCGACCTAAAGAGCCACCACGTCTTTGTCGATCTGGGCTCAGGTGTCGGCAATGTAGTCATCCAAGCCGCGCTCGAAGTCGGCTGCGAGAGCTGGGGTATAGAAGTGATGCAGAACCCTTCGCGCGCCGCCAAGCTTCAACGTAGAGAAATCATCCCTCGCGCAGCCCGCCTGTGGAACATCAACTTGGGCAAGATCAACATTTTGGCCGACGACTTTCTGGAGAACCAGCAGATCGGTGCCGTATTGCACCGCGCAGACGTCATAATCGTGAACAACAAGGCCTTCTCGCCGCAGCTGAACGGCGCGCTGCTGGACAAGTTCCTGGACTTGAAGGAAGGTGCCAAGATCGTGTCCCTGAAGCCATTCGTGGATCCACATCACGAAATCAAAAGCTTCAACGTCAATGATAGGGTCAACTTGTTCACCTGCGTTGAGAAGGAGTACTTTAGCAACTGCGTCAGCTGGACCAACGAGGGCGGCAACTACTACATCCAAACCAAGGACCGTAGCAGATTGGACAAGTTTCTGGGGAGCCAGAAGCGGGGCAGGAGGGGATAAGTGATGCATTTGGCATGCAAAATCGCCAATAAAAAAAAAGCAATCTGATGAAAAAGGGTGATGGAGTTAGGGCAGTCTAAAATTTTCCAGCGACGAAAGTCGACATTGGACGATGGAAAAAAAGAATAGGTTGGAATGATTTGGGAAAGGGAGGACATAACGAACTTGTTGATGCATCAGCGACAGCGGTAAGCACGGGTTGTCTGTCTTATTGGACGACAGCCCGGTATTTCTTTTCTTTTGGTCACGACAGCTTTGATGCGTTTCAGCGCCTGAGCATTTCGAAAGCGAGGACGAGAGCATCTTCTTGATCACCATGCTTATTTTCGACGTCCGAGAGGCGGCGTCGGGCAGGAAGCGCGGGCCAACGGGCCAGCGGATTTCATATCATCGGCACGGCACAGGGGTGGGGGGCTAAGCGGGAAGGGACAGCTTTATACCAATTCACCACTTCTCTTTTTAGCTTATCCATAGTTTTTTGGCTAAAACATGTGTAGATGCCATACACACACACACACTTGCGTATTTCTGGAGCCTACGCGAGAGATGGCTCCGCACTGCTGTGGTGAGGGACGTGGGTGGACGCTGCAGCTATTGTATACAGATCGCGGAATGGACCTAATTGCCTGTACCTGATTCTAGGCGGCGCGGCGCGGCGCAGCGTTGCTCCACTGTGTGACAATAATGAGGAGTGGTATGTTTAGTTTGCTTGGCCTAATCCACCACCACGGCTTTCCTGTTTACTGTTCGCGGCAACACCATTTAACAGTCAAACCGTATACGGAGAGGCAAACAAGCGAGCATGGATTCACCAAACTATCTGGTGCTCTACATGTAAAACGCTACAGGAAATCGCTGTTAACCAGATGCCGATCCGATCTTTACCCAATTGCGTTTGTAGGCAGTTAATACTTTAGAAAGCCTGCCTCTTACGGACACTTCACATGGTCTGCTTCACACTGCCTACGTCACTCGTTCTATTTAACACGGCCTTCACTGCTTTCTTATCACGGGCCGTCCTTTCTTGCGTATATAAACGCCCTCCACCTCTCCACTAACCTTCCTTCTCTCCACTCTTCCGAGAATACTTGAAGATTTGCGAAGCCCTTTGCCTTCCGAACTCTTCACCGGTACGCTTTGAACTGATTATTACAGCCTCACTTCGACTCCACGACTTCCATACTTCTTCTACCTTCCGTGTCAACACTTCAATCAACAATGTCTTCTTCTATGCAGCTCGTCCGCTACATCGCGCCGGCCGTTGTCAACACGCCAATCCGGGCTCTGATCGTCCCGCAGACTGCATTGCGCTACATCGCAGCAGGATACCACATCAACGTCACTACTCCGGCTGAGCGCAACATTGTCACCGCGTCCAGTCTATTCGGCATCATCACTCCTGGCCATGACAACCATGCTGTTGCGAACGGCATGGCTACCGCGCTGAGCGCCTCGCTCCGCAGCGCCATCCATCGCTACGGTGACCTTCCTTCGGCTGGCTTCACTTTGAAGAAGCAACACGATATGACCGAGACTGAGACCGCGCAGGCCATCACCACGAAGCCCATTATGACAGAAACCAACATCACAGACACTGACACCAGGGACTCTGGTGCTACGGCCTACGACCTTGACACCGCGACCGAGAGTGAGACTCCTCATTCGGCTGACAACATGACGCAGACTACCACCAAGGAGCCTGCGATGTTCAACTTCGGCGCCACGAACGCGGTCGAAGTTCCTAAGTTCACCATCACCTCGATTCAGTCCAACCTCGACAGGCCTCGTGCCACTGAGCTCAAGGCACCTCACATGACTGACGTCTCCATCTCACTACCGATCCGTTCCAAGAAGCCGAGGACCACTAGTTCCACCTTCAACAACGCAACGGAATCGACATTCCACACTGTGGTGTCTGCACCACCAACCGTCAACACCAGGATCCCTGAGTCTGACATATTGTACAGCACCTCTGCCTTCGCTCATGACGTTGAAACCCCGGTTATGCTCACAAAGGAAGAACATAACCGGAAGCTCGCGCAGCCTCGCTCGCGCAAGACGTCCGGCACTAAGACCGAGACGTTCCACCATACCTACCCGGACACCGAAGAGCTCCCAATCATGCTCACCAAGGAAAAGCACAACCGGAAGCTCGTGCAACCGCGCACGCGCATTGTGTCCAACACCAAGGCCGAGACGATCGAGCATGCTGGCTACACTTTCACAATACAGAAGAATATCGACACAGGCTTCGGCGCGGACCTGACGAAGACGCATATCTTTGAAGCGAACTTTGCCTCCAGCAACACTTCCAACAGCAGCGGCGGATATCAGTTCGGAGAAGTTAACAATGTATCTGATGATGAGAAGCAACAGCAGCCCTTTGGCTCATACGCTCTCACTCCTCAGACGCTCAAGCTTGAGCCTGAGCGCGTCGATGTTGCTGCTCTAGCTAGGCTGCATACGCCTTCGTCTATCAAAGAGCAGCATGACACCACAAACACGACGAACGGGAACAACAACCACCACAACAATCAGGCCAACCACAACGGCCACAACACCACCAACGAACACGCGCTGCCCACGCCCCAACAGCAGCAGCAGAACAAGGGCGGCAAGCGCACTGGAAAGAAGAAGACTACCAAGTCTAAGGCAGGCAAGCACAAGAACGGCAAATCCAAGAAGTAGACACTTGGGACCTTGCAGGACTTTTGAGCTTTGTACGGGCAGATTTGCCTGGCTTTACGGCGCACTCTGGCGCTAAACATCAAGGGTTATTATTGTACTTATTAGATGCTTTTACTGCGGGATCTTTGGGACGAATGTGCAGACACTGACTGGATGGAAGCCATGGAAGCAGAAACAACATGCACGTGGCATTAAGAAGGACTTTTGAACAATACGACTACTGCTCTTACTGCTGAAATAGATTATAATCAAAAACACACAATAAACCACCATCACTTCTCAAGCACGCAAGCCCAGTGACTCACCGCCACCCCCTCCCCACCCCATAAGGTAATAGCGGCGGCCACACGTAGTATCCCACTCACTCACGATCAACACCACCTAACCGCTGAAGCTATAGTCTCGACACTGAACAACCAGACCAGAAAAAAAGAAAGATTGAAGCTACAAAAGAAAGCGCCAAGCTCAGCGGCTCAACAGTAAAGTTGCTGCTACTCCCATCGCTAACCAGCTATGTTATGATTCAAAGCTAATCGAAAAAAAAAAAAGCCATCAGCCGCTTGCAAAGTCGACGCTTATCCACCCACCCATCCCATCCACTGCGTATGTATGTATGTACGAACGTACCCATATCGACCCCCCGACCAAGCCAAGCAAAAGCTTCCTAACCCTGCCTGCCCTCTAGGGGAAAAATATACTACAATGAAGCCATCCATCCCAGCCACCTCACCCACCACCAACTCCGTCCGTGCAAGCAAAACCCATGCCCATCGCACTCACGCTAACCCACTACTCCGCAAGGCCCATCCACCACCACTCCGCCAGTCTCAGGCCCTCGCATGTCTCGCCCTCTCCACCCAACCCCAGTTCCAGGCCCTGCAGCACCCGCGCCTCCCGCAGCCACTTCACCGCGAGCTCAATCTCCCATGCGCCCAACGCGTCCTTGAGCGCGCGCCGCACGCCCTCGACGCCGATGCCCGGCCGCCCCAGCACCACGTGCACCACGGCCGTGACGACGCGCTGCCACCACTCGGCGATAGGGTTGGCGTGGATGTCGTACCAGAGCGGGATGAACTCGGCGTAGGGGCCCGTCTGGGCAGGGAGTGGGAGCGGGTGAAGGTCACGTTGGGGCGCCTTGCCCTTGCCCTTGCGGGCGATGTGGTTGTTGCCGACGCCGCCGGTGGAGGAGTGCAGAGGGTTGCCGAAGATGTAGCGCTCGGTTGGGATGATGTATAGGCCCCAGTTTAGGTTGCCGCGCTCCATGTGCACCGTCTTGTAGTGGCCTTCTGTGAAACCCCACTTTGTGAGCCTGGGCCACGGGTCGCCGAGCTTGTGGTTGACGGGCGGGAGGCGCGGCTCCACGCGCACGCAGCCCGAACTGACGAGATTGAGGGTGGCGAGAACGTGTCCATCATGCGCCGTAGGCAAGAGCGGAACCGACTTTGCGCCTTGTTGGAATTTCGTGTCGAGATGGGCTTTGAACTTGGCGGCCTCGAGGAGCTGGGCGACAGTGAGATGGCGCTCAAAGATCTTCAAGAAAGACTTGTCCACAGTGAAGGCACGGCCGGGGCGCACGCGACCTTTGTGCTCGTCGCGGAATAGACGTGTCGCTGTCAACTCATTTACGGCTCTGTCAATCAACTTCTTGCCGATCGTGTTGAGCTTTTCTTTTGCACCAATGGCATTGTACTGGTCGTCTGGTGCCACAATCGTAGCGCGTACCCATGTCTTGGCCCGTTCTAAAACAAAGTCTGTCTGCTCATGCTGGGGAGATGCGGGAGGAGTGAGCGGCAAGCTAAAGCTGTACCTCTCCGTTAGCTCGCGCCGCTTCTGTGTGAGCGTGTTTTCGTTGAACAGAGGCTCCTTCTGTGGTATAGTGAAGTTTGTGACCTCTTCAATCACGAAGTCCTTTTCCAGTGCTTCCCGAGTAGCCGGCAGCGTGACCGTGTCGACAGGCTTGACTGGCGGCTTTATGACAATATTCTCCATAGCCCAAGCGACAATACCTTCCCAGTCGTAGTTTTCAACATCATCATAGTCCAGTGGTGGCACATCTCCACACTCGTAAGCTAGGAGGTATGCGTCCTGAAACTCCTCAACGAGCCGATCGATTATCTCACGGTTGTGGTTTCTGAGCCAAAGCCAGCGGTTACGGAATGACGTCAAATCCCAATGAACATGTGACTTGAATGCACGGCGAACTGCATCCCAGTTGGTGTACTTGTCGACGCCGCCAATGAGAGTCTGCACGACAACAATGGCGTAAAGCAGCTTCTTTGTATCCGATGTAGAGATTACACACAAGGGGTCCGCAGTTGGTTGACGAACCCAGTTTTGCGGAGCTACTTTCCTTGACGGGACGACACGTGTATCCGGTGTGTTAATTGCAGTACGTCTGCGACGCCTGCGCGGCTTGGGAATACCTTCCGGAATATTGTCATCAATACTGGCGCGTCTCTCGACAACACTGTGCCGCGTGCGCTTTCTCTTTGGCTCTTCGTCGCTTTCGTCGACCTCGTCGAATGGCGGAGGTTCGCGCAGCGTGAACATCTCGCTGGATTCATGCTTCCATTGTGGGTCGAAAGAAGCGTCATATGGTTGTAAGTGCTCGCCGTAGTACACATGATTGATGAAATGAGGCTGGCGTAGAACAAGGCCAAGGTCTTCGTTTCTCTTTCTGTGAAGCTCTTCCCAGTTGTTGACCTTGATGAGGTCCCTTTCAAACCTACTCAAGTTCGGATTCTCACGCCGGTTGTGGTCGCGCTCCTTGCCCTTCATTCTCTGAGATGCAAAGATTTCCTCTAAAGAGTGTGGCATGTTCTCCTCAAACTCTTGTTGGTGTTGAGCATTCGGCTCCACCCAAAGAGATATCCTTGCGTTGCGGTGGGAGTTGTAATCGGTTGAGAAAGTACCGTTTGTCGGAAAGAAGCGAACCCCGGGATCTGTCATACTAGTGATCCACTGCCATTCCCAATCCTTGTCGAAAGATGCAGGGGTGGTGTTTTTGAACTGGAAGCTCATGCGACGTCGCTGTAACTTTTGTGCCAGCGGGCGCTTTGAAGGTGTTCCCAAAGATATAACTGATGGGCTTCGGGTACGGCGGTTACGGGGGGTGCTAGGAGTGCTCGGGGTGCTAGCCGTGTATGTGCTTGAATAACCTCCCTCATCATCTGTGAAAGCATCAGGCCCAGCCGCCTGATCCGTGACAAATTCGTTGAGCGAAAAGGATCCTGTATATTCTTCAATGGCACGGTCGGGATCAGCTACTGGCTCATCCATATGAGGCTGTGGCTGGTCTTCGGATACGTAAAAGTTCGATTGGAAGGCGGTCCATGGTCCGAAATCGACGTCTGCAGTTGGTTCTTGTGGAAGACGATTGAGACGAGGCCGTCCACCGCGACCCCTTCTCACATTGTCCACTACGTGACGAGTTATAAGCGGTTGTATACCTCTGCCCTCGCGAGCGGCCTTTTCTCTTCTCTGCTGCTCTTGTTTCTTTGAGGCTTCAGATGCGCGTGCATTGAGCTCCTCCATCCATGCCGGCAGACTCTGTTTTTTGACTTCCAGCTCTGTCTCCTTTTCATAGAGACCACCATACCATGAATTACCGATTTCATGTTCGTACTCACGCATCTGCTTCGGAGTGTATTGGCGTGGCCAAGCAGCGATGACCTTGCGCTGTGTCTCTAGTACCAGCGGGTCAGTCGGGGACTTATCTGGCGTCGTCAAGATATGGCGGTTCATCATAACGCCGCTCTTGTTCTTGAACGTATAGGTCAGTCTGCGGATCTTTCCAGAATCAATGGCATTCTTGACAGTCCTCTTGATCGTGTCTCGGTCCACGAGTCTGTCTTCGCCATGCTGCTTGTGCCACAGTTCGATAAAGGGCCTCTGAATCTCAAAATCTCCTGGGAAAACGCCGTCGCATTCTTGGATAATGCTAACAAGAAGCTTCGTGCGGTTGTAGTTGAGGATACCACCGGATGTGAGCTTGACGCCCTGTTTCTTTCCGCCCAGCCATTTGCCCTTTCTCCTCTTCGGAGGAGTATTGAACAAACTGGGATCCGGAAAAACACCTGATTTGGCTGCCTGATTAACCGGGACAGGGGTCTGCGAAGCTTGTTTCGACGTGCGAACTTCGGCCTGCGACTCTGCTGGTTCTGAAGCATTTCGGTCTGCTGAAGGATTCTGCGTTTGCAGTTCTTCCCGTACTTCTGGTCCTTGAATACCTGTATTCTGCTCGGTGGTTTTCTCGACTCCCGAGTTTTCCATATCGGCGGACGTCGTCGGTACATCCTGAGTGGCTGGCTGGACTGAGCAGCTCGGCTCGTCAACCTCCATTGGTTCAGTAACTGGAGGAGCATCAGACTCAGAAGCTGCGACATGATCATCAGCCTGCATGGTCGGAGGCTTCGTGTGAGATGTGTCCGGCACAGCAGCAGTCTGTAAGGGTTCCTTCTCCACACGACTAGCGGGCTGTTCGATAGGGCCATCGAGAGGTTTCGAAGCAGGTGCTCCCATTGGGAATGGAATTGTATGAGCACCGCTGACGTGCTGCTGAGCCTCGACGGGACTGGTGTTGACGGCAGGGAAGCTGGGAGTGGAGGCATATGGACTGATGTAGGCAGATGGAGCCAAGACATAGGGACTACGGTACGTAGCGTGCTGTAGCTGGTTCATGATTGCTGGACTCGTGGTTTGAGGATGAGTAGAAACAGTAGGCTCCTGCCGCTGCTGGACATGAGTGAAAGTTCCGAGAGGGCTCGTTTGACTTTCTGGGCCCCGATCTTTACTCACAGCCGAGGGCTGGCCGGCGAAAGCGTCCTTTTCTCCACTGGATACTGGTCGTACCTCCCTCGCTGGGGTCTGCGGAGGTCCAGCTATCATATCTGCAAACGTGCTTCCTGGAATGAGTCCTAAGCTGTAAGGGCTATTTGTTTGCTGTTGTGGTTTCCAGAGGCTGACGGGTCCATGCTTAGGTGAATTGTTTGTGGGGATATGGGAGTTCGTGGGGACATGAGTGCCTGCTTGGACATGAGTGTCTGCTTGGAAATGAGAGTCTGTCTGGACATAAGGGTTTGCCTGGACATGAGAGTTTGCTCCTAGTAATTCAGCCCGTTGCTGCAGGGACGGTGAAGCCACAGAGATGACACTGTTCTCCGGGTTGGCCGCAGACAATGTAGCAGGGAGAATCGCACTCTGGGCAATTGGCATAGCAGAACCACCATTCGCCAATACTGATTGCGCTGATGCTTGAACATTACCATCGGTGACGGGTCCATGAGGTTCCGTTGCAGACGGCTCAATTGGCTGCTGAGCGAGTGACGGGGTTTCCGGAGGTACCTGTGCAGTAGCCAATTTGGATTTGCGCTTGGTGGTCTTTTGAGGCGCATTCGGATCCTTTGGAGCCCTTGGGCGCCGCTTAGGCGTGGGCGTTGCTGCTGCAGGGACAGAAACCTCGTCAGCAGAGGGTACAGCTGGCGGAATTCCAGGAGAAGCTTGAGGTGTCTCGCTGTTAACAGCAACTGCTGCACCAGGCGTATCATCTGTGCGCTTTTTCGTGGCTTTGCGTGGGCGTGGTGGCGCGTTGGGATCTTTCCGAGGTCTTCCACGCTTCTTGGGTGGCGGGATTGGAGTAGCTTCTGGAGCGGTTCCTGGAGTAGTTCCTGGAGTAAGTCCTGGTGCAATCTCTGGAGCGGCAACCGCTCCACCTTGAGGTTGGACCGGTGTGCTTGTCGGATTGGGAGTAAGCGGAAGCTGCATTTGTTCTGCTTCGGGCATAGGAGCATTGGAGTTTTCGACCGTGGCGGGACCTTGCTCAACTGGTTCCGACGCGTTACCAGGAAGTCTCTTGCCCGCAACTTGTCCAGGTTGAAGCTGCGGAGTAGGTGTCTCTGGCAGACATACATCCATATCCTCAATCTGAGGCAGGGCAGGCTGTGCTGTCTGTTTAGCCGCAATGATTGCTTCAACCATGGTGCCTAACTGCTCAGTTTCCAGATTAACGCCCTTCAACTTTTCGAGAGTGATAACCACAATGAATGATTTCTTCGGACGGCCCTTATGCAGAGGATCCCGTGGCTTCTGTGCTCCAGGAGGATTGACGTATACACCAGGCCTCGAGAAGTCAACGTTAGCCCGCTCTTCTTCCTCTTTCTTTAGCCTGACGATGACTTCTTCTGCTCTTTGGTCAATCATGGTCTCGTCTATTCCAAGGAGTTCAGCAGTCTGCTTCTCGATCTTTTCGGCGTTTTTGCCCTTAGCAGGCTGTTTGCGTTTGGCTCCCTGAGCAGTGGCCTTTCCCTTACCCTTGGCCGTCGTAGGAGTTTTGTTAGGAGTTTCTGCAGCAGCAGCATCTGTGGTAGTAGCATCGACAGGCATCTCCATCTCGTTCATTGATGTAATTGGTTCGCCTTCCATTGGAGTGTCCGTTTCAAGCCTAGGGCGCTTTGACGGAGGGGCATCTGGTGTCACAGGTCTTTGGATGTCGGCTGATCCAGCCTCCTCGCCATTAGCGAGTGCAACCGGTTCTGTCTCTGGCTCTTCCTCAGGAACTGTCGGGTTAGCGATACCCGCAGCTGTGTTTGCATCCTGCTTTTCTTTGATGAGCTCTTGTCTGGCAATCTGCTCAGCCTTGGCGCGGAGAGCTCTGATTTTCCGGTATTGCTTGAGGTTCCCGCTATTGTAAGGCTCTTTTCCAAGCGCATACTTCCGCGGACGCCCAATTGGTTTGTCTCCTCTTGGAGTGTACTTCTTCCTGGGCTTCTGCATGTGGACCTCGAGACTTCCCTCGATTTCATCGTCGACGTTAGTTCCAGGACCTGGACTGGATTCAATAGTGCCTTCACGGGACAAAAGAGCCGCGGCAGGGTTTACCAGGAACCTCGGTTTGTGTCCACGGTTAGGAAGAAATCTCATGTCAGCAGCGATGGCTTTATTGCAATCTGCCAATGTCGCAGTGCCGTCTTTGCCTTGGAATTTGGAAGGGTGAATTGATGGGAAGCCCCATTCATCAAGCTCTCCATATCCGTGCTCGATCTTGTCTTTAGTAGGCTTCTCCTTTGCGCGTGGCTTTGATCGGCCTTGATTGGGATTGACAGGTTGAGTGATGACTACTTCCCATGCGGCTTCATCCTTTTCGACAGCGCGTGCAAAGTTCTCGTACGTGCGATACACGTAGTGAATGTACTTTTCGTTCATGCCGGTATCACGAATGATTGCCCAATGCCGGAGATGTGCAGGCTGAGAGATATGCCAAATATCAGAGAGGCGACCAAGTATAGAATCTACCGGACGGCGGTAGAAGGTACCCATGCCCTGATCCCGGATGTTTGCTGTGGTGGCACCGTCGGAGCCATGTGCGTGAACAATGTCGAACAGGAAGTTAGGAGTCGGCCGATCCGGATCCCACTGAGGTGGTAGCCTTTGGACCTCTTCGACTTCGTTATCTCCTTCCAGCAGAGGTTGTCCCAATGCACTCGGTTCCTGCTCGAGATCGGGGTCGATTTCGCCTTCGGCATCATCGTCCAGAGCGTACGCAGATTCACCGATCTTGTCGCCGTCGGTAAGTTTATCCGCATCTTTGATCCCCATGGTCACGAAAACGGCACGATCGCGAGGTACTGGCTCCCGAAGAAGTTTGATGCAGCGGTACCATTTGCTTGAGTTGCGATTGAGCTGGGCTTTTACCCGCTTGATGAGTTTAAGCCCTTCAAGGCGCCGGGTAGATCGCCATAAAGCCTTCATCTCCCATGTCTTGATTCTGATACCCTGTTGTTTATTGTCAGACAATGCAAAGCTGGTACGTTTATGAGTACTTACAAGTCTGCTCTTCAAGTCCTCGATTCTGATGATCCTTGCGTCTCTGAGTAACTCGGTTAAGATGTCGAAGAAACGGTCATATAGTAGCAATCCATTCACAAAGAGCGCCTTTGCAATCTCATCAGGACTCGACATGATGTTCACCACTGGCTCAGCCTCTGTGGTCTGGCGCTGAGCATATCTCTTCAGCGTACAAAGACTGGTACGGGTGCCCTTCGCCAGCACCGCCGTTTTGACGATGTAGCCATTCTTCATCAGGTTATCAGTGCGTTTGGGCACAGAGCGTTTGTCTTGGCCACTGATGCGAGTGATCTCTGGCTGAATTACACCCTTATCGCCATGTGCTGCGATAATCGACAAAATGATGAACTCGTGCCTAGGAACCTTGCGCAAGTCGACGCCGTGGCCGGTAATAGCCTGCCACATGCGCTCTTCCGTGACGAATAGTTTCAATGCTGCATCCTGGGGGGCATCGGCGTCCGCTTCTGCAACAGCAGGAGGGTCCGCATTTTCACGAGATTCCAGGTCGGATAGAGAGGGGATTTCCGCATTCAGCTGCTTTCCAAGGGTGATATCAGGATGCGCGGTCAGCCATGTCCAGACTTTCTCCTGGAGTCGACGGTCAACATGAGGCTGCGGCGTTGATGCGCCGTTGCTTTTATCATTGTCGGGTTCTTCATTTCCTTCTGGATTATCGTAGAACTTTTGGAGAAGTTCTTTGAAGTCAGAAGGGCTGGCGCCTGAGTGATGGTTTGATGATTAGCACATGATCCGGCTAACAAAGCGGCAGAAAATGGGAGAAAAGCGCGAGGTGAGAGTCGAACGTGCGACCAAATGAAAGAAAAATAGTGATTTAAGAACAGCGCAAGAGGATCAGAGCATAGTCTTTCCAATAAAAGCAGTATGCAGCCAAGGAAAGTGTATGATTCGCTGCAGAGCGTTGCACATGGTGCCCGCAGCCAGCGGTCGAGAGGATGCGCCGGACGTACCTTGCTCACCGCGCAAGGCGATTTCCTCGAGTAAGAACTCGATCAGGTCGTCGAAACTTTTCGCCATCTTCCTCCGCCCACCTCCTTCGTTTTAGTTTGTGAAAGCTTGCAGAATCTCAGGCCATAGAGGTGAGGGTGTGAATTGAGCTTCGAGCTGGAAACCGCGGACTCGACCGCCAAGAAAGTTAAGGCAAAAGTTGAAGGTCGTACGCACGGGCCACCCAAGTCAACTGAAGCGAAGGCAACCAGCCCGCGACGTACCCGGAGATATCAGCTTCACAGTTGGGTTGGTGAATAGGTCACATTTGTGTTTGCAAGGTGTTTTCAAAAAGGCCAAACAAAAATCACACTCGTTGTCTATAATTGTTCGGTTCCTACAATGGTATCGGTAGAATTTTCCCTGACCTTATGCCACCTTAACGCCAGACCATGCAAAACACTTCAAGCACACGCATGATAAATCCTCAAGCTGCGTTCTTCTTAGCAGCCATCATCTCCCTGTAGCTATCGATGATGCTCTGTCTCGTCGCTCCAAGCTCCTCTCTCCTCCTCAAGCTACCTGCCGAGTTCGGTATGTTATCCACCCGAACCTTAGCTCCGTTCTTGACCTTGAACTTCTCTTTCGGGATGACATTGAACGTGGGTGGCGCCTGAACAATATCGTTGATACCCTTGGGCTCGTCCCTCTTCGCCTTGAGCACCGCCCACGGGTCATCATCCTTATCGTCGACCTCGCCGATCTGCCGCTTGCGCTTGCCCTTCTTCTTGCTCTTTTGCTCCGGAGCATTCTTGTCCTCCCAGGTCACGCCTTGCTCCTCCGCTTCCTCCTCCGCCAGCTCCTGCTCCTCCTCCTCGCGCTCCTTGATCTTGGCTTCCTCGACGCGCCAGTCCGATATCATCTTCTGGATGCGCTTCTCCGTCTTCGTCTGGCGCTCCTTCACGCCTTCAATGTTCTTGCCCTTGCGCGCCAGACCGGCGACGGGAATGGCCTGGTCAACACGAGCAGCGAAGTCGGACATGCGCTCGCCGGGCAGGATCTTTGGCATCTCGGCCGCCGGCTTGGCCGGTTCGCTCTTCTGAGTTTTGGCGGCCTGCGCCTCATTGGTCTTGCGCTTCTTGCCTCGCGGCGCATCGCCGTTGTCCAGGCCATTGAATCCTTTGCCAGTTTGGCCCAGCTGCATCAGCCGCAAAAAGGCCTTGGGCGTGTCGTCTGCGCCATAGCCGGCGATGCGCTTGGCCTTCTTCCGGTCCTTTTTCTGCTTAGTTTTCGAGGCGAAGTTTTCGGACAGGTTCCCGGAGTCGCGAGTCGGCAAGGGCTTCGCGCGAGAGGTTGGCGGTAGGTCGCGTCTGCGCGCAAAAAGTCAGCGGGTTGAAGGGGCGAAGTCGGACGTGGCGCTTACTGCGAAGCGTCCACCTCTCCGCGCCGTTTGTGTTTGTGTGGCATGCTGGCGGTGTGGGTTGTTGGTTGGCTACTGGTGTGCTGGGAAGGCGATTATTTTTCGTCTCGGCGGGCAGCATGCCGCTGCAGCACCCAAGTCGGCGGGCCGAGAACACCCCGCAGGCCTACCCGGCCGCCAACACTGACCAACGAGAGGTCCCGGAGGCAAACCGTGGGGGGACAAGAAGAGACCGTTTCCGGCAGCAGCACATCCACACAAAAGCCACAGGAACAGCACGTTGCCATGCCAGGGGCAGCTTCACTACTATCGACGCGTGCTGTGGTCATGCCCGGACTATTGTCCCACTGATCGAACTCGCCCCGCCTTACAGCCTTCAATATTAAAGTCCGCGACGCCGCAGCGGGCGTCTTGGGATGGCAGTCCTCGGCCCTCGTCATTCGTTTCACTCACTCCTTCCACTATTGATTCGCTGGACCGACATTCCGCTTGCCGGTGGCGCAGTACAAATATAGACAATATTTTCTAGCGCCAGAACGAGAGAAAAAGTACCAGACACTGCGAGCGACATCGACGTTGAACACCCCACTGTCGTGCGGTCTCGCCTCGGGTCGATCAAATTCAGACGACGTCAGACCATGGAGTCGACGCGTGGCTCGGGTTACCAGCTCAACGACCGTGACATAGCTCCCGTATCACATGGGGACGATCCAGGAGCCCGTTCACCCTACCGTCCGACGCGGGATTTTGAGAAGAAGACTCCCTCCGCCACTGTCACGGAGGTGAGCATTGAGAAGACAAGAGAGCCTTTCTGGCGGAGTATCAAGTTCATGGCTGGCGTTCCACAGAGCAGAAACACCTTCGACGAGCGTGACCATGACGGCTCCTCGAACGTTGCACTCCTAGACGGCAAGTGCAAAAGTTATCCGAAACCATATCACCACGCGACCAGGCGGCGCAGATGGACCGTATGGACGCTGCTGGCACTTCCCATACTATTACTCTGCTTCGGGTATGTACATACGCTTTATAAGAGCATCCATTCAGCCTCAATACTAAGCTGACCCACCACCTCAGTAGCACCATCTACCTGACCAGCCTCATCATCATCCTCAGCCCCATCCGCTGGGATGAAGAAGCCTTCAGCACGTTCCGGCAATGGGGCCAACCGGGGCACCTAGGCACCGGCTTCTCAGGCTACACCGCGAACTTCACGCACAACGTGCGGCCGATCCCCTGCCACAGCCACAACGACTACTGGCGGCGGGTGCCGCTCTTCGAAGCGCTCAGCTACGGGTGCTCGAGCGTCGAAGCGGACGTGTGGCGCTTCGACAGCGAGCTGTACGTGGGGCACTCGACGCGGGCACTGCAGCGCCAACGCACCTTCAGCAACCTGTACGTCGAGCCGCTGGTAGCGCTGCTCAACGCCCGGCAAACGAACGCGTCGAGCGCCGCCGAGTCCGACTCAGCGCGCCCCGTCGGCGTCTGGGATCGCGACCCCGCACACCCGCTCGTCCTGCTCGTCGACTTCAAGAACTCCGGCCGCGCTATCTGGCCGCTCTTCATCGCGCAGCTCGAGCCCCTGCGCGCGCGCAACTACCTCACCCACTTCGACGGGGAGAACGTCGTCCCGGGCCCCGTCACCGTCGTCGCGACAGGCGACGCGCACTTCGACCTCGCGGTCGCGAACGCGACTTACCGGGACGTGTTCCTCGACGCGCCGCTGGCGGCCATGGCGGACGGCTCTGTCTCTGTCAGCAGCACAGCAGGTGCTGGCCACGCGCCCGCATCGCTGCCGCAGGGCCTGCCCGCGAACCCGGATCTGTACAATCCGACGAACAGCTACTACGCCAGCGCGTCCTTCTCGAAAACGGTGGCCTACCTGCTCCCGTTCCCGCGTTTTGGCGGCGGCAGCGGCGGGGGGCAGCTGCTCAGCCCCTCGAAGCTGAAGATCCTGCGCGGTCAGATTGGCGGCGCGCATCGTCGCGGGCTGAAGGTAAGGTATTGGGGCACGCCGGCGTGGCCGCATGGGTTGAGGAGGGCGGTGTGGGATATGTTGGTGGGCGAGGGAGCGGATTATCTCAATGTGGATGATTTGGCAGAGGCGGCGGGGAGGGAGTGGAGGAGTGTGTGAGTATGCAGGGGTAGATGGAGTGCAGATATGGCATGAAAGTGCGAATGATGGGGTGTATGAGATTACGATATGAAGTAGCATGACACGCCTATATACCTATGGTATCAAATAGATATAGAACGAACACGCAACCCTACGAAGAAAGACCACAGTACCTCGCTCCTCTACAAACACTAAACGCCTCCGCTATGCCCAAACCACCTACCATTCCCCCACCTCCCTCCCTTCACAACCTTAACACTCAGCGCAAACACAGCAGCGCCCCCTCGCCAAACTCGCGCTCCACGGTCCCCTCAGCCCTCAACATGCCGCCCAACCAGACGCGCGCGCCCTCGACCTCCCTTGCGCCGAACTTGACGAGCACGAAGCCGCGCACTGCCGCTGCGGTCCAGATGACGCTGTCGCGCTGTTCTTGCGCGTGCCGTGCTACGCGTGTGGCTTCTTTACCTACTTTGTCACTACTATCTCCATTACTACCACCGCTACCACCGCCGCCGCCGCTACCCTTACCAACACCAGCACCGGCACCACCACCCTCCCACCCCCGTCCCCCAAGCCTAGGCATCGCTGCAAACTCGTCCATGAAGTACGCGCCGAGAGAGGCGAACAGCCCGCCGCGTATGATCAGCGTGCCGTACACGCCGAGCCCGTCCATCCGGCTGGCGATGCCTCCTGCACTGGTGTCGTGGCTGTGCGGGGCCAGGAGCAGGTTGTCGCGGAGGAGGAGGCGCTTGCGTGTGCTTGCTGCACTCGCATTGCTCGCGCCGAGATACACCTCGTTCCTGCTAGCATAGCCATCAAACCCCCAGGACTCATTTCGCGCGCTCCGGCCCTCGCAGACCCAGTCGCAGACGCAGAGGTTTGCGCTCGCACCACCACCACTGGCACCATCCCCATCGCCAGGCAGCAGCGTGTAAATCTGCTCCTGCGCAAACGCGCTCCCCGCGTACGGCTGCACGGGATCAGGGAGGTAGAGCAGCGCAGCGCCGGGCGCCAGCCGCACGTCCATGCTCTGCGCGCTGCGCCGCGCGCCGGGGAAGACCTTGGTGCTGCCCTGGGTGAGCAGGACGAGCCGGGCGTGCGTGTCGAGCGTTATAGATAGGTTTACGACGTCCCCCGAGACGAGACCGCCGCCGTAGCTTAGGAGGAAGATTGTGTGGACGGTGGTGGGGCTGTCATTGTCGCAGGTGGCATTGGCATTGGTGGCGGTGGTGAGGACGGCGGGCGCGGGCGCTATCAGCTTGAGCGGGTATTGGTAGGAGAGGGTTTGTAGGACGGGGGCGGAGGCGGCGAGGCGGCGGAGGACGATGGCGCCGTGGCCGGGGCGCGAGGTCGAGGGCGCGAAGGGGTTGTTCATGGTGGTGGTGGTTAGTGAGGGTGTCGAGACATGGTTTATGGATGGAGAGGGAGGGGGAGAGTAGGAGGGGGATGGGAGAGGGAGATGAGAGGGGAGGGAAGAGAGAAGACGGGAGAGAGAGTGACTAATTTTGTGGGTTTGGTGTTGGTGATGGATAGGTAGAGATAGCAAGCAAGCAAGAGGTGTTGGGGAGCATTGGCCAATGAGGGCAAGGAAAGCCATCCATCTCCCCCAAGACGCGCTTTCGTCGTCGGTCCGGACATCAACACGGTTCGCTGCGTCGCGCCAGTCGACCGCCGTCCAGGCTGCAAAGTACCGCCCAACCGACGCGTCCGACAATCCCACTTGCCCGCTCGCGTGCGCCAGCTTGCAACTACTCTACCCCCCATCGCACCACCTACTCTACCTACCCCATCAATCAACCAACCAACTGCCCGCCCGCGCATCATGTCCGAACAACCCTCATCCCCCGCCCCCGACGATGCCCCGCGCACCACGCGCCGCAAGTCCGGACGCGTCACGCGCAAGCCCGAAACCATCTACACCTCGAGCGCGACGGCGACCGGCGGCGCGAAGCGCAAACGCGGCGCCGAGCCCGACGACAACGCCGACGAGGGCGCGTCCGACGATGACGACGAGAGCGACGACGAGAGCACCGAGGGCGAACCCGACGAGGAAGAGCTGCGCGAGAGGCGCCGCAGGCGTCGGCAACAGCAGCGCAAGACGCCGCAGAAGAAACCCGCGGCTAAGAAGAGCAAGACCAATGGCGAGGCCTTGAGCCTGGCTATCCGACCCGCCGCCAAGTCGAAGAAGGCCAGAAAGCCGCGGCCCAGCAAGATCGCCGCGGCCGAGGACCAGGGCGGTCTTTACGGTAGGTTGAGCTTGGTCCGCCCGTTTTTTGGCGTCTTTGCTGACTTGCTCTTGCAGCTGAGGTATTTGCCGGCGAGGAAGACTTGGCTGAGGTTGCTGCGAGATGGCTGGCACGCTTCAAAGGGAGCGACGGGACGGAGAGCGCCGAGTCGAAGAATCTCATGGACTTGGTCAATTTTGTACTAAAATGTGCCGGATGCGAGTTCGAGGTGGATGTCCACGACATTGAAGACCCAGACAGCTGCCCAAACAAGCTCACAGACTTGCAAGAGGAGTATCAAGCAGTAGGTCGTGTTGGATTATGCGTAACATGGCTGCGCTGATAATTTGCAGCAAAACATCACCGAGTACCCTCTAATATCCAAAGGCAAAGGCACCGCCAATTTCAGACACAACCTCGTCACCTTCTTCGATTGCCTCATTAGGACCATTGCGGAAACGGAGGACCTCTTCGAGAGCGCCCCGCTCGTTGAGAACATCGAAACCTGGGTCAGCACCATGTCCTCGGCCGCAAATCGCCCGTTCCGCCACACCGCAACGGTTATATCCCTAGCCATTACGAGCGCGCTGTGCAGTGTCGGGAAGAATCTCGCGGACACCAACGCGAGGTTCTTGCGCCAAAGCGAAACGGAGGCGAAGAAGAAGCAGGCCAACAAGTCAAGAGTGGCGGAGTTGGAGAAAAAGGTCAAAAAGGCCGGCCAGCGGCAGGAGAAGCTGGATAACATGATCAAGGACTGGTTTGACATGGTGTTTGTCCACCGCTATCGCGACGTTGACCCGCGCATCAGGGCAGACTGCGTGCAGTCGCTGGTGGACTGGATCATTACGTATCCCGACGTGTTTCTCGACGGCAACCACTTGCGATATCTCGGCTGGGTGCTGTCGGACCCTGCCGCACCTACGCGATTGGAAGTGGTCAAGCAGTTGCAGAAACTGTACAAGGACCATGACAAGCTCGGTGGTCTGAAAACGTTCACCGAGCGGTTCCGGAGCAGGATCGTTGAGATGGCTACGCAGGATGCGGAAGCGAGCGTCCGCGCGGCATCCGTCGAATTGCTGGACATTTGCCGCGACGCGGGTCTTCTAGAGCCCGATGACATTGACTCTGTTGGAAGGCTCATTTTCGATGCTGAACCTCGCGTGCGCAAGGCCGTGGTTCCGTTCTTCGCGGAGACGGTTAACGAAGTCTACATGGGCAGGATTGAAGAGCTCGGCGGCCTAGAGTCACTCGAAGAGTCACTAGCATCTCACGAGGGCGATGACTATGAAGGACCGAGGATCCAATGGCTCAAACATAAGTGCCTGGTCGAAATTCTGCAGAGCTACGACGATCAGGATGAGGATCTACCGAACCAGATCGAGCGAGGTCCAGGCGTGAACAACTACGTGCTCGTCGCGGCGGGGCTTGAGTCTCGGTTCTCAGTCGCTGCTCAGGCATTGTACGACGCGATCCCAGAAATCAAAGAGTGGGAGGTTTTGGCAGGCTACCTGCTTTTCGACCACTCGCAGTCCTCGAGCGGGGCAAACCGCAACGGCACTTCCGACGACCCCGAGACGGCGCTCAAGCAGGATTGCAAGCTCAACGAGAAGGAAGAGGTTGTCTTGCTCGATATTCTTAACGCTGCGGTCAAGCTGCGCCTCACGCATACCGTTGAAACGGGCAAAACCGCGAAGCATAAAAAGACCAAGGCCCAGGTGGAAGAGCAAGAAGAAATACAGGAGACGGCTGCCCGCCATCTGGCTGCTTTGATACCGCGCCTGTTGAACAAGTTTGGCGCCGTTCCGGACGCCGCATCGGCAGTCTTGCGCCTCGAGCACGTTCTCAACCTTGATGTCTTCGAGGAGCTGCGCCAAGACTCCACTACGTACTCTGCTCTCTTGGATGACATCAACAAGCAGTTCCTGACACACGGCAGCGAAGCCGTTCTCGTCGAGGCCAGCCGCGCCCTCCTGCACGCCAAAAGCTACGAGGAACTCGGCGAGATCACAGAAGGCAAGATGCAAGCGCTCTGGGACGACACGGTCAACGCGCTGCACGCGCTCAAAAAGGGCAAGGGGCTCACCGCGCGCGGCAACCTCAGCGAAAACGTCCTCACGGCCATGTCCAACACGGTGCTGCGCATCTCGAAGCTGGCCAGCATATCGGACTGCACGGAAGCGCTGGAAAAGGCGCCGCCAGCGCCGACCGGGCGACAGCGGGGCCGCGCATCGGCGTCGCACCAGCCGAACGTCCTCGCCGTGGACATACTGACGGAGCTGGTGGCGCGCGGCGTGCCGCACGCCGACACGGAGCCCGAGCTCGAGGCGCTCGAGGACGCGGTCGTGGGCAATGCGGCGCGCGCCCTGCTCTTCTACTTCATGTGGAAGGTGCGCGCGTGGGAGAGCGCCATCGCGTCGCACGCCGGCATCGCGGACGACGACGTCGAGGCCGTGGCTCTGCGCCGCGACGCCTTTGTCGCGGGGCTCGAGGCTGTGCTGCGCGCGAGACATGGCGCCGAGGAGCTGCGCGTCGCGGTCGCGGGCGCGCTGCTCGACCTCAGCGTCCTGTTTACGACGCTGCGGCAGGCGAAGCCGCGGAGCAACAATAACAACAACAACGCTGCTGCTGCCGGTGCGGCCGACATGAGCGAAGACTACATGGCGCTAGTCATGGAAGTCGAGCCCGCAACACAGGGCATGCTGCTGCAAGTCCTCGGCGCAGCAGAAACGCTGTACGCGAAGAAGTCGCGGCGACGACTGCGCGACGCTGCGGCCGTGGGCGTGACGGACGAGCCCATCGACGTAGACGAGGACCCGGTATCCTCGTCCTCAGACGACGAAGAGGGCGGCGCCGACGATGTGGACGAGGCGGATGTCCTGCGGCAGCAGGAGGCGCTGCTAGCGGAGCAGCGGCTTTGCGAACTCGCGGGCAAGCTGGTGCTGGCTGTTGTGGCGGGGGTGGTGGACGCTGATGTTGATGTTTCGGGAGAGGGGGAGGGTGCGGGTGATGAAGAGGGCGAGGCGGCGGAGAGAGTGGGCAAGGTCCGCAGGCGCCTCGAGAGGAATAAATCCCGCTTGGGCCCGAACTACAGAGAGGTGGTGGGGTATTTGACCTCCGGTGCTAGCGAAGGCAAGAAAGGCCGCAGGGGGAAGAGCAGGGGCCCTGCCGCTGCGAACACTACTACTGGTGGTGGTGCTGCGGGTGCGGGTGCCAGGGGCAAGCACGCGAAGAGCGAGGCGCTGGTACTTGAGGAGGACGATATTGAGGATGATGAACAGGAGGTGGAAGCTCATGAGGAGGGGGAGCATGAACATGAAGGGGACGACGACGAAGGGGCGAGGCGCCGGGAGTTGGTGGTTGAGGAGGACGAGGTCGTGGATGCGGATGTGGATGCGGATGCTGAAATGAGGGATCAGGAAGCGGACGAGGAGAGCGTGCTGGGTGATTAGCTGGGCGATTAGCTGGGCTGCGCTGCGCGAGTGGGTGGGTGTCTGTGGATGTGGGCGGCGTGGTGTGGTGCGGTTTGTTTGTTTGCTTTGCTTTGCTTTGCTGGCTGGGTTTGAGGGCGCGTTGTGGGCTGCGGATGCGGATGCGGCTGCGTTTTACTGTGTGGCAGTGTGTGTGCTGATAGTCGTGGTCGTGGTCGTAGTACGGAGCAGTAGCAGTAGGTTAGTTGGGTGGGCTAGTCTAGTCTACCCGTTGCTTGTAGGTAGTGACGTACGTTACTTATATTCTATTTTTACTTGATTTGACTTTTATTTGACGCCGTATAAGACTACTTATGAGTGAGTATATCATGCATGCATGCATGCATGCAAGTAAGCAAGTAAGCGAGTAAGCGAGTGAATGAATGATTGAGTGAACGAACAAACCCAAACCAAACCACCGCACAAAAAACCCCACACCAGCAGAAAGAGAAAGAGAGAACAAACATCCTAACACCTACCTACATAATCGCCAAACGGCCTCCCGTAACGTAAATACGTTGCTACAGTATATGTGTGCGTGCGTAGGTAAATATATATATATATGCGTTTTGTGTGAGAGACTAGCCAAGACAAAAGCAAACGAGCAGGATATCCAAAATCCAAAATCCAAAATCCATCCATAAACCAGAAACCGGAATCGAAACAAAGCAGCGACAGGGCTGGGCCATGCGGTACCCACGCAAGCAAGCAAGCGGAAGCAGCTATGTGTGTATGCAAACAAAGACAACGACAACGACAACGACGCCGCCAACAACAGCATCAACATCAACATCAACGTCAACATCAGATATACACCCCCCCCTCCCCTCCACCCATTTTTACCCCTCATTTACCCCTCTTTAAACCCCCCTTCTTTCCCCACCCCTCCCACACACACGCCCCCCTCAAAAGTGTCCCCCTTCATCCCCCGTCGGCCTCCCAACCTACGCGCCACCCCCCAGCACGCCCTCCAGCTCCTCGCCCAGCACCCTCCACCCATCCGCCTGCAACTCGGCGTACTTGACGCGCTCGGCCGTCCAGTCCTGCACCCAGCGCGCGACGTGGAGCTGGCCTTGGCGAGCCCAGCGCAACTCGTCGCGTAGAGCCTGCTTGACGAGGACGGAGCGTGCGTGCGCGGCCACGATGGCTTGTTTGTCCTGCGTTGAAGGTTAGTGGTGTGGTGTGAAAAGGGTAGGAGATATAATGGGGCCAAGGCACAACTCACCCGAACAATACTCTCCTCGACCCGTTCCCTCTCCCCCGGCTTCACAAGCTCGGCCGGCTTCTTCGCCAGCGCATCCAGCTTCCCCTCGGCAGACTTAATCTTCTTCTCCAGCGCGGGGATATTATCTCTATCCAGCCTATCCCTGCGCTCAAACAACTCCCTCAGCGCAACGAGCCCGTCCCGCTGCCTCTTCAGATCTTCCAGCACGCCCTCGTCCCACGCGCGCGCCTCGTCTTCCAACAGGCTCTGCGCGCCGCCCAGCTGCCGCGCCGTCGCGCCCAGCCCCGCGTTCAGGGCTGCGACGTCCGCCGGCTCGGCCGCGTACGTCGCTGCGGACGAGGAGGCGAGCGTTTGCAGCGCGAGCGAGGCGCGCATGTGGTCTGCCGCCATGGCTTCGTTGCGCTTGGCCAGCCGCTCGACGAGCGTGCACAGCGCGATGTACGTCTCAGCGCTCTTTTTGACGCCGGCGCGTACGCGCTCGAAGAGCTCGTTCAGTTGCGGGGAGAGCGCGTCTTCGAGGCCTGGGGGCAGGGTCGTTTGGCCTGCGAATTCGTCTTGCAGGTTTAGTTGCGCTTGCTTGCGCCATGCTGCGAGTTCCTGGGTTGAAGGAGGACGTGTTAGTGGGGTGTGCAGAGCGGGGTTGAAGGGGCAGCACGCCTACTTACCGTTGGCACTGTGAGGAACATGATTACGAGCTGCTCTTGGCTGAGCACGGGATGGCGCACCAGCGCGTTTGCGAAGCGCGCCAGCCCGCGCCGCCGCTTCTCGACAAAGGATGCGTCTGTCGCGATGTAGTTGCCGTTGACTAGGTAGCGGGGCTGTTAGAATCTTGGGACTTCTGCGAGAAGCAGCAGGAATAAAACTCACTCGACACCCTCTTGGGCGGCAGCAGCGGCAGCTGCCGGAACGGATACCGCTTGTGCAGGCAGTCGAGCAACCAGACAAAGTCGCTGTACCGCCGCACGACCTTGGCGTTGCGCCGCACGCTCGTGACCTGGTAGTTGCGGTGCTGGAAGAGGAAGATGCCCTCCTTCTCGGGGATGACGGCGACGGTGACGACCTCGTCGGGCCCCGTCGTCGTGCTCTCCGACAGCGGGTCGCCTCCCAGCACGCGCCCCAAGCCCACCAAATCCGCGTCGGGGCTCGCGGCATTTGCGACGGCGCCGTCTCCGCCCTCGCCGCCTGCTACTGCTGCTGCTGCCATGCCGCTCTCGCCCACCATCACTGCGTTGCCGACCGGCGCGCCAAACACGCCGCTGCTGCTGGTCGTGGTGCCCGCGCCGAAGCCGCCGCCGCCCCACGCAGCGTCCTCGGGCCTGTCGTCAGTTGCGCTGACGGCGCCTGCGGGCCGCGCGTTGACGCTGCCGACGCTGTGGTGCCCATTGGCGCCGCTCAGCGTGGCATTGGCCTGCTCCACGCGGTGCGTGTGGCCCTTGTGCAGGTCGGGGCTGTTCCATGGGTCGGCGTCGAGGCCGAACGACGTCTTGCGCGTCGTCGGGGTGATGGGTGCGTGCTTGAGCGTGCCTGTGGCATCTGCGCCCACCGGTGGCGTCGTAGCCATGCCGGATGGAGGAGGCGGCGGTGCGAGGTAGTCGTTGTTGTTGTTGTTGTTGTTGTCGTCGTCGACGGGCTCGCGCAGGAGCGCCACGTCTAGGTGTGGTTCGGGGAGGTCTGCGGCGGGCAATACGTTAGCTACTTGTTCTTCTTCGTCTTCTTCATGTGATATTCGTCTCCTCAAGCTTCCAAATCAACGCAATCAGCACAGCAGCACTCGAGCACAGCACATACCGTCCCTCCGAGCATCCACGCCATCCAACGAAACATCCTCGCCCTCCCTCGCGAGCCCCACCAGCGCACACAGCACGTTGAACTCGGCCCGCCCCAGCCCGGACTCGAGCCGCCCCTCGGGCACCACCAGATCCAGCACCTGGCGCTGCTCGTCGGGAGCCAGGCCGCTGGCGCTGAGCACGCGGCGCACGCCCGTGAGGCCCGCTCCGCCGCCGAAGCGAGCTCCCGCCGCCATGACGGCCTCGAACGCAGCGCCGTAGCTCGACGGCACGGCCGCGCCCGCCGGCAGCAGCGCCTGCAGGTTACTGGTGCGCTGGCGCGGCGTCGGCAGCGCCCATGGCGACGAGGCTCCCGGATCGTCGTCGTCGGCGAACAGGGTGGTCCCGGCTACGCTGCTGGTCGTCGTGTTGGCCAGGCGCGAGACGGAGCGTGGAGGGGACTCGGAGCCGGCGCTGGCGAGGTCGTCGGCAAAGAGGGCGGAGCGTGGCCTGTCGTTGTCGGGCGAAGTGCCGAAGAGCGACATGGTGGATGATTGGTTGGTTGGTTGGGGGGGGAGGGGAGGTAGGTATGCTTGCCTGTGGTGGTCGTCGCCCGTCGTGGCTACCTGAAACGAGATGCGTGTTGTATGGGGGGGTATTACAATTATGCAAAGAGACGAACCACGCGCCTCAGGGGGGTATCTCTCGAATTCTCACTCGCAGTCTCTCCCACTCTCTCACAAAGTCACTTGGGAGGAAAAAAAGAGGAAAGTGTCGAAGGTTCGAAGAAGAGATGGATGTGTTGTATCTTCTGCTACGCCAGCGATACGCAATGCGAGCTCGGACGCTGCCAGCACGCACACGGGCGGCCCGAGCGCCAAGCTGGCCATGTAAATCCTTGCTGCGAGCGGGTATCGTAGAAAAAACTCCAGATGCTCCAAGTCCAGGTATACCAATGCCAATGCCTCCAATGCCTGTCCAATGCCACTCCGAAAAATGCCTGCCATCGCTTTTGTGAAAACATGGGAAAAAAAAAAAAAAAAACATCACCGCGCTTCCGCTCCTCCACCGCCACTAAATCTATTATCACCGCCTTCAGCCTCGCGCGCCAGCGGACTCGACACTGCCGGCGTAGTGCGCTGCTGCTGTGGCGTCGTCGCCAAGTCGCGACCGCCCATGCCCCACTCTACCTCGCTGTCACCATCACCCTCACCTCGCTCCTCTCGTTGCGACGACCTCGCCGGCGACGATGCCGCCGACACCGATAGCGCCGTCAGCGCGTCCGGCGACCACGCTCTGCCCCCGCGGGGCTGCGCCGGAATCACCGTAATGGGCTGCTGCGCGTCGTTGTTGTTGCTGCGCAGCCGCCCCGCCGCCGTCCGCTCCAGCAGCACCTCACCCACCTCGCCCGCCATCGCGCCCATCCGTCCCTTGACATCCCACCACGCGTAGTTCTGCGCCGCCTGCCGCAGCTCGCGGCGTTCGGGCCTGTCCCCTCCACCAGGTGAGTCTTCGGCTGTTTCCCCCGTCGTCGTGGTAGTAGTAGCAGTAGAGGGAGCAGCGGCGGGCTCGATGATGCGCGCGCCCAGGATCTCCGGCGGCGGCGTGGTTCGTCGCCGTTTGAACGGCCGCGCCAGGGCTCTCCACAGCGCGTTGTTGGCGCGCTCGGGCCCCCCACGTTGCTGCCGCTCCAGATCGGCGGGGCCGTCGTGGTCCTGGGCCTGCTTGGATCTGCTCGGCCCCAGATCGAAGCGGATGTGGTCCGGGCCCTGGCCGGCCGGGGTGGGGGGCTGCTGCTGGCGGGGCGTCGCGTCGGCGACAGAGTGATAGCGCACGGCGTAGACGGTGCTGTCGACGCTCGCCGAGTCCGTTCGGCTCACCGGCGTCGCGATCGGGGCCGGTCGCGCCGGAGTCGCCGTCGTCGGGCTCCCGGGGAAGCCGCGCGTGTCTAACGAGCCCGCTGGCCCCGACCCGCGCCGCGTGTCGCCGTCGGCATTCGAATGCACCGGCCCCAGCGGTATGAAGCGCCCATCTTCGTACTGCTGTTGCTGTTGTTGCTGCTGTCGCATGCGGAACGGCCGCTGCGACACGCCCGAGCCCATGGTGCTGGTGCCCGAGGCGTAGACGCCGCTACCACCCCCGCCGCCGCTCCTCCGATCGTCCCGTAACTGGCGCACGCGCTGCAGCCCCGGCCAATTGATCTCCGCCGACGGGGTGACGTCCAGCATCTCGTCGCCGTCGAAGATCTCCCTCCCCAGAATCCCGTCTTTCTTGTCCTCCCTTTCTAGCGCCTCTATGCGCTCCACCCACTCCCACACAATGACGCTCGCGGCCGCGGCGCCCACCCATCGGAAGTAGTCCCCCCATCCCGCAACAGTGTAATTAGAAATATCCGTGGCAAAGAAGATGATTGGTGTCAGAATGGCAATGACAGACAGTAGAGCGACAAGCGAGATATTGTACATCAGCTTGTGGTAAAAGGCGTAGCGTCGTTTCGTGAGGGCGTAATACAGGACCCACGCCGCATAGAGCATGCTGAGGGCCAGCTCAAAGAGATATGCTAGTGCCGGGATCGCGTCCTTAAAGTGCGCGGGCCGGCCAATGTCGTTTCCCTCGAAGTTGTTGACCGAACTAAAGGCCATGTCCAAGATGATAAGGGCGAACCCGACCCACTTAATGATGACCTTCTCCTTATGGCGCGGGAACAGGCGTATTAGCGTCTGCACCTGGGCCAGCAGCAGGAAGACGTCGGAGATGACGCGCGAAATCTTAATCTCCAGGCCGCCGACGACCTCGCGGCGAATGTCGTCGGCGTCCATGTAGCCGTTCTCGTACTGCTGCTTGGCGACGCGGAACGTGTCGGCCGTGGCGATGGTCATGGACACGGCGACCGTCAGGGCCGCCACCTTCTGCAGCCAGGGCCGCGAGCCCACGCCAATGACCGACGCGCCGCCCGACGCGCCACCGATCATGCCGCGCCGGCCCATCAGGCCCGACCGCCCCCCGGCCCCGCCGACGAAGAAGGTGCGCGGCGTGATGAGCAACATGATGACCAACATCCACGACACGACCGTCGCGGCACCCGTGGCGTACACCTGCGGCGTGACGGACGCATGGAAGGGATCCTGCAAGTCGACAACGTCGGTTATATCGCGGATGGGGCCATCGTAGGCGGTACAGTGCGGCGAGAAGAGGGCGTCAGCGGTGAGGGTGATGGTCGACGAGGGTCCCAGGGTCAGCACGCCGCCCGACGGCAGTGCATAGGGCGTGCAGAGCTGTCGTTCCGGTCAGTTTTGCAGCTGTGGTGGGTTCCGCGCGGTACGTACCATGTCTATAGTGTCAGGCGTCACGGTCGTTGCGCTGGCGGCGGCGGCGTCCGAGTCGTCGTCGTCGTCGTCACGCCGCCGCCGTGTCGGCATGGGGACTGTAGAGGACATATTACGCAGTCGCGACGCGGCATGGCCAATGGTCCGGGCGAGTGGCGATGGCGAGGAGGGGCATTTGGGTGTTGTCGCGAGGGCCTGGGGAATGTTACTCTCCAAGGCTGACGGGCTGGGCGCTGAGGGCTGAGGAGAAGTGGATCGCTGGAGCGATCCGCGTCTCCGGCCTCTTCCGCTGATCAGTGCAACACTCCACCTCGCCCGGACCCACCCCTCTCTTGTCGAACATGCAAGGGCCCGGCCCTGCCAACCTCCAGCACGTGGAGTCGCCCTTTCTTGTCCCGGGGCTGGAAAGCTGCAGATTTTCTTTCGTCGTCGTCTCCTCATCTTCAGCCGTATGCGCACGTGAGCAATTCATTTCCATTTATGTCGGATCGTCCAATCTAATTCAGGCTGAGTGCATGCTACGGCAGCCCATCTGCATCCAACACCCACTCAGGCCGCCCGTACTTCCACTCCCTGAACGGCACCCGCCCAGGCATCTCGGTGCCGTCGCTCAGCCGTAGACGCGGGAAATCGTCCTCGGCCCACACGTACAGCTGCCCGGCCCCCGGGCTCGCGCCGTAGTTCTCCAACAGCGTAAAGTGGTCGGCCGTAGCATCGTGACGCGGGCGACGGCCACCGGGTGCTTGTGTCTGCGGAGAAAAAGTGGCATTGTTAGCGTCGGGCATCCCCAGAAACCAGCGCGCCCATGAGTTTACCCAAAGTGCTATGTTTTCTAGACGGCTGACACCGGCGTTATTGGCGCTGTTGTCTGGTGATTCTTGTTGCGCGGTGGCTTCGTCGCCTGCTGGCGGCGGCAGTTGCTGCTGTTGGTCTTGCTCTTGTGGTGGGATCGCCTTCGCGACGCACCTCTCTTCCACCTTCTGCGCAAGCTCTTCGTTCACCAACACCAGCGCCCCGCTGTGCCATCCAGCAGCCGTGACGCTCAGCGCAAAGTAGGCGCCAAGGCCATCTTCATCGTATTGTTGCAAGTCGGGATGTTTGTCCCAGTCCGATCCTTCCTGCTCAAACCACTCGCTGAGCTCGCCCTGCACGACGGGATCTGTGACTGCCATTCTCATCCTCTCTTTCGCTTCGTTAGGATCTTTGCCTCCAGAGGTCAAGAATCTGATCCACTGTTTCTTCACCGGCTCGAACCATATGGTGCGTCCACGTGTGTAAGCATGCGCCACGAGACCGCCGTCGAGCGTGTTTCCGGTATACCGGATGCCTCTGATGCGGCCTTCGGGGTCACCTTCGCCTCCCAGACCAAAGGCACCGCAGCGTTGCGGCTCCTTACCGTACGAGGTGATTCGGCCGTTGCTGTGAAGAGCATGGAAGTGGTAATCGCCAAAGGCGACTGAGATGACATCCGAGTTCTGAAGAGCCGGGATACGTTTTAGTCCCGAGATTGCAGAGTGGTCTTCCCACGGAGCTTCCCTCGAGGCCCAACAAGCCTCTAGATAATCCTGATTGGAAGTGATGACTTCGTCTCCCCTGAACGCTGCAAACGACTTAAATGAGCCTTGGATATCAATCTTAGCGTTGCTTTTACCGCCAGACTCATCTCGAAGGGCCCTCAACTCAACGACGTCTTCTACAACTGATGCGCTGCTCCAGTCCATCTTGGTTGCAAAAAATCTTCCAATGTCAGTGACGAAGACGACAAAGTGCTCCAAAACGATATAGCTGACGATCTCGCCGACGTTTTCTCCAAGAAGTCGGGATTCCTCGTCGGGCTCGCGAACGTTGCCCTTGGGACGCTGATAGCCAGTCTTAGGAACAGTGGCACGCTCTGTGATTGTCTCTGCGTTTTGAGTCTGCCACAGCAAGATACCAAGCCCCGTGACATACGCAGAGCTCGCACTCCAGCCAGCCACGACTTGGCGCACACGGCCACCCGGCAACGATTCTGAGTCACCAGTGGGAGGTTCTTCAGTATCCACAATCCTGAGATCCGCGAACTTGATGTGCTGCGCTGCAGCATTGCTGTTCATCCAGCACCACACCCTCCCGCTGTCCGCTAGTCCAAGGACATGGGATCTACCCGCAGAGAATTGCTGGATGGTGGTGGCAGCACTGGGGCTGTTCTCATGGGGAGACGGATACCTAAGCGGCTTGAGAGTGCCATCTCCAAGCTGCGAGAACCTCAGACCGTCCATCACTCCCACGGAATACAGCACTCCCTTAGCGGTCAGCAGCGTAGTGGACCACCCACCGCATTGCAGATCCGCAATGACGCCGAGCTCACGTGTACCGTCCACCTCAACCGGGGTCGAAGCGTTGAGGTTCTGGTAGCGTGGCCGCGAGGGAACCATCCGTGGATGGCGGATATCGGAGAGCTGGTGCACGCTATGGCCCAGGCATCCATGGGTGTTGCTCCCCCAGGTGAAGATGCGGCTTTGGGTGAGCAGACGCTTGTAGAGCCGGCGCCAGCGCTGGGCATCAGTTTGGATGACGGGTTGGTTGGGGACACGGAACGTCGTCTGGGTAGCGTGCCGCCAGTAGCCGGCATCGAGACGAAGGATGGGGTCGTAGAGAGCCTTGCATGTGCTACATAAGGATAGGAAGCTTGGCGCGTCGAGATAGGGCACGATGAGCAGCAAAATGTCGAGCGGGAGATTGGTAAATGAGGTAGGGGTTTGTTCGGCCATGCTGTGTTACGGTGGGGGGTGGAGGAATGGACAGATTTAGAAAAGATTGCGAGATGGATGCGTCGAAGGTCGGTTGTTGTTGCCTGCCCGTCCTGGGTCCGTGCCAGCAGATGCAATGACGTAGCTAGACCACACACGTGATGCGCTGGGGTCCGGTGCTCTGGCGGGAGTGCTAGCCTCGAAGAGATGCGTCTTCAGTTGTCTTTGCGTTCGCGGGTTGAGAGGTGTACGGTAAGTGGCTGGCAGTTGATGAAACCTCGAGTCCTTCCTCGTCTCGTGCGTTGTGCCCGCCCCGGCGATCTGCGGGTGGGGCGGCCCGGCCCGTATCCAACCAGTGCTTGGTTCTAACCTCTAACAACTTCTCCAGAGGCATTCTCTTACATTCTAGTTCCCAATCAACTGCTCGTTTGCTGTCCCCCAAAATAATGGTTCTGGTCACGAAAACTATTGTCACGCCGTCTTCAAAATCATGGCAGGAGGAAGAGTTGACCACTTTTCTCAATGCAGCAAAACTAAGCCAGAAATGAAGAAGCTGATTTGACAGGCACAGACGAGGAAACTACGATTGAGTCCATCTATCTAGGAGAAACATGGTCTATCCATCTCTAATTCATCCTTGCCCACTCCCGATACCAATCCAAGCACTCCGAATTCGCCACCGCCGCCGAAGTCTTAACATTAAACCCACACAAGATCTGCTTCACGGCCGCCTCGACCTTCTTCCCATTAACCGTAACCGGGATATCCGGGCACGCATCCACCTTCGCAGGGACATGTCGCGCGCTCAACGCGCCCCTCACCGCCGCCTTAATCGCATCGACCAGGTGTGCGCCAAACGCCACACCCTCAGCCATCTTCACAAACAGCACAACCGACTCGTCCGTATCCGTCTCGCGCCTCCGCCCCACGCATAGCGCGTCAGCGACTTGTTCTGGGAACCTCTGAAGCAGCACGTTGTAGATCTCCGCACTGCCGAAGCGCACGCCCGCGGGCTTCAGCACGCCGTCACTGCGCCCCAGCATGATTAGCCCGCTCGTGCGCGGGTTGATCCGCACGAAGTCGCCATGGTGCCACACTGGCGCGCCGCTAGTGTACTGTGCGAAGTAGCTTTTGCGGTACTTTGTCTCACCATCCACACCCCAAAACTGCACCGGTTGGCATGGGAACGATTTCACGCAGACGAGATCGCCAGCTTCGCCTGTGTCGCTGATGTCGTTGCCCTGGTAGTCCCAGGCGCGGATAGCCATGCCTAGTCCGACGACTTGGATCTCGCCGGAGTATACGGGCGTGAGGGGGCAGGGCGCCCCGAACAGGGAGATGATGTCTGTGCCGCCGGTGATGCTGCCGAGGTTGATGGTAGATGGGAAGGCCTCGTAGACGTATTCGAAAGTGGACGGTGCGAGGGGAGACCCCGTGCTGTAGATTGCTTCGAGAGTCTTTAAAGAGAGCCCTTCTAGTGGTCTGACGTTCTTCTGCTCAAGCACTGAGAGATATTTGGCTGAAGTGCCGAAGTGCGTTATCCCAACCTCGTCTATCAGGCGCGGCATGGCAAGGTCGTCCGGAACGGATGTGCCGGGCTCGCTCGAAGACATGTAGCGGAAGGGAGAGCCGTCGTATAGGACCAATGTGGCACCAGTGGCGAGACCTGAGATCATCCAGTGCCACATCATCCACGTACAGGTGGTGTAGTAGAAAAGGCGAGAGCCAGGGCCTATCGAGCAGTGAAGGACATGCTCCTTCTTGTGCTGGATCAGAGTACCTATCGCACCATGAACGATACATTTTGGCGCGCCAGTCGTTCCGCTACTGTAGAGGATATAGACCGGATGGTCGGGCGGCAGTTGCTTGAATGTAAGCTCAGAACTCCTACCACCAGAAACACCCGCCACCGTAAACTCAGCATATGAGCACGCCTTCCCTCCCGGGACCTTAACAGCAGCCAAATCGACCTCCACACCAGCAACAGTAGGCAGCACAACCACAGCGCGCAAGCTTGGCAACGCCGCCGCAATCTCCACCAGCTTTGGCAACACAGGATGGGCACGGCCATTATAAAACGCCGCGTTATCAGCAAACAGCAGCACGGGCTCGATCTGCGTCAAGCGCTCCAGCACAGCATGCACGCCGGTGTCGGGGCTCACGGCCGTCCACAGCGCGCCCAGCGACGCAGCAGCCAGCATCGCGACGAGCGCGCCCGCGTGGTTCGCAACGTAGCCGGCTACGCGGTCGCCCGGCTGCACCCCCGCGGACTGCATGCCTTGCTGGCAGTGCTGCACCCGTGCCCGCAAGGAGCCCCAGGTTACGCTTTCCCGCCCGGTTTCGGTGGCGCTGATTAAGGCCACGCTGGCCGGGTCGATAGTCACGCCTGCTGGGAATAGCAGGTTTTCTGCGAAGTTGAGGGTCGCGCCGCGAAAGAAAGGGGGGCGCGGGAACATGGGGGCGCGGGCGTCAACGGCCTGTGCGCGCTGTTAGCTGGTTGTTTGCGTGCGTGAGATGGCATGGAGGGAAGTGGGTGGTGTTGACCTCTTGGAACAGCTGAGATGCTTTGATCCCGACGAAGTGCCACACTTCGCTCCAGAACGCGTCTATGTGCTCTATGCTCCAGGCGTGCAGCTCCTTGTAGGTCTGCAGCTGCAAGCCGTACTTCTGGTTGATGTGCTGCAGGAACGCCCACATCTTGGTGGAGCGCGGAGAGGGGTGCTTCCATAGCTTGCGCGGCTCGGCAGACACGCTATTGGTGCCGTTTGCGGTTTGGGCGTCCATCTATTCTGTATTTTATTTGTTTGGCGTGGTCGGTGGTGTTGTGGGAAGCGTGAGGAAGGGTTGATTGCCTCGGCACGTGGGGCAATGCGGGTCCCCACATTTCAACCCCGCGATTGGGATTCCGGCAACGTAGCCGGGTCGCGGACTCGTGATATATCGATTGGTCACGACAACATCCGGGTCGCTTTGCTTTGGTTCGGTGCACGATTAGTTTCAGTAAATTTCCTTTGTGTATGCTAAAATTCGGATACGTTATCCATGTTTTGTTTTACTTGGTAACTGCAGCGTGGACCGTTGCAGTGATGCTAAAGCCCCACATGTTAAGTACATAAATATGTGAGCGAACTACCTATAGGGCTGAGGCTGGGACTTTTTCCCCTGGTACGAAGGATTTATAACTATTAAAGTTGCGCCCTCGGGTCAAGATCGAGATCAAGAATCCAATCACTTAGCAAGGACGGCTTAGGACGCTCCATTGGATTTGACGGCTACACGGTTCCAGAACCATTTCAGGAACGCCTCACGCGCACCTGATCAACCCTGCCGGTACGACTAGACCTCAAAGTCATCAAATCAGGTGCGGAATTCCGATAGTAGTAACATAAGATACCCATTACTACCAGAGCATAGTAATAATCCACACCAAAGCCAAAAGAGAGTGATGTTCGGCTTTGCTTTTTTTTTTTTTTTTTTTTTATCTTTTGAACGCCTTTGTCTATCGACTCCGTACATGTCTTGTGATTACGGCGTTTCCCCCAAGAGAAATCCATTCCAATCTTTCCGTGGTAACTTCCAGATGTGTTTCCGGAAGATGGGTTGTATCAACCTCATTTGCCTCGTCCTGTTGAAAGTGAGTGCTGGTAAAGTTGTTACTGTTAGTGCTGTGTAAATTATTTGATATTACTTAACGAGCTATGGCGAAAGACCAGCAAAACATGGAAATAGTCTATACGTATGAAGAGTAAGTATTTGCTCCCAATCCAAACATTTGACGTAACGTAACTCATGTATGTCTAAGATCTGTCAAGTGTCATAAGAGATCTTACTTACTCCATTGATATATGATTGGTCGCGAGAGAAGTTATGGCGCCTAAGAGACCACCAGGGTTATGCTCCGTCGTGTGTGTGTACTTGATGCTATCCACGTTGCCTACCTAGATGAACCGATTCCCACGTGTCCCCTCGTGCCCCTTTATCATCAGTGGAGAAGGAACGACGTGTCCGGGTAAGACAACAGCAAGCCATGCGATTCGGCTATCTTATCGTCATGCTTGGCAGCGTTCGTGCGTCACCGCTGCCGCCATCTCTCACCTGGTCGATGAGAGTCTGACGCGCCAGATTAGACGAGTAACGAAGACTTCTTTTCCTTCGCTTTCTGTATTCAGCATCCCGTCGCTCCCCACGCGCACGCCTCACAATGCCGCCCGCCTACACCCAATCCCAAAAGTCCGCCATCCAGCAAGTCGTCAACTTCACCAACTGTGACCGGACGACCGCTGCGAGGGTGAGTGAGCCGCGTCCGTCCCGTATAGCTGGTTGCCGTCGCTGACACCCTGAGCAGATTCTCAAGTCGGCCAACTGGAATGCCGAACAAGCGATCAACGGGTATGTACAGCATTTCCCGCCGTGAAGCCCCTCGCCTCTGCCCCACTCCTCCGATGCGACTATGCCCGTAGCCGTAGACATGGACCATACGGCTGGAGAAATGCCTAGGCGGTGAGGCTCAGCGCCTTTAACATATTAAGGCACTTTTCACATGGTAGTCCTTGAGAGGCAGTGGCCAAGGTGGTGCCTTCTTGATCTGTCGAATCACGCCAAAAGATGCCGCCCACGACAACACCACTGCTTCTTCTCCAACCCCAAACCACCACCCCACAACCCCTCCTTCCCTGCCCACCATGCCTCGTCGCAAAGCTGAAGACTGCATGCCCGTCAAAGCTAAAAAGAGACGCGTCGTCGACAGGTACTTCAACTCTGCCGCTAGCGCAGCGCCCACGAAACCGCTAGAGGCAAACCTCAACAAGCTCTTCGATAAATACCTCGACAACCCGGCTGAGAAGGACACAATCGGCATAGAAGGCACCATGCAGTACCTCGAGGCGCTCGACGTTCCGCTTGACGACATCACGTCGTTCGCCGTGCTTGAGGTGGTGCAGAGCCCGACCATGGGTGAGATGACAAGGAAGGGATTTGTCGAGGGATGGACTGCGAGAGGGTAAGCTCTACCATTGAAGGGTTCCTTTGCTTCTCTGCGCCTCGGATGCCGTACGAGCTGTATTCTGACCCTCACCTCACAGAGTCGACACCATCGATAAGCAAAAGGCCGCCATCGCCCAACTGCGCCCTGCTCTTTCCGATCCCTCGTCTCGCGCCCCCATGAAGAAGGTCTACAAGCACACGTTCATTCTCGGTCGGCCACAAGGCCAGAAGGCCATCCCACTTGACCAAGCCATCGAGTATTGGCGTCTTCTCTTCTCTCCCGCGGGCCTGAACTGGGCCAGCGGCAGCACGCCCTGGTTGGACTGGTGGATCGAGTTCCTCGAGAGCAAGTGGAAGCGCACCGTCAACAAGGACATGTGGGACCAGCTGTTCAACTTCGCGGAGCAAAGCCTGAAGGACGAGAGCCTGAATTTCTGGAGTGAAGACGGCGCGTGGCCCGGCGTCATCGACGAGTTCGTCGAGTGGGTCAGGACGGACAAGGGTAGAGGCAAGAAGGAGGGCGGCGACGAGGACATGGAAGACTATTGAGATGGTTGTTGCGCGCCAGGCATGGACAGGGCTGAAGTGAAGTGAAGTGAAGCGAATGGGGGTTCAAGTGCCGGTAGAAGACTTCTATTGAGCACGTTACGAGGGACACGGCTGCTATACCCATAAGAGATGCACACTATGGTTTGCGCAGAAGGGCGCGAGAGCGGCTAAGCAGGACTCTTCGCAGGGACGGCGGCGGCGGCGGCAATAGCACACGAGGGGCGGCTTATGGCGGGACGAGACGAGACGAAGTAATTGCTAGGCTGGAGGATCCAGAGGCAGCATATTCTGGTGTCTTAGGTCGGGCGGTTGCGCATCGAATCGAGTGGGATGGGATAGCATGACTGGGGAGTAGCTCATTCAATGCAGAGTTACTGTGCTATGCTATGTTATGCTATTGCTCTGAGGTCTTGAGCTGGCGGGTGGATGTGTTTGATGTGGGATGAGTGGGTGCCTAGTATGGGCTTGGGGTATGTACTTATTACATGGGAGGGATTGTGGGCGGTCGTGGTGCGTGTGGGCTAATTGGTGGCAGTGTCTCTTGGTGGTGGGGTTGGTTGGTTGCGGCTTCTGCATCGGACACTTGCACCTCCCCACTACTACCGCCTTCTTTCGCTGCCCCGCTTTTCCCTAGGCTTTATCAGTCTTGTCTACATAACCTTTTTCTTCAGCCTTGTGTATCCGGCCCTTCCACTTTTGCTAGGTTGCTACATTCGGTATTGGTTCAGAGTTGCTGACCCTTGTCGTCCAGCTGATCACAAGGATATTGTGGCGTTGAAGCCATGCATGGCATCGGATTACAGGTCAGAATGCTGCTTACTGGTGTTTTAGTATTTGAAGCCCCGCCTCCCCGGTGTTCTGGGGATCTGGGATCCTCTCGTCTACTTCCTTGTTCACTTCCTTGGTCAATCTTCGATTCTTTACTTTTCTGGTATCTCCACTCTTGTGAGATATTACTCGGGACATCACCCTATCAGTTTAAGACGGTTGCCTTCCCCGGATAAGGCACACCACGGGAGGACGACCTTGTCGAATTCCAATTAGCCTGGGGAAGGGCCAGAGTTTTCAGCAATATTCGCAACCTATCAAATCGATCAATAGTAACCGCCAAGAAACACCGCCAAGCAACAAGACTATTGTAGAGAAGTCAGTTTAGGAAACTTGGAAACAAGAAGCAGCGCACCAATGAAACCCAAGGTCCGATCCTCGTGGAAATACCACTACAAATGTCTTCCCGATGAACGCAAGAGTTTTCGACTTCTCAAGCTATTACCTGGCAAAGGCGAAGACCCCATACGATGCGAGCTTTCGATCGAAGACGTCGACAATGCTCCACCTTATGAAGCAATATCCTACACCTGGGGAGAGCCAGCAGATAAAATCAGCGTCCTCTGCCATGGAAAGCACACTATAGTCGCAATCCACCTGCGCGATGCACTCCGAAGACTGAGGCATGAAAATGCTAGCCGAACCCTTTGGGCAGACGCTATATGTATCAACCAAGGCGACAAGAAAGAGCGTGGACATCAAGTTCAAATTATGGGGCCTATATTTGAACGCGCCCAAAGGGTCCTCGTATGGCTTGGCCTGGGCACAGACTTCGATTCAGGTGCTGCCTTTGAACTTGTGAGGTCACTGTATCCCATATTCGATGCTCTTAGATATCCTTCTCCTAATGTCGAACCGCCTGACCTCGAAGCACACGTCGCATGTGTCGCACAATCACAGTGGGAGGCTTTTGGAGAGCTTCTTTGTTGTCCATGGTTTACACGCGTCTGGATCCTCCAAGAGATTGGCCTTGCTTCTGAAGCTCTAGTGTTCTGTGGCGAACACTGGATAAGCTGGTCAGATCTCATAATTGTGTGTGATCAGATATACTTGAGATGCAGCAAGATCAGAAGGGCTTACAAACTTTATCTTACCAATGTTATAAATATTATGGACCTTTCCTTCAAATCCGATACTGAGGAAGACATCCGATTTATCCTCTACACCGCCAGCAACTCTGACTGTTCCGACGACCGAGACAGAATGTATGCACTGTTAGGGCATGCAGCATTCAAACAGTTCTGTATCGACTCTCGTAAATCCCAGTTCATTGTGGTCGATTATTCATTACCGTTTTTGGACTTCTGCTTCAATGTTGCTGCAGCATTACTAGAACTGGATAACCCCCTAAATTTTCTATCAATCGTTTCTCATACAGAGGACTCGATTCAAGCACCCGAACGCACGTCTTGGGCTCCCCAATGGGATATACCTAACTGGAATTCCTTGTTCCATTATAGATTTTACAGCGTTTCCAGATCTATGGCTGAGCACCTATCCCTCTATGACCGTGTTCTAAAAGTTGAAGGCCTATTAATTGACTCTGTCATTTTCTATTCTGAAAAACTACGTTATTGGGATATAGAAGGGCCTCTGCTCACTAAGACGAACACTCTCAATCTACTGAAGAAGTTGTGGGAAGATCTTAAGAACATGTACCCGGTATCCTGGTCCACCGAGTCTGAAAAAGAGCATGTTTTTGAGAAGTTCTGCATGACACTCAATGTAGGAGGTGCAGTAAGAGGGAAAACAGGCACGCATTCCTTAAATATCCGAGACCGCATGGCAGATTGCCTAGCATATTTCGACAAGGCTGGAATTGAACTTTCCTCGGAAACCAGATTCAACCATCAGTTTGAAGGTGGCGATAGCTTTCGATTCCTTGAAACCAGTCTCGGGTATTCGCATCACCGGTGCTTTTTCGTCACGGAGAAAGGGCACTTCGGGGTGGGACCGACAGTAATGATACCAAACGACAAAGTCTGCGTTCTCTTCGGAGCAAGTATGCCTAGCATACTCAGACCACAAGAGAACGGCGACTACCGATTCTGTGGTCAATGCTACGTTCACGGCATCATGTATGGAGAGGTCATCGACATGTGGGAACGAGGAGAGCTGGGCGAACAGGAGACGTTCAGGCTTGTGTGGTTTCGTTTTGTCATGGGGAGGGAAGTCTTTGATCTGCCTTCAAGAAATGGAGTGAGGAGTTTGGTAGAGTTTGGAGCTTTCTGGCGTTTTATATGGTTTATTGTTGTTTGTACGTCAAGTCCGTCTTCGGCATTTTCGTTTTAAGAAACTTGTGATGTTAGTATTCTGATACATCAAAGGATTTGATTGAGGTTATGTCAGTGACAATATTTAAGGCATAGGAAAAATTGCTCATCCTACATGATAACATATCTGTAAAACTTTATAACATCCTTCTACCTTTAGATAATTTACATCCCTGTACCTTTATAAGTACCTTTATACCCTTCGAATATCTATTACCGTATCCTTATAGAATTCTCTAGTACTTCTCTATATTTCCACCAGTATACTCTCTTAAATACTATTAAATCTTATATCTTTTTCCTTCTATATAGTTATATAGCACCTCCTAACCGTAGCGTAATAGCCTATTATAACTACCTAAGGAATACTCGGTAGCCGAGATATTATAGGTTTGGTTTTACTCAATAGTTAGTATATAGTTAAGACGTAGTAAATTATCTAGGCTAATACTTAAGCGTCCCGCTACGGAGCAGTATATACGTTTTGACTTCCGTTTAACAACAAAACCAACAAACATTTAAAACAAACACCCAACACTCAAACCCAACACCCAACCCAACACCAACCAGCCCGCACCAACGAACCTCATCCCTGTCCATACATGCCAGACACAATCTACAAACCTGAAACCCATGGCTACGTACCTAGGTACGTTAAAGACGCCCTAACTACCTAACTACTACGAAATAGTTACCTTCCGGGGTTTCGTATTAAGGGGGATAGGGGGAGAAGAGAGGCGAGGTAAGGTAAGGTAGGGTGGGGTTTTGTTTGTTTGGTTGTTTAGGTGGGTGGGTAGGTGGGTGAATGCGTGGCTGGCTGGATGGCTGGCTGTGAGGACTAGGACTAGGACGAGGACTAGCTACTATATATCGCACAGAACGACGGACTGCGGTTGCGTTGGTTACAGTATATAGTAAGCAACAGCACCGACTTTCTTTCTTTCTTTCTTTCTTTCTTCAACCACCACGTGAAGAAATGCGTTATTACCTAATACACCACACCCATCCAGCTGTACGGAACATCAAACATCTCTTGCTTCCACTTCCACATACATCTGCTCTTCCCCTCCCCTTACAAGCCTACGCAACACAGCATACAAACATAGCCCGCCCATCCCCTCGCCCACTAATGTGTGTGATATGAATATGAATATGAATATGATATAGGAAAGAAGCAAGAATCGACCGGTTTTCCCTCACTCTCTTCTTCTTGCAAAATGAACCAGTAAGCCAGGCACACTACCTACTGTACGCCGCAAACACCGCCGGAACCCAACACCGAAGATGTTCTTTTTCCTTCCCTCTCATCCTCCCTTCACCCCCTACCCCCTACACCCAACCCGCCCTACGCGCCCTTTCGCGCAAACCGCGCCAACGCCGGTCCATACGCCGCCCTCTCGCGCTCCAACCCCGCCTTCTCGCGCTTATTCTGCTCCTTATACGCCTGCTGCACACGCAGCCTCTTCTCATCAATGACGTTCTTCTGGCCGCGCTTGCGCAAATACTTCCTGAGCGCACTATTCTTGCCCCTGCCCTTCTGCTTCAGCTTCTCGACGGGATCCTCCGGCTTAGCATCCAGATCGCGATCGCGCTTACGCGTCTCCGCCGACGCCAGGTCGATGTTACCCACGAAGTTGGGGTCGAGCGATATCATTTCGGGCTTGAGCTTCTGCAGCAGCGAGTGCACCTCGGCTTCTTGGCGCTGCTTGGTCGTCTCGTAGGGGTTTGCGACGAGGGCGTCGAAGTTGGGCTCGCCGGCGCCGGGGACCAGGAGCGAGCTGAAGCCCTTGTCGTGGCCGACGCCGAGGACGTCCTCGTACGGGCACCAGCGCGCGCGCGCGACGTGCTGCCCCTCGCCGCCCCAGGCCATGTACGGGGCCTGGACTTTTTGCTGCGCGATTTCTTGGTCGGACAGCGATTTGCTGAACAGGTCTTTCCAGATGCTGAGCTGCGTGCCCCAGCCCACGGCCGTGAGGTTGCGGTCGGAGATGGCGACCGAGGCGCCCGGCTGCCGCAGGAAGTAGTCGTGCACGGGGCGAAACATGCGGATGTCCCACACGGCCATCTTCGCGTCCTGCCCCGAAGTCACCATGTAGCGGCCCTCGCGGTCCATGGCGATGCTGCGCACGGGGCCGCGGTGCGCCAGCACCTTCACCAGCGCCTCGCTGCTGTTGGGCGACCACAGCGTCACCTGCCCGTTCTGGTGCCCGACGTGCAGCACCGCGTTGTGCGGGTTCTGGGCCAGCGCGGTGGGCGCGCCCTGCCGCGTGGGAAGCTCCATGACCATGTCGCCCGTCGACGTGTCCGTCCACTTGAGGTATCCGGCATTGCCGACGCTGGCGAGCAGGAAGTGGTAGGGCAGGAACTCGAGAAAGGTGGGGTCGACGTGCTTGGCCAGCTTGTGGATCTCGACGCCCTGCGCGTCGTAGATGTAGACGGCGCGCGCCTGCGCCACGGCAAAGAACTGCTCGTTGTGCAGCCACTTGGCATCGCGCACCGTCTCGCCGAGCTGGAGCTCGCAGCCGGGCGTGCCGTCGCGCCAGTCGCGCACCGTGGCGACGTGCCCCTTGCGGCCCGCGAGCAGCAAGCCGCGCCCATTGCGCGTGTACTCCGCGACGTAGGGCCCCATGCCCTCGAGGCGCAGCTCGAAGCCCTTCTTGGCCGTCTCGACCGCCACGCCCGCCTGGATCTCGCGCTGCCGCACCTTGTACGTGCGCTCCAGCTCCCCCTCCGCCTCCAGGTACCCGCTGCCCTGCTCGAGCAGAATCTCCGCGTCCGCCGCCTTCACCGCCGCGTCCCGCGCCTTCTGCTCCTCCCGCTTCACCGCCGCCCGCAGCTTCTTGTCCTTCATGTTGCGCGTGCGGATCTTCTGCTCTGCGCCCCGCCCATACGTGCGCTGCGCCGCCTGTAGGCGCGCGGCGGCGGCGGCGGCCTCATTGTCGTGCGTAGACGGTGCTGCGGAAGTCGGTGCCCGCCTCGTGAGCTGTTTATGTTGGTTGTCGGCGGAGTGGTCGTCGAGCGAAGGAGCGGCGCGGCGCGCGTCAGCCGCTTTGGCGGGAATTGTCGTGGTGCTAGGCGAAGTCATGGTGCGTACCTAGGTAGTAACGTCGCGGAGACCTTACGGAGGCGGGTCAAAAAAGTTGGTTTGCGGCTCCGCGGCCGCGGCGATAAGGGTCCGCTAGCGGCTTGGCGGCGCGGCTATCGCACTGCGGCGCTACCCGGAGCGCTGCTCTTCGTTGTTGCCCCTCCTCTGCCGCCACGTACGCTTGCTTGCTCCAGTGATAGCCATGGCACGGTGCATGACAGGTTGCAGGGTAGTCCGTCATGATCCTCTGCCTGCTGTCATCGTCTTGATCCTCGTGCCTCCACTGAGTGCCGCGCCGTCCCGTCCCGCCCGCCCCGCCAGGGACCACACTCCATCACATCAGCGGGGTGAGATTCTTCTCATCTCCACCCAACCTATCACACACTCATCATCATCCATTACCCCTCCATTCCCTTATGTTGGCTTACGTTATATCATATTTTTTCTCGACTTAATCTTTACAATTACATATTTGTTTGTTTGTGTCTCTGTTTGCGTATGTGTCTGTGTTCGTTTTTTGTTGTCGCAACAACAACATCAACACCAACATCAACATGTTGAAACATCCACAGCAACAACAGCAGCAGCCGCCCAGAAGCAGACGACGAAAGACGTGTGACGAAAGCTCTCATAACGAGAGGAAGAAAAAAAAGGAAAAAAAGGGTCAGGAGTTAGAAAAAAAAATAGGGGTGCGCCACCCGCCATCCCCACTGCTTATCTATTCTGGTTCCATGCCGCGCAGCAGAGCG